CTCATTATCAAACCATGTGATAAGTTTGTAGGAATTGAATATGCCACTAGGTTGAGTGCTTACCGTTGAAAGTGGATTTGGGAATTTTCTTTTTCTTTTGCCAAAGAACGAATCAAAGTTTCTATATGCGTTTACAGCAGCACTTTTGCTGTTGTGCTATATGTTTTTTCTTCTTCTTCTTTTGGTAGTAATCATTATTAAAAGGAGTCTAGATTTTCCTGTGCATTCGACCTGCCAAATGCGTTACCTTTTCTTTTTCCAATAAACCAAGAAAATTGAAACTACGTTCACAAAGCCTTTTTTTTTTTTTAGTTCAAATGTTTGAATTCAGACTCATGGCAATTTTTTTTTTCTTTTCTTTCAAATACATGCGAGAAGTTTGAATTCCACTGAAAAAAAAATGATTAATAGGGATTAGTACGAGTGGTTAAAATTTAAGATTTAAATATAAAATATTATAAATTTTTATTGATAAATGATATATAAATTTAAAAAAATTTATAAATATACTTATAAATTAATGATTTATCGTAACTTTAAAAATGAAATAACTTCTCCGCGTTTAAATTTTCTTTAAAAAAAAATCAAAGTGAATAAGACAATCTTTTATTACATTTTTTTTAATAAGATGCGTTTGGTAGTACAGTTCTGTCCATTGAACATTTTTATTTTAGATAGTAAAACTAGTCTTTCATCGGTTGGCTAAATCTGCTGTCTACTGTAGGTTAGAATCTCTTAGCTATATCGCCATCGCCGGCTTCATCATCTTGTTTCTTTTTTGCTTTTTTTTTTTTAATTAAATATATTTTAATGGGGTTTTATGGTGCGGCGCTGCCAATCTGTCACGTTTGCGTTCGGCCATGTCCCGAAACAGAATCGACGCACCACCTGGCAGAGCCTTTCCTGCCAAAAATTTAACAACTTGCTAGGCTTGCTTTGGTTATTATCTCATTTATTATTTATATTAAAAAAATGTGTAACAAGATATATAAATTCATAGGATATATCATATATACATCAATTATAAGTTGATTCGTTTTAATAATTATCCTTCATGCCCACATCAGATTAATGATATAATGATGTGGGGATTTTTTTTTTTCACAAATGAGAGCTTTAATTTTTTTGATCAAAATCTTTTTTTTTTTTCAACTTAAAATGTATTCTCTTATTTATTTATTTATTTATCTTGTATTAATTTTTATAGAATTTTAGAAAATTTTTAATTTTATAGTATTTAATATTAAAATTAAAAATTTTTATATAAGATTAAAATTTTATAATTTCTAATGTTAAAAATAAAAAAATCATAAAAATAATTTTTAAAAATATAAAAATAAGAGTTTTATACGTTAAAAAATAAAATATAATTTTAAGACATTTTTAAAAAATAACCAAAAAATTTGAGATAAAGAAAATAAATTTTTTCTATTTTAAAATATTTTATTTAATAATTAAATCAATGAAAACCTTGAAATTTTAAAGAAAAATAGTGACATCAATCACTTCTTTTTATAAATTAATAAGATAATTTTACCCACACGAAGTAAGAATATAATAATAGCACGTTAAAAGATTGATTATTTATTATTGTGGTTGTTAAAAGGGCAGAAATTGTGTGATCTGATCTGCTTTTAGGTATCAGAGATCAGATCAGGCTGAAGATAACAATAAAATAAATAAAGTAAATTTAAAAAAAGAAAAAAAAAGCCTGACAGACACCAAATTAAACAGCACAACAAATAAAAAAAAACCAAATAGAGAACCGAGGTACATTAAAAACTCATTGGGTCTTATCATACAACTTCGACAATGCTTCTCCACCGTAGGATTAACCCGACAGTGCCACGAGAGCCCTCGTGATTAGTGAAATAACAACCACAACCGTCCTTTTGTATCATTGTTTGCTTTTTTAGAATCATACCACCTGCAAAACACGTGGCCCATACTTTGGAAACGTATCAATCGTTCTAGATACCCCGTATTTTAAAAAAATTATATTTAAATTAACAAACCCAACAAGTAAAATAATGGGGAAATTTCAGAAATTGACATATGGAAATAAACGTGCAAGGAAGGGCAAGTTGTAAGAAAGTTTTTGGTTTTTCGAGGAGCGGCTTCAAACAATTAACAGCTGGACACGGCAGCCAACTTGACCGTGAATTCAGCGGCAATTGGCAATGACTGACGATGCAATCTGGCTCTTGATTTTCTTCGAGTGCATCAATATTTGTGGGCTTAGCTTAGTTGCTTCTGGAACGTGTCGGCTGAAGCTCGCCGAAAATTAAAGCTGGCTAACGGGGCTTAATCCTATAAAGCGTGGTCGTGAACCATGGCCAAGGATGAAAAAAAAAAAATTGAAAATTTGATAAATTAATTTAAAATTATAATATTCGATTTAATTTAATTTAATTTAAAATTTTTATTTGATTTATATCAAATTCAGATATTTAATTTATATATTAAATTTGAATCAAATTTAAAATTTTAAAAATTAAATCAAACTAAATTATATATATTTTAATTTTATAAATTAAAATTAATAAATTTATATAAAAAATTTATTTAAATATATTAAAATTTTATATTAAAATAATATACAAAAATTTTAAAATTTTAAAATTAATAAATTAAATTAAATAGATAAATTTTAATTATATTTAATTTTGATTGAATGAAAATTTAATTTATATTCGAATTAAATAAATATTTAATTTGAATTTAAATTAAAATTTAAAATTATTTTAATAATAATATTAAAAAAATTTTAATCAAATTTAATTCGAATTAAATCGTTATAATCCTTGTCATTATGTTACGAAATGAAATGAAATTTTAAAAAATAACAATAAAGAGTTATTGTTTTTTAAAAATATTTTTTTAGGTCCGACAGTGTTATCGTGGAATGGGCAGCAATCGGGAAGGACAGGGGAAAATGAGCTGGTTGTCGCCCAAGTTGGGCATATCTTTTCGTGCTCACACGAAGGCAGAAAACTGATCGGTGGTTGATTGATGAAAATTTTATATTTGGATTTGAATTTTATTTATATTTTTATTACTTCCAGATGTAACATCCTACGTTTACAAAACGAAAAACAAAGGCTCGTGGGGCGTTTTAGATTTGTTGTCTTAATTAAGTGGATGGGGAAAGTGACTGGAATTTGTGCAAGACGTGATGGTCGGCTAAGACTCAGAGAGCAGAGAGATTTGGTGCAATAAAAGAAAAAAAAAGATAATATATTTAAAATGATTAATAAAATTTTTATAATTAGGTTCTTAAGTAATTTATCAATAAAAAAAACAAAAAAATTTGAATAAGGGCAAATTTTATATTATAAAATCAAATTTTCAATAGCAAATGAAGTTTTTTTTTTAGTTTCTTGTTCAAATTTATGGCGTTTGATATGTAATACAAAATCTTTCATTTCTATTGTTATAAAAGAACATTGAATCCTTAATTAAACAAGATTTTTGGGAAAATTAGTTGAATTTATTAGAAATGTTTTTTTTTTTAATTTAAAGTTAAATAAATTGTTTAATTTTTTAAATCATGATAAAATATATAGTACGTAATAATTTTAAAAAAATATTACATGTCATATATTCGAAATTATTTCAATAAATAATTATCGGTAAGATTTAAATCTAAAATTTTTTTGTTAAAAAAAAATAATTTTAATCGATTAAATTAATCACTTACTAATAATTTATTAAAATGTTATGATCATGAAATTGTCGTTTGCTTTCTTGTGAGATGCATTAATTTGGATTTAGGTGTAACCATTTCACTGTCAACCAAGTGAGCACGTCCTATTCGTTAAAAAAAAGTTTCCAATAAAACGCCAAATTAGTTGTCCATAACTTTTCCTCAACACAGTCTAGCTTGGACCTTTTAAAATATCCACCTTTCCTCGCATCCCCCATCATATGCATCTTAATTACTCTCCAAAGCCTCCCTCACTCAAGGTCCAATTATTTGCCGGTTGCTTAGATTGGATTCCATGAATATTCCAGTTTGCCTCATTTATTATTGAATTTAGTTAAAATTTGAGGTATTCAAATAATAAATTAAATCAAATTTAAATATTTTAATTTCATATTTAAAAAACTTACGATTTTAATCTAATTTTTTAAATATATTTTAATAAATATAAATATTTAATATTTATATTTAAGATTTCATTAAATTTAATCAAATTTATTGAGTCAAGCTCAATTTATTCAAATAAATTATGAATTAAGCTAAAAAATAAAAAATATTAATATTATAAATGATTTCTAAATTATAATAAAATATTTAATATAATATATATTTTTAAAAATCTATAATATGATTCTTAAATTATAAATATAATATATAATGTGATATTTATTTTTAATATTTTTAATTTTAAATGATAAAATGCAATGAATAAATTAATTTTTAAATATTTTATTAATTAATATATTTATAATTAGTGAATTATATTAAAAAATTTTTAAGTTTAAATATTGTATTAATATTTTATTATAATTTAAAATTATTTATGATATTATCTTAAAATAAAAAATCAATCAAGCTTGAACTAAGCTTTAAACATTAACATTTTTAATTGATTCAAACTCCAATCTGACATTAAATCTACTCAAATTGATTAGATTACACTCCTATCCCCCAAAATCAATCTTATCCAATTTTAAAGCATCCAACCAAGTTTACTTAAAAAACCCTCACCCAACTTTGTCCCTCAACACTTTCCCTACCAAACCAACAAATCCTCTTTTGTGCCCAACCACTAAGTAAGAATTCAGCCGAGCCACGCCAACTAGCAAAAGCCAGCCTCAAAAAAAAAAAAAAAAAAAAAGAAGAAATACCCGAAGGCCGTGATTGACTAGGCTACTGGGCCCCATCTGACCGGACCTCAACACGGAATTCAAATCCAATTAATAAAATCCACATTGGAAATCGGTCAAGCGCCCCTTTTAATAAGTTAACCCAAGCAAGAGCTCCGTGATGACCTAAGTATTTGCTCCCCACGCGCATGCGTCTCCATCGTCACTCACTCTCTCTCTCTCTGGCTTCTCTCTTTCTCTCTCCACTTTCTCTTTCTACTTTGGTCTCTCCTTATATAAACTCGTGTCCCCTGCCGCTCTCTTCATACCGAACTCATTCGTGTTTGCTCTTCGAGTTCTGTATACGAGGAAAAAGAGAAAAATCGAAATCGTGAAGCACGTCATAAGACAATCTCTTTGCCGATTTTTTAAAAATATTTTTTCATGGAGGATTTAAGCGGCAAGAAGCGAGGTAGAGATGACTCGGCCGAGTCGGACCCGGACTCGCCCGAGGTGAAGAGACTCAGAGATGATTTATTAGATTTTCTTGATGACCCGGATTCTTTGCCCGTTAATCAAGACCTCGCATCGGTAATGAAGAGTTTCGAAGAGGAGATATTGTCGGCGGCATCGACTGCGACGGAACCAGTACCAGTAGTGGATTTGACATCGGATTCCGGCGAGTCTCAATCGGATCTTGGCTACCTTTTGGAGGCTTCCGACGATGAGCTGGGTTTGCCTCCTCCAACAGCAACGACAATTGGCAGTGAGGAGGGAAGAAGTGAGGTAATTGAGTTGGTGCGAGTACACTCTGACACCACAGGGATCAGTGAGTTGTGGGGGTTCGATGATCAGATCCCCAACTGCGACTCATTTGAGTTTGGAATCGGAGATAATTATAATGGTGACCACGTAGCGTATGATGGATTGTTCGAGTATCCCGATGACTCTTACGTTACCTCGGAGTTTTCTGGTTTGTTATGGCGTTCAGAAACTCTGTCAGGGGAGTAAAAATTCAAACTTTAAACCGAAAAAAGAAAAAAAAAACCCAAGCGAAACCAAATATAATTCGGTTTCAAATGGAACACAAGGCAAAATCGATCTGTAAATTTATTTCTATTTTGGGTTTGTCTTTTTAATTTTTTATTAAAAGAAATTAAAGATACAAGTAGGAGTAGAGATTTGAAATGAAAGGATCCCATTTTTGATGAAATTAAAGAACCTTAGTTCCTTTACTTGTGAAGTGGAGGATTCCGTGACCCTTTAGCATGAATTCGGTTCTTTCTTGACTGATAATGAAACGAAGAATTATGGTGGAGGGAACCACTTTTCTTTTCCCAGATCTGAATCAGATTCCACTTGCGAATGTAAGCGCCTGACGTCGAAACCAACTAATCCAATTGTTTAAATGCCAGTAAACATTATTTTGTTTAAAGTGGACGAAGCGGTGGAGTTTAATAAACAGCAGCAGCCAATTAACTCCGTCAGCCCAGGGAAACGAACAAGCCGACCAAAGCTAAAAAACCAACGCCCTTTGTACTGGAAAATCATTGTCCGATTGAGACGGCACCGTTTTTATATTCAAAGCCGAGGTGAAAAGTTGCAATCTCAAGCATTAGGCACATGGTAATCATGGGCCTGTGGTTGTGGGCCTGGGTTTATACGGAATGGGCAAATTGGAAGTTTTGGTCTTTGGGTCCTAATTTGGATCTTGGCCTAACATTCACCTGTGCCCGTTGCCTAGTTGGTGGCGACCATGTTGTGTGAGATTTCAAGATGTGAACCCTTATCCAATTAAGGAGGTTGATAATTAAAACCAGTCTTGATAAAAGCTTGATTTCAGGTCAATCAATGGAAGCAACTTACCTTCGGCTCGTTGTCACCCGGATTATGTTGGAGTTGTACTTATATCAGGCCCCATGGTTTGGGCCGAATTGTCAGTGATTATAAAATACCAAGAATTAAACAGAAAATGAGTGTATCTTTTTAGTAATAGAGTTGAGGGATATTTCAAAGTTCAGTAGTAATTCTTAATGTGCTTGCTTTCTCTGATTTCATTTTGGGTTTGATCCCTAGCTTTGGGCATAGGGATATTGAGCCCAAATATATCCTGATCCAATTAATTATTAGTACGGGTGTCGTTTGAAAGACCCAACGCATTTGATCATATTCATGATGGTTAAACTTAATAACTTAGTGGGTTTGTTTGGTATCGTTTTCATTTTTTATTTTTGTTTTTAGTTTTTTTTTTAAATTAGAAACAAAATTATATTTAGTAAGTTGTTTTTATTTATTGTTTTTGAAAACTTAAAACAAAAATTTGAAAAATTTTGAAAACATGAAAATGGTATTTTCAAATTTTTTTTTTTTTTAATTTTAGAAACATTTGCAGTACTATTACCGTATGGGTATTGTTCACCACTTGGTTACATCAGCTTAAAATTTTTGTTTCTGGCGATAATTGAACCTCTTCCTTTTAAAATTTAACATGTTTTTGTTTTTATATTTTTATAACAAAAATATTCTATCTAAACATATTTTTAAATTTAATAAATTAAAAATAAAACAAAACAAATATTTTAAAAATATAAAATACACACTAATACCAAACAACCCCTTAATAACTTAACAACATAAAAGAGCAGTCTTATTAAGCTTGAAGTTGTATGCATCCTGAGAGTTCTTAAACGGCCGCTCTAATAAACAAAAATTTCTTGACAACTATTTTATAAGTGTTAGTGAATAATGTTTTTATCGAATTATTTATGAATATATTCTATTTTTATTTATTTATTAAATTTAATAAATAATTTTAAATAATATTTTTATATTTATTTATTAAACGAATCAAATATGAATAAAAATTTATTTAAATGAATCAAATATAAACAGAAATTTATTTAATTATTTATATTCATAAATAAATTTTTTTAAAATTCATTTGAAATTCATTTGTTTAAGGTTCATTTATTTTTGTGTTTATTATTATAATAATATTAATAAAATTATATTTTTATCATTTATTTTAATATTTATTTATATTTATTTGGATTCGATTATATTTATTTAAATTTTTTTAATTATAATTTATCTATTGTTCATAAATATTTCAATTATATATTTATTAATATATTCATTTAAGATTGAAGAATAAATTCATTTAATTTAATCGAATCGAATATAAATAAAATATAAACATTTAATCATTTAAATAAACTATATTCGAACAAACATAATAATTTTTTTAATTAAATATAAATTAAATTCAAATAATTTTAAAAATAAATAAATAAATAAATAATATTCATTCATTCGTTCATATGATTTATTTATACTTTTATCTTTGATAATCATTTTCACGGTCCCAATCACTCAATATATTTGGTGATCATGGCATTGTACCTCTTTGCTGGGCAGCTTCTTCCCATACCCATCAATGCTATGCGAGCGATCGATATGCAACCATCGTTAGGGATGTTCCCGTTACTTGATACTAACATTTGCACAGTTTATCACTCAATTTGGCAATTTCTTGAATAATAACATATGGAGTTTCCATTATTTATTTTCCTTTCATCTTTAACAAAAGTTTTCTGAAAATAATAAGAAGTCTGCTTGCTTTGATCCGACAAGAAAACACCCAAATTAAAAAACCCTGAAAATAATTGGGTAGGTGGATCCTTCACCGTACGATTCAATTAATCCACATGTCAATTGATTATCTTATCAATTTCTGAATCATAAGGCGCAGAAGCAGCTCCCATACGGTTTTAGGCTTGAAGTACTCTACTAGATATTGCTTGCTGGCCAACGTCTCCTCTCTCTCTCCAGATAAATATAAGATCGGCGGATTTTAATAAGAAATAAAAAAAAAAAAAAGGGAGAGAGAGATCGAAATTAGCAGAAGATGAAGATTTTCATTAAAACTCTCAAGGGCACTCACTTCGATATCGAAGTCAAACCCGATGATGCGGTTCGTTTCTTTTTTTTTTTTTTTATTTCAATTAATTTCACTTTGTTATTCAGATTTATCCTATGAATTTTATCGTTCTCCGAATGCGTGTTGTTCGCTAGGGTTTTTCTGCTTTTCCTCTTTCGTTTTCCCAATCTTTGAACATCAATTAGGGTTCATCTAGGACTGCACCAATTACAATCCGCTGCTGTTATTTGGTTTATTGTCCACGTGGTTGAATTAACATATGTGAAATTTAAAGTGGAGATCGTGAATGATTTGTTCAATTTCTGCATTTAATTGATTGAATATGTTGACTTAGCTACTTTTCTTAAGTTTAAGTCGAGTGATACTCATATAGTTTGAATGGGGGTATCATGTATATCTTATGCGGAAAATTAACAATTACATGTAACTTATCAACTTCCATGTCGCCAGCCGCATGAGAAGTATTTTTTAATATGTTTATTGAAGGAAGAGGGGAATGTGTTAGTAATTCACTGAAGTTAGTGGATTATACTTTGTTTTTGGTTTTTATTTTTCATGATTATTTGATTAATTTGTGTCTTTTAATGCGAATGTATAGATTGCCAAGTCAATGGTAGTTGTAGTGTACAAGATTTAAGGTTTGAGTGAAGAATTCTCATGATTTGAACATTGAAATATGCTAATATCTTATTTTTTGAAATGTTCTTTCATTGTGACTGAACCTTCTTAAATGAGTGTAAGTATAAATACCAGATTGAAGTATAGAGGTTGTTTCTAATAAATTTTCTATGCATAGGTTACAATTGTGAGACAGAATTAGAATAAAGTTCTGCATTCTGAGGTTAGCTCTAATCAAGGGTTGTGTTGTTTGAAGTATGTGGATATTCTAATAATTTAATAGACTATTATCATTTTTGCTACTTTTTTTTACGCTTTTTAGTTTTTTGTGGTTATATTAATCAGCATGAATGTCTTGGGATAAAATGCATGGTGCAGCTTTCTTTTACTTCACTGTGCTGTTATACAATTCTGCTATTAATGCTTGTGAATTTTCTTCCAGGTTGCTGATGTAAAAAAGAACATAGAAACTGTTCAAGGTGCCGATGTTTACCCTGCTGCACAACAAATGCTTATCCATAAGGGGAAAGTTCTTAAAGATGACACAACACTGGCTGAGAACTGTGTCACTGAAAATAGCTTTATTGTCATCATGTTGACAAAGGTGAGACTGGTTATAATATCCAGATCCTTAAGTTCTCTCTCTCTTTAATTTGTAAATTTTCAGCTAACTCTAACCTTGCTGACCATAGTATGCTTACTTTCTCCTGATAAATGCCTAAACTGAGATAATTATATTGTTTCTGTTGAATTCCAAAGTTATCTTAGTTATGGTTTATGATGGAGTGTAGTATCTTTATATTTTTCGAAATCTTGTTATTGCCTCGCTTTAGTTGCTTCTAAAAAATGTCAATTTGTTGCAAAACCAGAAATGTGGCTTATTGTTGTTATTTTTTAACCTAGTTATATCCTCTTTTATTTTTCATTACTGTCATTTGGGTAATAATCATGCATTTTTTTGCTTGAACTAATACTAGAATAAGAGTTCATCTGGTGAGGCTGCAACTGCTTCAATGGCTTCTATCACTAAAGTAAGATTATAATTTTGTCACCTCTCTTGCTGCGTTTGCCATTCTTTTTCTATATATTGCTTACATACATGTATAATTACTGACAAACTGTGCTTTTTCGGCTATATTGGTGAACAGACATTTGCATATGATATAACATTAAAAATAGTTAGGATTCCGTTTTCTCCTAGTGGAAGATGTTCTTTTCTTCGATGCTATGACAACTGATGAGCTAGCAACTTGAACAATGTTATTTGTATATTTAAATCATTTAATAAGTTACAGATAGTGAATACAATGCTTTAAGACTATGGTTTTTCAGATACAGTACTGGTTTGAGTTGTATTGCATCCCAATGCTTACTATCTAACTCAAATTATTGAGCAATGAACATAATGCATAATATTGGAGTCCAAGTTAATCTATTATTAGTCTTTTTTTTAAATGTTTGAGTTAGTTACATAATCTCTTATCCAAGCCACCTAGTTTCCCAATTGTTTTCTCTTTTTCCCTTCCAAATGCATGTCAACAAGAAATCTAATGGCCACTTTCCTATTCTCTCCACATTGACTCCATGTAGAGCAGTCTAACTTTAACCAGCGAAATTTCTTTTTGATTTATTTAATGCCAAAATGATGTCTGAATTGCAGAAACTTACCTATTAACATTCTCAAAATTATTATGTGAATTTTGATATTCAAATTTAATTTTGAGTATGAATATAAAAGATTGGTTTCTTTTTTTTTTTTTTCCTACTATACACTACCCAATGATTTAGGGTAAGTTAATTCTGAAAAACTGTACAGATGATACAAAGGTTAATGAGTTAGTAGTAATTTGGATGGAAATATTTTCTTACTCTTTTCTCAAAGTAGATAAAATGTCCTCTTTGTAGGCTCCCCAAGCAAGTGCACCACCACCAGCTCCAACACCAGCTTCTGATGCACCTGTTGCTACTTCAGCTACGTAAGTCCAGCTATTCCATACTTTTGTTAACATACAGCGGCGCCATATCAGGCGGCTCCATAACAGATTATTTGCTTATCAACTGTTTTTCAGGGCTGCACCTGTCACTGAATCTACTCCTGTTGCTTCAAGTACTACTGCGTAAGTAACTTCTTCTTACTAAACTTCTTGCTTCTTGTTTGAATGATGGAAAGCAAATGCTTTCTATTTAATCTGTCTTCCAATGCTCTCATAGGAGAGCTCCTGATTTCCTCATTTTGCTTTGCATTTTTGTAATATCTTGAATAATATCTTTGGAAACAGGTTGGAATCTGATGTCTATGGCCAAGCAGCATCTAATCTGGTCGCAGGAAGTAACTTAGAGGGTGCAATCCAACAAATTCTTGATATGGGTGGAGGGACCTGGGATAGGGATACTGTTGTCCGTGCCCTTCGTGCTGCTTATAATAACCCAGAGAGAGCTGTTGAATATTTGTATTCTGTAAGTACTTTCCTTGAATCTTACTTGAAGATGGTGAAGGGAGTGCTTTTTTGATGAGTGCATCCAGTTGCCAACTTGTACATAAGGTTATTGACGTTTTGTTACTGCCATTGTTTTATTGTTCTCCTTAATGTAAATGTGGTGATAGCCTAATAGGCTGTGCTCTTCCTGAGAGGTTTTCTGGGAATGATGTTTATACCATTTTTGTCATTTATAATTAGATATAATTCAACATGCAACTTTTTTTTTTTTTAATTTCCTGATTTATTGGTGGATGATGATTAAATTTCCATACACTCAAATTATACTCCCTTTCTTCCATTTTGCTAGTCCTTTTTGACTTGGTGGATAAGTATTCGGTTTTTGGAGCAAAAAAGTATGCTATGTTTAGAAATTGTGAAATTTTCTTTGATGACTTTTTTTTTTTTAGAAATTCTTGAAATCATATGTCTTTACATCAAGAGAAGTGATATTTATTTTTTGTCCCCCTCCCCCCCCCCCCAAAAAAAAAAAAAGGAACATGAAAGTTGGATGTATATATTAGGTAAGTTTTAATGATATTTTATACTGCTTTATTTGACTTTTCTTGTCCCAAGTCTTTACACGTCCTAAGAACATTTCTTCTTTTATTAGAAAAAGCATCCATTTGTTCCCTACAATTGAGCTGCTTCTTGTCACTTCATTATAAAATTTTGTTGCAAATATTAGGGTATCCCTGAGCAAGCTGAAGCTCCACCCATTGCTCGTGTCCCTGTAGTTGGGCAAACCACTAACCCTCCAGCACAGCCCCAACAGCCTGCACAAGCGGCAGCTGTTCCTACAAGTGGACCCAATGCTAATCCATTAGATCTCTTTCCCCAGGTATAATGCAGTAAATATTTGATAAACTAGATGATGGAAAACATAACCATTGACTTGATGTTCTTTTATTGATGCAGGGCCTTCCCAACGTGGGTGCAGGTGGTGCTGGGGCAGGCAATCTTGATTTTTTACGTAACAGTCCACAGGTCTCTCTCTCTCTATCTTCATATGGATGTATATGGGCATGTGGGAATGAATGTCATGTAAATTCCTACCTAGAACTACACTCATTTTACCTTTCTCTGTTTCAGTTCCAAGCTTTGCGGGCAATGGTTCAGGCCAACCCACAAATATTGCAGGTTATTCTCTGATCCCTTGTTTCTGGTGGTCATGTGTGTTTTTCATTTTCCTTTTCTTTTTCCATCATTTCTTATAGGGGTTTGTTTATTTATTTTTGCAGCCTATGCTTCAAGAGTTGGGGAAACAGAACCCTCATTTAATGAGACTTATTCAAGAGCATCAGGCTGACTTTCTTCGCCTGATCAATGAACCTGCTGAAGGTGGAGAGGGGTAAGTCTCGTCATTTTCAGTTGCTCATTTCTTGAACCTAATTGTGCATGTATATCAATGCTTATTTGCCCTTTTTTGTGTCATAGGAATATATTGGGGCAATTAGCTGAGGCAATGCCACAAGCTGTACAAGTCACGCCTGAGGAACATCAAGCCATAGAACGGGTAAGTCATCTTTTGCATAAAAGCTTACTTGGATGTTTGAATTATTCCCTGTAATTATTGATTATTTACCTATCATCTCCATTGTATGTGGAAGTATCTTATTCCCGCCTCGATCATTGTAATGAGATTAGTGCAAATATATGAACAGATGCATTAGATCTTTGTTTTAGGTAATAGTTTTAGATGATTGGTTAAAATGTAGGTGTAACTGTTGATAGTTTTGTCTAAACTTTGTTGCTTTGATCATGTGCCTACAATGATATATTTTTATAATATCCATGGTTCACTATCTGTTGCAGCTGGAAGCAATGGGTTTTGATCGAGCAACTGTGCTTCAAGTGTTCTTTGCCTGCAACAAGAATGAGGAACTGGCAGCTAATTACCTTTTAGATCATATGCATGATTTTGAGGATTGATTTGGTAAAAGAAAATGGTCAAGGGAAGTAAATCTGTTTTTGTTTGTCTTTTGTCATTCAATTGCCTCCTCCCCCAACTCTACTGACTTTTATTTCTTAATCAAGTGATGTGAAGTGTTTGGTGCGGACACAAGGGATGTCAAGATGTAACTTTCTTCCTTTTCAAGGACCAGTATAACGACATATACGCAAGTGTCTTCCTAAGTTTGCATCTACTGCAGAACAGATTTGCATGCAATCATTTATTTGCCTTCATAGTTTTATAATCATTTTACATTCAATTAAGAGCCTAAATTCTGAGTTGTGCTCTTCTTCGTTGAAGAATGGAGGCATAAGTTTATTCCAATTTGAGTCAAACTGGAGACCAAGTTTTGCTACTGATAGTCGGCAGCCACCAGGAAAAGGGTGAAGTGGATTGTTGAAATTTTGAACTAAAATTAAATTCCACTAATGGCTTTGCATGAACGAGCTCCACTGAACTTAACCATAAGTTTTTCACGCAATAATCTTTCCAGCTTTACGGTGTCGTACTTTGGTAGTAAATTGCCTCTGCAACTCTTGCTCTTTCTCTGTTGCTCCTCAGCTGACTATAAAGAGGAGTGATGATAAAGTTGAATATGAATCCTGATAAAGTTGAATATGCTCTTTGCAACTCAACATTTTTCAGGGACAACAGCTTTAAGGATTCTCCTCATTGTTGGACTCCACCATCAATATTATTATTGTTGTTCATTTGTTCTTGTTGGTTAAAAGCGTGCGGATAAGGTTAGAACCATAAATAAAGAAGTCATGTTGTTGTGGTGCAGGCCGAGGCCCATGCGCCACTGCCTGCTCGAATTCATGATTTGAATGTTTGAATGCTTAATGAGGGCGTCCAAACCTAACAAGTGACAATACATCCCCTACCTTTTGCCCTAGGCGTCAGGGCCCTACAACAACACGCATGTACTTTGTGTTCCATCAAAAAATTTACCATTTATTTTTCTCAAAAAGACCATCTAACACGTACTGTAGTTCTTGGCAATGGAAAAAGAAAAACAGAATTCTTTTCATCAGTATGAAATGAAGAAAATGTAGTGCGAGGAGTCCAACCTCTTGCCCACCCTATTTTTTCCTCCGCGTGAAGACGTAACACCCGAAATTGACGCAAATGGAAAATAGTTGGGGTTGTAAACCGTATCTTACTTTTGGGTCAATGTTGGTGGCAAAAATAGATGGGTCTGGTCACAACCGACTTGACCCCTCAATCATCCAGAGAACCACACTAGCTTGGAAATTAGTATAGCTTGGGATTAAGTTTGGTTTATGCAGTTCCATTTTTTTTCTCTCTTCAGATAAAACACAGGCAACAAGAAAAAGAAAAATCAAAGTTTTATATAGTGCTTGTCTAGCAACTCTATCCATTCCTCTGCCTTTGTCATCTCTTATGTCATCGCTTTTATTGTTATCTTCCTGGACTCTCACAGTTTGGAATATCAACTATGAAAACAAAGCACTAAATTTTCAACGCTTCCACACAACATATCTAGGAAAAATGATATTAAACAAATCTTCTACTCAATTAACCCGATGCTGTCTGGTCTGACAATATTAACTACATCTTTTATTTTTGGGTTGTAGTAAATATACAAAATGTAACCTTATTCCTCAACTTTTGTTTGCAGGTTCTGCATCTCAATTCACGCTGTGAAATCAGATATGAATGTTTAACCTCAAATGTATTGATTAGGGTTACGTGGATATGAAGTTAAGGATTTTTGTCCTCTACATAATTAAGTCCTTCAATGCTTTTGAATGTAATAATTGATAAAGTCATGTTATGACTTATGAATCATGATATGATTTATTTATATATAAAAAGAAAGAAAAAAAATTTCTTGTTACCTCACTGTTGACCAGGCATGCTATTTTCAAGAAGCCAATCGACCTGGAACTCTGTCAGAGTGCAACGTGCATGGAAATGAATGGTTGGAATCGTCTAAGTTTCAAATTCCAATCTCATTGTTAATCATAAGTTTACGATGTATGATTAAAAAAAATCACAAGTTTAAGATATTTTTTACGCCACTAAAACTACCTTTGTCTTCTTTTGCACATATCTCAAACAATGACGAAGAAACGTCCAATGCCCGATTTCATGAGCCAATTCCCCACCGTTTTCTCGAATCCCTCAATAATGCAAAGTGAACACCAAATATATATAAATATATATTTATATATAAGCTTTAATCAAAGGAATTGAAAATGAGGTAACGCTGGAAGAAAAGTTTTTCTCTGTCCTTTGTTTGTTTGACCTTTACAGGTTACATCTACCTGTTCCTGTTTATTCCTTATGACCGAATTTTACTGCCACCAGTCTCATTTATGGCATCCCATTTCTCATTGATGAACAAAAATTGAGTTTCAGACACTGCAAAATAGAGCTCTCCCATTTAACACATTGGAGAAAGAAAGAGGATAACCTTCTAAACGTAGAGCTAGCTAAGTCTGATGGAAAAACACAGCAACTTGAATAGGAATGAACAGAGTGGAAATGTCGAAAAGAAAGATAGCTTTCGTGGTTCTGAAAATGCCGCTGACCACAGTAACAGACTTGTGGATGAGAAAAAGGGTGGGATTAAGACAATGCCCTTTATCTTAGGTAAGCTTCCTTGGAGTTGATAGCTGATGAAATCTTAGATTTTTTTTTTTTTTTTGTGGTTGATGTTTTACTAAGCTTACTTGATGCAGTAAATGAGATATGTGAGAAATTGGCAATGGTGGGATTCAGTAAAAACATGGTTAACTACTTGACACACCAGCTTCATTTGCCTCTGACAAAAGCGGCCAACACTGTCACCAACTTCAATGGCACCTCGAGCTTGACGCCATTGCTTGGGGCCTTCGTTGCTGATTCATATGCCGGGAAATTTTGGACCATCACTTTTGCAACAGCTGTATACCTCATAGTAAGAATGGATGCATTTTCCTTGATGCTTGTTACTTTCATTAGGGAGAGGTTTTGATTATCTGCGTAGTTGGAGAAGAAGCATCAAATTTAGAACTTAGTTTAACATTCCAGGAATTTGTTCAGTCACTTTTGATAAATTATGCTCAATGGATCTCAAAATTGTTTACAAACAAATAGTCAAAACCAAGTGTTTGGTCTTTCTATACTAACTTGGAAGTATTAAGTAATTTGAGATTCTCTGTACTCTGAGTAGGGAATGATAATCCTACACTTTCAGCAGCACTACCACAGCTAAGGCCACCACCATGTGCAGGTAACCAAGTTTGCCAAGAAGCCAAAGGCAGTCAATTGGCTGTTCTCTACCTGTCTCTTCTATTGGCAGCCTTAGGACCAGGCGGTATCCGGCCATGCGTGGCGGCGTTTGGGGTGGAGCAATTTGTTGAGGAGGATCCTAAGCATCCTAAAAAACATGGATCTACTTTAATTGGTATTACTTTGCATTGGGAGCCTCAATATTATTAGCATCAACTGTTCTTGTCTATGTTCAAGACAATGTTGGATGGAGCTGGGGCCTCGGAAATCCTACCATTGCCATGGCTTTGTCAATAACCGTTTTTCTGATTGGTTACCCTCTTTACCGAAATCTGGATCCTGCCGGGAGCCCAAACACTCGTGTGTTACAAGTATTTGTTGCCGCATTTAGGAAGAGAAAGACTCCCTTGATTTCTGATCCTAAATTTTTATATGTGAATGAGGAGCTTGATGTCTCAATTTCCACGGACGGACTGCTTCATCATACAAAACAATTGGAGTAAGTTGCCACGGGCCTGATTTCTTATGATTAAAATTTAAGCTGTTTCTAATTCATGTCTATATGAAATGCAGATTTCTGGACAAGGCAGCCACTGTTACAGAAGAAGATACACTTAAATCTTCAGAAAAACCAAACTTGTGGAGACTGAACACCGTTCATAGAGTTGAAGAACTAAAATCTATATTAAGAATGTTACCAATTTGGGCGGCTGGTATTCTCTTTGCCACATCCTCTGCTCAACAAAACACATTTTCACTACAACAAGCCAACACAATGGACAGACACCTCACGAAGTCCTTTGAAATCCCCTCTGCTTCCATGTCTGTCTTCGCGATGTCATCCATGCTCATCACAATAGTCTTATATGATCGCCTGTTGGTTCCTGTTGCCCGCAAGTTCACAGGGCTTGATCGGGGCATAAACTTTTTGCACCGGATGGCCATAGGCTTTTTCATCTCAGTACTTGCAACTCTAGTTGCTGGCTTCATTCAAGTGAAGAGAAAACACGCAGCCTTAGCCAATGGCCTAATTGACAGCCCCAAATCTACAATTACCATCTCAGTATTTTGGCTTGTGCCTCAGCATAGCCTCCATGGTATTGCTGAGGCTTTCATGGTAATTGGTCACCTCGAATTTTTCTATAACCCAGCACCGGAAAGCATGAGGAGCACAGCTACTGCTTTGTTCCGGACATCGATTTCAGCTGGGGACTATACAAGCACACTTCTGGTTACGCTGGTGCACAAGTTTACCAACTGGCTTCCGAACAAGAACTTGAATAAGGGGAAGTAAGAGTATTTTTATTGGTTGCTCACGTTTTTGCAAGTTCTAAACTATGTATACTACTTAATATGCGCAAAATTTTATACTTTCAAGCCTCTCCAGAGTAAGGGAACAGAACATGGCCGCGACCAGCATGGTGAGGGGGTTGAGCTTGCTGGCCAAGTTTAACTGCATTTGCTTAGCATGATTAGGAGGAATAACTCCCAGTCTCTACAGATTTGCCTTCATAATTTAGGCCATGTATATTATATTAATGAATCAATAATCAGTTGTTTTCCTTGAATTTTGTTGCCTTCATAATTTATCTTGGACTTCAACTTGTGTAGTTTCTCTTGAACAGTTTATCATACATGGATCTTTGGTTTATTCTTGATCAAAAAGAAATTAAAATGATAATAATGCATTAAATTTTAAACTCATCATTTACAGATGTTTTTACTATTTAGAAAGTAAAATAAATAACTAAAATTGATTTTAATTTAATGAACCAAACCAGTTCAACCTAAATTTTTGTTTTGGTACGTGTTGCCCTACTTGGTTTATAAGTATGATGGCTAATCTGCATAAATTGAACAAGTGAATTTTCATCTGCCGTGACTTTCAATACCAAACCATATTGAATATATTTTCTTGTAGGACTAAATCATATTGGACATGCATGCATGACTAATCCTTGAAATTGACCCTTCACTGAATACAAGAAGTATCCTTACATATCTCTCAGCATTTTTATTAACTATTTCTCTACTATTTATATTAATTTTATGATTGTTGATTGATAATTATATGGATGCCTAATTTCTATTACAGACATTAATATTTTATAGTTATAGACATTAATAGATCTAATTTTCAAACATGTGACAACTAAAAATTATGCTTGTGGCAATAAAAAACCCTAATATTTTTTAACCCAAATTTGATATTGGCATTATTGTCCCCTCATAACTTTCTTATGCCCCTTGATGTTTTTAAGACTGCTCCATGTCTTTCTGAAGTTTTTTTTTTGTATTGCTGAAGAAACCTCAAACATGGAATATTGTTTTTTCAGTCTACTTTCCAACCATGAATAACGAAGATTTCATATAGCACCCACACCAAATTAAAGTAACTCTCAACATAATAATAATAACTAACCTTTAAAGAAAGCCCAATTGGATGGAAGTTGAAAATATCATGGGAAGATGACCTGTTCCATGATAATAACTCGTCAGGTTTTCACAACAGAAAAAAAAAAAAAAGAACCTTATGAATCAAATCCCAACACGTTAACTCTTGTCCAATTAACCTTTGACATCTTTCTCTTGCTTGCTTTTCTTGTTGAAAATTCAAAATTTGGACGATTTTTCAAAGTGAATGGTTAATCTTTACAACACGGAATTGTAAACAGGAAAAATTAAAAACCATATATAGCCATGGATGAAACAGATAATGCTTTTATTTTTTGTGATTCTCAAACGAAACGAAGATGACAATGACAACCAAAACGCCTCTGTCGGCTATAGCGCAGGCGTTTGAGGAGCTCTCGGAGTTCTTGGGGTGTCAAATGAAGGATGAAGAACTTCGGCTGGATACATTCAGTGACGCATGTTCTTTAGTTTCTGTTCTTTTCAGCTGCCTAGGCCTCGCCTTCAAATTCGCCGAGATGGAATACGTCGCCAAGGTTCATTGCCCTTTTTTTTTTTTCCTTTACATTTATAGAAAGTTTGAATCATGTTGTCATGTGATCAGGTTATAGGTGATAATTTCATGAATTATTATGAACATTAATAGCATTTTGAAATCTCCTTTAGGGCTTCTTTGAACCAATGTCTAGTGACAAAGTATTTAGAAACAAAACAGTAGGTGGTATGGAGGATAGACAGCTTTTTCTGATGTTGTGAATCATTGTTGTATATTGTGAATACAACATTTCTTCAAGGTCTAGTTTCCTGTGATTTGCGTTCTTTACAATTACCTAGTTAATACCTTGATCTAATGAATGATTAATTCTTTGATCAGGTACGTGATCTTGTGGAAGCATCAAAGAGATTTGCCACTTTAGAAAATGTACTTGATCTAGATGTTGCAAATGGCACGGTGAAGAAACGAGGAAGCCAATCGCGTAATCTGCGTCGAGTTAGACAGGGTCTTGACCTCATCCGGGCTTTATTTGAAGAATTTTTGTCATCTGAGTATGTTACGCCCTTCCATTTTGCATTTTTTTTAAGAGGCAAAGGGGAATTTTTATTGAAACCGGATGATACAAAATATATCATTAGAAAGCAACCAAAACACCTAAATGAACAAATTTCCAAAAATAACACCCAACAATACAAAGAAGTCACAGATCATAGTTTAAATAAATAAAGTCATTGATTTCAAGAAAAGCCTCTGTTTTAATTTGATGTTGTCATATAATAAAATAGAGCAAGCAACAAGCACAGGAAGACTGATCTAGTCTAAAAGCCTCTGCTCTAGTTTCCATTTCTCTGTTTCAGATGCTATTTTGACCTGTTTTGGTAAATTCTAGGGATTACTCTTTGAGGGATGCAGCTTCAACAGCTTATGCTCAAGTATGTGCACCATACCACACATGGGCTGTAAGGACTGCTGTTTCTGCTGGAATGCATACTCTTCCAACAAGGGAACAACTTTTGTTGAAGCTTAATGAAACAGGTGAGTTTGAATCAAGTTTGGCATTTAATTCTTAGCGAGCTAATAGTCCAACAGCCTACATTCATTAGATCACCACATTGTTTCTTTCTATCTGAAAATAGTTGAAATTCAGCGGACATAATCTTTTCATACGCGTTTTCAACATTGTTGCAGATCATACAGCAGAGAAGAAAATGAGAAGGTACATCGAAGCTTCACGTCCAGTAATAGCGTACATTGATAAGCTTTATATATCTAGGAAGATCACCTTGGACTGGTGACTTGTATCAACTGGGGAGTATCAGAGGAAAGGCACTGATCTTTCATTCAAGCAGCAACAAAATCATTTATGTATCTCATCGTTCCAGCTGCTTGCCACTTGTCAAAGTTGAATTATTTGCACCTACAAGGAAACATCTTATATTTCATAGCAACATTCCATGATACAATCCTTAATTTTTCAATGTTCATTCTGCCATTTCTGTTGAAGTAGTCACATTATTTCAGTTTCATTGTGATTTCTTGCAATCAACAGCAGAAGTTCTTAAACCAATAATGTTGTTTATTCTTATAAGAAAAGAAAGCTCAGATTGTTTGTAGATAAACAACTTCGTCCAAATAATATTGGTTACATTCAAGGAAAAAGCCTTCGTTCATTTTTACATAAACAAGAAAATCTACACAGCAATGTGCCTTATTAGACTCATTTGGTTTTGTTTTATGGATGTTATAAAAGGTAAACATTAGCTTTAAAGTAGTTGCTAATTAATGTGTTCATTTCAAATTGGTTTTTTTTTTTTTTTTATTTTTAATTTGGTTTAAATCCTTCTTCCTGGTGCTGAAACAGAAAATGATACAAAATCTAACCCCCAATGAGATCAATTCTTCTCAACATTTCAGCCATGATGATTGGACAGCCTGCAAGCTGGTAACTGCCTATAACTTAAGGTAGTTAATCATATATCATGGCATGTATATTGCATGCCTCTGCAAATATTTCATACATTCCAAAGTTAATCATACATCTACACCTTCGAATCTATGATGGTAAAGAGCAAAAAACACCTGAGTTCGGACTTTATTATGTTCAACGCCAAATCTAGTTAACACTGGAAAACAAAGTCTAAAACCACAATTCTTAACAATTTTCATTTAATTCTGTAAAAAACTTCCTGTTGTTATTTCTTTCTTTCAATATCTAACTCACCTGCATCTCAGATGGCACCTAAAACCCCTAAAAAGAAAAAACAAGAATGAAATACAAACAAGTGATTACTACAAAAAAAAAAAAAAAGGCACTTTAGCTAGGTGATCAGTTTAAATAGACAGACAGTCATCTTGCTTTGCTGCCGCCTAACAAATTAGAGCATTCTTGTGACTTCATTGCTTAAACCTAAGCGTCATCTACAAAGTCAGGCTGTCAGGGTTCTCAACAATCTTTGAGAATGTCTGAAGGAAGGCAGCCAAATCAGCACCGTAGACAATTCGGTGGTCAGCAGTTACATTCACCTGAAATAGAAGAATCACATTCCAACTCAGTGTGAGTTATTCTCTAGAAATTCTTAGCCATGACAAAAAAAGTTCAGCTCATCTCCTGTCCAAAGAAAGGACTGACCTATATTAACTATTAAACATGAAAAGCATGCAATATTTACCAATGTGTTGAAGGGACCTAATGCAACAATTAAACTAGTTATTTCTGACTAATATTTCTTAAAAGAAACTATCTAGGTCGCAGGGGAGCCACAGTTGGAGGGAATCTTTTCCTCCTACCAGTAATTCCCTTTAAAGAGTTATATCTTGTGAAGAGTAACAGGTGAACTCCTTACTACAGCATAACGGTACTTTGAAAATGAGAGCACTAGCACCTAAAATTTACTTCTCTGAGATATCCTCAGATCCTTAAATTTTTTTACTTTTATATTTGCATGGAATAAATTATGAATTTAATATGCAGTCTCCTGCCACAACATGATAATTTGAAAACATTAACACCGAATCATAGTAGTATGTCTTTCTTGATAGATGTGTAATCATTTATCCTATTTAATATACTTTCCCTAAAGTTCAAAGGAAAAATTTATCCAAAAGGATTGTAATTGGCTCGGAAATGGAAACTGGACTCACCAGCATTTTGTTTTTCACGCTGAAGAATCCATCAGCATCAGCAACAACAGTTGGTTTTGATGCTCCAACAGCCATGATAGCCCCCTGATCGTCATTCCAAAATATAACTAACATACGTAGAGAAATATAATCAAACAGTGGAAAGTGAAAGTCCATCCACAACCACTCACCTGGCCAGGGGGAAGAATGGCATCAAACCTGTCCACTCCAAACATGCCCAAATTGGACAGCGTGAATGTCCCTGCAAGCATATCAATTATGATTTACTCTTAAATTAACTATATGCCAAATCTCAATCAACTACTCAGAGTAGAACAGAAGTAAAACCATTAAGCAGAACAAACCTGAATTATATTCTTGAGGTTGAAGCTGTTTTGCCCGGGCTTTCTCCACCAGCTCTTTCCATTTTTGAGACAATAGATACAAATCCAACTGTTCCAAAACAATTCCAGTTACTCAAGCTGTTAGAAGCTATAAGAAACTGATAGAAAAATATCTACAACTACAATGTATCATTAGAAACGAGCAATTCATATACTTGATTCTAATGATTAAGGATCAATAAATAAAATCACTAACCTTATCTGCATCCTGAAGAACAGGGGTAATCAAGGCACCATTGATAGCAACAGCTACTGCGATGTTGATGTTACCATTATAAGTAAAACTCTTGCCATCTTTACAGCTTGCATTCACGACAGGGTGCTGCACAAGTGCCATTGCAGCAGCTTTCGCCAACAGAGCAGTCATTGTCACACCCTTTGGTTTCACCTATAAATAAAAATACCAAACCGATGTATTAAAACCAATTTGCCAATCCAAAACACAAATAATCCAATTTATCAAATCAAAGAATCCAACCCAATGTACCTTCTCATACAAGGCATCAAGCGCATCCGTAGTCACAGGATACCCCACTCGAAAAGTGGGCACTGAAAGACTCTCCACCATGTTCTTCGAAACGGCAGCCTGCATTGTCGTAAATGGCACTACAGTAGAGCCCGGAACTGGAGGAGGCAGGCTAGAAAATGTGGCAGCAGCAGCAGCTGTAACTTTCGGTGGAGCAGCAGGCTTAGCTTCTGCGACCACGTCAGGCCGCGCATTTATCCTGGAAGGCCAAATACCGGCAGCTGCCTCAATGTCCGCAGGCTTAATCCTCCCATACAGCCCTGTTCCCACGATGGACTCAATATCCACCTTGTGCTGCTTCGCTAACTTCTTTGCATATGGAGTCGCAACGGTCTTCCTTGGCCCCTCCGCAACTGGCGCAGCCGCGGAACCTGGCGTTGGCTTTGAGGGAGCTGGAGCTGGAGCTGAAGAAGGAGCAGGAGGTGGAGCAGCTGGGGTTGAGGTACCTGATTTTGAGGCAGCTTTTGTTGCGCCTGAAGCAATAATCACAACAATACAGAAGCAATAGACAACAATCAATAATCAAATGCGCAGGAAAAATAAAGCACACCAAGATTTACGTGAAAAACCTTCCAGTGTAGAAAGAAAAACCACGGGCCACCAGAAAAATTTTTACTATTAAATAATAGTTATACAAAGTTCTTCTCTAGCTAAAACTAGAGCTAATCAACAACTAGAGAAACAATTGGAGAAATCTCACCAAATAAGTGATTCAACAAATACACCCTAGATTTGTTCCTAGAGAGCTTCAAATCCGATCTTCACCGTTCAGAATGTATAACTCTGAATCATAAACCTCTTGACAAGGTTTCAATTCAATCGGACCACGGATCGACTTCCGTTTAACCAACTCTCCCTTCTCTTTTTTCTCTCTCTGCTTTTCCTGGTTTTTTTTCTTTTTTTGGTTGTCGATACACACCTTAAACAACCACACCTCTTTTTATTAAGTAATTAGGGCTCTGTGTAAAATAAAAGATCAAGACCCATGACCTTTACTTGGTCCAAAACCACTTACATGGGAATGTTCCTAACAGCTTTGGCTTTAGCCTCGGCAATTTCATCTTCAGTCTCAGCGAGGATACCAATGGCAGCGCCAACAGGGGCAGTTTCGCCTTCCCCAACAACGATAGCAGCGAGAATGCCGTCGTAGAATGTCTCGACATCCATGTCGGCCTTGTCGGATTCGACAACGACGACGCTTTCGCCTTTGGAGAGCATATCGCCTTCGGATTTAACCCAAGAGACGATCTTGCCCTCGGTCATGGTGGAACTGAGGGCAGGCATAAAGATCTCCCTGATCTTGGATCGGACGGTCAGGATTCGTCTTGGAGTTGGCTTGAAACGAATTGGAGAAAAAGAAATGGAGGGGAGAAGACGAGGAAGAGGAGAGGAAGAGAGGGAACAGGAGAAAGAGATGGTGGTATTGGAGAGAAATGAAGAAGCCATTTTTTTTTTTTTTTTGGGATGATTTGGAGAGAAAGAGAGGAGGGAAATGATTAGTGAGCGACGGAGACGTGCAAATAAAAGAGGGAAGGAGGCGGCGGAGAAGACGAGGAGAGGTTGGTTGGACGCTACGAACTACCCAACTGTGATTGCATCTCCCGCTACTAGAGTTCGTTAACTAATTTTATTGTTGCTTTTAAAAGTAAGATTTGTAATCGATATATTAGTATTTACATTTACAAATTATTTAAATTTAATTTGATTATTGTTATATAAGTTTAAATTTAAATTTAAATAATTTAATTTATTAAATAAATAAAATTTGAGTATTTTTATATATGATTTGAAATGTTCATAAATTTAATTGAATATTTATATTTTAATATATTTTTATAATTTTAATAAATAAAATATATCAAATTTAAATAATTAAATTTTAATTGAGTTTAATGAAATAAATTTATTTTTATACATTAATTAAATTTAATTGAATGAATTTGAATAATTTTATTTTTATATTAAATCGAATTAAAAAAATAAAATCAAATTTTAATTGAATTTAAAATCTCAAATTTTAAATTGAGATTAAATTCAAATTTCATATTATATTAGCTTAAACTCTATTGATTACACTCGTGTTATACTTATACTCAACAATATTCATAATATAAAAGATGATGAAATTATACGAATATATTATATATAAGATAATATAATCTAAAATTTAATAATAATTATTTATAAAATTAATTAAATAAAAAATATATTCTATATAAATTATAATGCATAATTTTTATATAAAATATAATATAAATATAAAAAAAATATATTTTACATAATATAAATATATAAAATCATCATATATTTTACAAATATAATATTAATATACGAATCATTTTATATTCTGCTAACAATACAAATATACGACTCATCCTATACTCTACGAACGCATCGGACGGACACGGGTAAAATTATCATCTGAACTGAAGGAACATAAATAGTTGGGCCAACTACTTTTGGTCCAAACCAAGCATACTCAACAACGTAACGCAAAAAAGCCCAAATCTATCTCATTGTGGCTTAAACCCATTTGTTTCATCTGTATATGAAGGGGTCAGGCCAGAAAACAATATTACACTCGCTTGGGTAGGGCTAAGTGGCCCGTTAAAATTGGATGAGGAAGGAGCATTATGCTTAAATTTATTCTGTTGGGTTTCTTTGTTAAATTTTAAAATTCTATGATCAAATGTATAAAATAATAATCTTTATATGATGCATCAAACTTAATAAATTTTCATATGTACAAAGAAAATAATGAATAAAAGCCAAACACTTGACCTAGAGCTAGTGATAGATAAGATAACTTGCTTGATTTTGAAATGTCTTCAATTCAATCCTTTAATTTGATATAATAATTTCCTTCCTTTTTTTTTTTTTTTACAAAATTTAAGCTTAGGAATGGCAAGAGAAATGGTATGGAAAAAATTTTATAGATATGGCTTTTTTTATCCTAAAATGTCATGAAGATTCAATTATAAAATGTACTTTTCGATGCAATGAAAGTAATGTAATCGAATTTTCAAACAAGTTTACTTTATGACTAACAAACCGGGAAAATATTACCCCTTGGTTATGTTGTGTTTAAACTTACGAAATTTATTATTAAAAACAAGAACTGAATTTTATATTTTCTTTGAGAAATTTGAGACAAAAATGAAAAAAATAAAATTATTTTAAAATTTACACAGTATATAATAATTGAAAACTAAATACTTAATTTAAGATATAATGTTTGGATTAATATAACATTTAATTTGATTCAAATCAAAATTTAATATTTTTATGTTTGTCTAAATAAAAATAAAATGTGTATTACATGTGATTTTAAATGCATTACAAAGTCAATGATGCTACGTATCAATTGATCCTTTGTCAGCTATTTTAAAATAAAAATAAAAAAACTTAAATTTGATATTTTTTTTATTTTTAATATTGATAAATTTTTTAAGAAAAAAATTTATTTATTTTCTTTAAAAAAAATTACAGTGACTTTGCAAGTTGGACGAGTCTGCAGCTTTTATGAGAAAATAGTGGTGTCAGATTAGATTTTTAACTTAAATTTATGTTTTTTTAATGGTTTATTGGGAAAATCTAAGAAAATTGTTTTTGAAAAGAAAATCATTGTGGATGAGTGATGTTGGGAATTGATGTTTAAAATACGGAGAGTAATGTAAACAGAAAAATTTATAAAAAAGATAATTCATAAAAATTTGAATAATGATAAAATATAATAATTAAATTAAAAAAAATAAAAATTTATTATCAAGATTAGAAGTTAAAGAATATAAAAATATCACTTTAAAAATTTTAATTAAATATACAGAACAAAAAAAATTATTATTCTAAAAAATCTATCTAAAAAATATAAAACTTAAAAAATAATTTAAAATATTGTTTAATGATAAATAAAATTCTATTTTACCTTTTATAAAAAAATAATAAAAAATATATAAGTTAAGATCATCTCTTAAAACATGAAACTTTCAAATTATATTACTAAAATCATGTCTAATATTATGAGATTTACATGTAAATAATTTTTTCATTTTATTTTAAATCTACCACAAATCTATTTATATTTATGATTTTTTTAATTAATGTGAACATAATCTATTTATTTTAACCTATTTTATTTATGTATAAGTTTAAACCAATGATAAATTCATTTTATTTTTGAGTAAATTTACCTTAATTTCAATTAAAATTATATGATCACGGTGACCATCAGTTCAACATCGAATTTTGAATTCTCCTATGAAGTTTCTACGATGGATACGAGAGACTGAATTCATAAGAAAATGAGAAAAAAACAAAAATGTTTATTTAATTTTTTATTTTTTATGATATTTACTAACTGTTATTTTTTTCGATTGATCCAATTAGAAGCCTTATTTTTACCAGGTAGAGAATTAACAGCGTCTGTGTATATCACTTTTATTAAAAAAAAATTATTTAAATAAAACGTTTAATCTCAATTTAAACATAATATTTTTCATCGATAATTAATTTAAATATCAAAGTTTTAATTGAGTATTTAATTATAGAAAAGATAAAAAAAAATCGAAAAGATATAAAATCTGACAGCTGGCACGCAAAACTGAGCGAGTCCACGATGTATGGACCGCCAATTACGGGCTCGACTTCTTTTCTTTCCTCAATTTGGGTTTTGTTTTGTCCTGTTCTTCAAGTACGACGTGTGAAGGATAATGAAAATTAAATGGCAAGTAAATCCAAAAAATTATCAAGGGTATTTTAGGAAATAAAAATTTTCCTCATGTCATCATCGTGTACGCAATCCTCACCGTTGATTCCCAATCTCCAAAACCTCCCCCATATAAATTTTCCAACTCCCTCCAACGCATACAAAAATTTTCACCGTTTCTGAATTTCTCATCTTCCCTCGAAACTTCTGTTTCTTTTTTTATTTTCTTCACTTGGAATCGGAGATGGAGGGAGTGACGTTGGCGTTGCCGTCGTCGAGCACGCCGGCGTATGTGAGCTGGGAGGAGGTAAATGTTTCAAGCGATAAAGGAAGGAGAGAGGTTCATTACTATTTGAGGAGAAGAGATGGGGCATCGGATCTGTCTGTGATTGGGAAAGAGAAAAGCTTGAGGCACATGTCTTATCATTTCGCTATTAAGAACCGCTCCCTTTCCTTCTCTTTGGCGTCGTTTTACAAGCTCAAGTCTCGCAGGGAGGTCGTCTATTGGCTTAATTCTGTTGTTTCAGGTAATTATTATTAGTATCATTCATTTTCTTTTCTCCATATTGAGTTTTGAGCTTTTGGAGATTTAGGGGTTTCTCAGGGATTACACTAGGTTCAATTTCCTTAGGGTTTTTGCTTGATCTGAGCGCTTATGGTGAATATTGGTAGGATTTTATTTTGTTAGGGTTTTCTCTTTCTCTCTCAAACAAGCGGTTTCCTTTTAGACGATTTTTGAACTCCTTTGCTTTAATTCATTCTCAAAATCTGTAAACAGGCTGATGTATATTATCAAGCTTTTTTTTTTCCTTTGCCAGAATAACAAAGGTGCTGGCTTGAGATATTGATTATCTTAATTTTTAAACCTAACCTTCTTTTGGGGTTCTCAAGAAACCTGGGGATTTTCTTTTACGGTCCCTTTTTTTTTTTTTTTTTGGGTTTTGGCTTGAACTTGTAATTCTTTGATTGGCATGGGTTTTACCCTTTGGTTGCACTGATCATGGTAAATGTTAACTGACTCTAATCTGGGCTGCAGGATTGCTTATTCAATATTTAAGAGCCGATTGAGAGCGTCACGATCCGTACGCCCTCAGATATCTAGGTCAACATCTTTCATGACCACACATATATGCTTTTAATAAACAAAGTTTCATCTCCGCTGAAACATGTTTCCATTCAGCTGTTAATTCCTGTTGAATGTTAAAAAGAATCCTGTTAAGACATGTATATAACCTCTTATTATTGTGCCCATATGATTCTCCTTTTTTCCTTTTTCGAGTATCAGTGTCTTTGGCAGCATGTCTTTGTGTAGTTGTTTTTCTTCTCTTGTGAGGCATCTAGATGGAATGGAATATTTTTTTTTTTTGTTTTGCTAATTGAGGTTTAAATGTACAGATTCATCTTCTCTTGAGCCATATTGTTCGGTTGATGGCTTTTGTAATGGCAAAGATGTGAAAAATATGGATTTTGGAGCCCTCAAGGTATGAATGGTATTTTGAGTTTATGGATTTCTTTTGTGCGTTAAAAATTCATTTAACAATATTTGGACCCCTCCTTCAGGTTTTTGAATCACGGAAGCTGGGCCGATATGCTAAAGAATTTTTATGGTTAGGTTCTTCATGGACGTGCAGGAAAAAGAGGAAACATTATCAGTCCTTCCATAGGAATGGTTTAATAATTTCAGTGAGTGTCATTGTCTTTATCAATCCTCCCTCCCCTTCTATTTGTGCTTTCTCATTTGAGGTTTTTGGCATTTTATGGCTTCATTCTCTAACTCATTTCTTTGGCCTTTTGTGTCCCATTCTCATAAAATTTTCTCAGATTCATGACTTTGTTTATGTCTTAGCTGAGGACGATAAACGACTTTTTGCCCATTTGGAAGATTTGTATGAGACTCTAGAGGCAACAAGATGGTTGTGGTACGATGGTTTCACAAAATTGATGAGGTTGGTATTGTTTTGCCTCACAATTATAATTGCAGAGAGATTTTATTTTCTCTTTGTCTTCAAGATCTCAGTATTGAATGCATAGATGGATTGGCTACTGTCCTTAGTCCTGTGCATTTCAAGAAATTTTTGAACGAGGCAACACATACTCAGCTGGAGCCATTTGTATGCTGCAAGCAGTTTGAAAATGATGATGTCAAGCCTTTTGACTTGACTCAAGTTAAGGGTTATTGGAAACAAGATATACTTAGAGATATGTATTGTCTTTCTCCTTCGAATGTTTGTGTTAGTCGTCAACAACGTGCTGATGATCAGAAAACTGATTGTAATGTTGATGATGGTGTTGGGATCAGGTCTAGAAAGAGATATTGTCAGTCAAAAGATGATGATGTATACACGCATTACAGTGGCAATAGAGAGTCGATGGATGCATCATGTGCAGATGTGCAAGATTTTTGGAACAGCAAAAATGGAACTGAATCATTCAGTTTTATTGGAGGGAGTTATGCATTTCTGTCCGCTAATGAGGCTAAGCATTATTCTTCTCAGCATTTAAAAGTAGGTTCCCAGGTTGAAGTACTAGCTCAAGATAGTGGTATGAGAGGGTGTTGGTTTAGAGCTCGGATAATCAAGAATCACAAAGATAAGGTGAAGGTGCAATACCATGACATTCAGGACGCAGCCGATGAAGCTAACAAATTAGAGGTATATGTTTTTTTTTATTGTTTTAATTTACGGAGCTGACGGGATGCATTAATGGTGAAACTCATTTTATTGACATGTTCTTCTGAAGTTACTAAATGTTTCATGGTTTTATGTTGTAGGAATGGATTTTGGCGTCTAGGATTGCTATTCCTGATCAAGTGCATATCCGTCTTTGTGGACGGACAACTATTCGACCATCTTCACAATACCCTAAATGCAGTGCTTCATGTATTGGAGTTGGGTCTGTCGTTGATGTCTGGTGGCATGATGGATGGTGGGAAGGCATTGTTGTTGAGAAGGATTCAGAAGATAAATTTCATGTTTATTTCCCAGGTTTGTAAAATACTTTAAATTTGAATGTAAATGTTTGATTGTTTTCAAGGTCATGATTTTTTTTCCAGCTTTGACATATTATATTGTTTGCAGGAGAAAAGCAGGAATCAGTCTTTTACGGTGGTGATTTAAGGCAATCTCAGGAATGGCTGGGAAATCAGTGGATAAATATAAAGGAGAGGCATGATATTGTGAGTTCCATACTCTGGGGCAGAAAGCAAGATGCAAGCAAATCCTATGATTGCAATTTGGTCAAAACCACCATTTGTGATGGTGGACATTGTGGTAAGGATGCCACTGGTTGTAATGAATCTCCTCTTGAACCAGGAAATGACAGGGCAAAAGATGTGGGTCTTGTTCCAGATCTTTCAAAGGATGATTTGCTTTCCCAGTTGAAGTGGAAGTCATCTAGGAAGAGAAAACGTGTGACTGCGACCTGTGTACAGAAACTGAATTACAGTCGAAATCTCTTCAAAAGCACTGCAGGGTCTGTTACTTGCGAAAGATTTTTGATCCCTGCATCCTTAAAAGTTGATAATGATAATTGCAAGTACATGGGTGATCCATTATTCAGTTCTCCAGTAGTGCCAACTCTAACAAGCTTGGTTATGACTAGATGATTGACGCATTTCATTGGAGATGTGGAGGTGTTGCTTTCTGTTTTTAATTGGATTTTGCATTTCCTTCATATAGTTTGCACCTACTGGACGCAATGTTTTATAGGGATTTTTCATTTCAGAATTCCATGGTATGTACTTGTATGGAGCTTTAGCCTATAGGGCTCTAACTTAGAGTCTTGCAAATTTTAGGTCACAATTTTGGATGCAGTATAATGACCTCGTAGATCTATATAAATAACTCAACCTGATTTGTTTAGGATGTTGCAAGAGGATTTCTGCTTTTATGAATCTGTATATCATTTGTCAGACAATAAAAAATTTACATCCTCTTTTGTTGCATGATTTAACTGCGAGCTCTCTGGGTTACTCTGAAGTTGCTAATAGCAGCTGTGGTTTCTTGTGCAGCAACTGAGTGTTTGGTTGGTTGGAATTTTGTCGAGTCTTGTCTCTGCCAATTCAACAACAGCAAACTTTGTTTCTAATCCCCTGCTTTGTCCAGAGAGAATGACACCACGGCAGAATAATGGCAGTGGTTCCCACCTTTGTAAGGAGGATCCCAAAACGACATCATTTGAGCAACCGTGCCTGGTCCGTTGCCATATCATTATCACTATTAAGGAGTCTAATCCATGTCATTATCACTTCCCGTTGATTAGAAATGAACCCTTTTTGACCTAGGAACTAGGGATCATCTTATTAAGGAGTCTAATCCATGTCATTATCACTTCCCATTTGATTAGAACTTAACACTTTTTGACCTAGGAACTTGGGATAATCTTTTCTTTTTTAATTTGCCAAGACTAAAAACTAAGTGGACGACTGTTTTGCTGCTCTTTAAAGTTAAAAAGTTAGTGTTGATAACTGTTTTGTTGTTCTTTAAAATTCAAAGCTGTAATGGCATCCTAGATTCATGATATTATCAGGCCTTTTCAGGATAGAGGAGTTTGGGCATTTTAGAGAAGATCCTCCTAAACTTTTGAAGAGTCTGTCTCTTATTCTAAAGCGAATCTCCTAGTAGTTTCTTCGTGGGGGGTCATACCTAATCTAACTATGACACGATGGATTAAGTGAACTAAAAGTTGGACATAGAGATGACTTTGGTCTCATAAGCAACGTCTTTAAAGAATTATGATGGACGAGAAAATTTCAGAAAAAAAGTAGCATGTGGGGTACCCTCTATGAATGAAGCATCTTTTTTCAACTAAGCATGAAAATAACCCTTTTCTCACTTTGCTGTTACCAACTAAAGATTCTCTTTCTTCACCCTCCAAACTGAAGCGTCTCAAAAGGCGGGGTTGCTCTATTAGTAGTTCAGCTACAACAGGAGGCAGGAGGTGCTCTTCCTAGATCCTTTTCCACTCCTTTTTCATCTCCTTCTTGCAGTTTGAGATTGAACCCTATTACCTTCTTCTTCTTCTTCTGTTTGAAGACCTTTCAGTGTTTTACACTTTACATAACAGATACAGGAGCTATGGTTTTTCACGGTCAGTCTAAGGAGGAGGTCACAAGGATTGAATCCAACAAGCCAAAGAGCTTTTTGCTTCCTGGAACTAGCCTTGCCTCTGTTGAATCCTTATCGATGCCTCTTGTTTGTACTCTCTCTCTCTCTCTTTCTCTCTCACTGTGTATTCGCATTGTGTTGCCTGTTGAGTGAAGTTCCTAATAGATTTTGGTGTTTTATTTTCTGTTTGCTGAGAGCAGGTCCATGAAGTTGTTCTTTCAGCAGATATCCAATGTGCAGAGTGCCAAAGTAGAATAGCAGATATAATGTCAAGAATGAATGGTACGTTTTCTTTATTATCTTAATTGTGGCTAAGATTTATTTTCACTTTTTCAGCTTCATTAAATGCAATTTGGAGGAACTTTAGATGATAGGAAAGGGGGTGGACGGTGAGAGTTTAAACAATGGCGAAGTACTGCATCCAGTATATAGTTTCACAGTAATCTTTCAACCACGGGAGTAACATGATGTGCGTAGTAATAATTGTTTATTTGATCTTGCTAGTACTTTCTTTAAAAATCCGTTTGCAGTTGATGAGTTGGTCTTCTCTTCAGTGTTTTAACAAATTTTCTACAGAAACGAGTCCAGAATGTCTGGAAATGGATTGTTCTTGATCCTACGGTTAACTTTATAAAAGTGTCTTTCAAAATATGCTTGATACCTTTTGTTTCTGTCTTTTGCGGTATTGATGGCTCTCCACAGGGAAATCGAAAAGAAAAGCAAAAAACTTGTATGAGAGTGAAGTTTTATATATGACATAACAGTGCATGAGATTTAATGAATTTTTTTCCTTCTCTGCATTACCGGAATCCTAATTTTGTTGTTTCCTGGCAGAGACAGACTCTGTTTTGGTAAATGTGTTGGAGAAGAAGGTAACACTCACCTGTAGATACCCATACCCTGGTATTGTTAAGTTACCTTCAAGGCAAGTTCCTGTTGTTTACAGGAATCCTGTCAACACAATGGCTATGATCAAGAGGATTTTTCGCTCCTCCAGAAGGTGAATCCCAATCAAGAAACATCCAAAATGCAATTTGTTGTAGCTTGATCGCCTTGTTTATACTTTCTGTTGTACAAAAAAAGTAATAATAATATACGTAGTTGTGTTCTCAGTTTGGTCACGTCTCACTTGTGTATAGAGACCAGTGAATATATAGTTGGATGTGTTTGAAGTGATCAGCCAAATTCTTGATCGTGGCTGTACTTGTGTTCGCTTTCATTGCTGAGTGAAGTATCGAAGAAACCTATTTCTGATGTAACTTTCTCTATTATTTTTCTTGTCTTTCAGGCAAACTAAAATAAAAGGTAAGTAATGCTTAAATTTAATGCAAACAGAAACCTTTGTAAATAAGAAAAGGATACTTCATAATCCTGTACAGGTTATTACAGCATTTACATGAAAGGGTGCTTCTCTTAATTACTTGATACTTCAGCCATGGTTAATTGGCCAAATATCATCTTTTTGCTGGCCTAGGCAGGTATCAGATTCCAAAATCAAACAAAGGAATTCCCATGAGAGAGCCAAGAGTAGAAATATTCTTGGTCCTTGATCCATTGAATTCTCTAATTTTTACATTTCCTTTTCCAAAACTTTTGAAGGACCATCAAAACAAATTCGAATCATTCATTTCAATTCTTTTCAGCTCCCAAGTTTATGTCAGGAAGGGCAAGTTTAAGACAGCATCTTCATGAGCCATTTCTTCTCATTTCCCAGCTTATTTAAAGCTGGCTATTACCTGAGACTAATGATCTCTTTAATAAATTTGAAAAGAGTTGACACTAACAAAACTTCTTTTTTCTTTGTATGCTAGCAGCTGTGTTGCATGATGATGAGGCTTAACATAGACTGCAATGGCTGTTACAAGAAACTAAGAAGAATCCTTCTTAATATGAAAGGTAAGCTCTCCATTAACAAACTTAAAATTTCCACCCTTCCTTTATTCCAGGGTCATTTTCTTATAGGTTAAGTTTTTATACTTAAAAACCATTAGGACAAGCTTCAGTTTTTGTGCATTCATAAATCTAACAATCTTCCTCTCGTTTCACATTGAAGAAATAGAGTCACATATGATCGAGAAGCAGCAATGTAGAGTAAGCGTATGCGGGAGGTTTAGACCCTCAGATGTGGCTATAAAAATAAGAAAGAAGATGAATCGTAGGGTAGAGATACTGGAAATTCAGGAGGTTAGCGATGAGGAAACAGGCCAAACGCCAACAATCATTAGCTAATGATTCAAGTTTTGTGTCAGCTTATGAAGCCAGCCCTTATCATACCTTGAAAAGCTTTAATATAAAGGAATTATGCTGTATTATGATAGATGGCTTCTATATTTCAATCTTCAGTGAAAACTGCAATATGTAAATCTGCAACAATGCATGAAATATGATATAGTTTATATTTATTTATATCATCAATTTATAATTTTAAAAAATAAATAAATCATAAAATAATATATTAAATTAAATTAAGTAGAATTAAATAATATATTTAAATATTTATTTATTTATATGCAATATAATTATTGTATAAAAATTATATTTTACCTTTTTAATATAACATGAAAAATTTAAAAATAACTTTTTATAAGCATTTATACATAGTCAACATTAAACAAAATATTTAATTATCAATTTCATATTTATCTTATGTTTTACTGAATTAAAATAATTTTTGAAAAATTTAATTAGTTATATTACCTAAAATATATAAAAAGGCATTTTTAAAAATTAAAACGTATTTAAACAAAACCTTTTTATCCCAATGCGAACAAAATTTCTAGAAATTAAAAAGCAATACTAAAATATTTATATTTATAATAGGCATTAGCCGCCACACGCTTTAATCCAGCACGTGCGAAAGAACTGCGGGCCCCAAATCAGGCAACCCGAATCCTCCCTCAAAACCAGAAGCAGTCCCTATACGAAATGGAAATCTAATTTCACCAGTAAAACTGCCTTTCGCTTCGCTCCAAAAAATTACACCAAAAAAAAAAATCACACATTAAAAACCCTAACCCTAAATTTTCTGCATTTGACTTCAAATGGCTAGCGATACCCAAGATTCTCATCGAAGGAAGCACCCTCGTTCTCCATCCGATGACGAGGAAACAGAGAAACCCTCCAAACGCCACAAGCACCGCCACCAAAAACACCGTCACCACCGCCACCGCAGCAAGAAACACGAAGACGAATTCAAAGATGGTGGCGAAGGTCCCCCCTCTCCTCCTCCTTCTCATTCGGACCTTCGACCTGATGATGACGTCGAGGAAGGAGAGATTCTTGAGGAGGAACCCGCCGTCGAATCTCGCGAGAGACTTGGTGATTCAAATCGGGTGTGTTCTGTTTACCCTTTTTTGTTTTAATTCGTCACGGCTTAATTTTATCTTTTCCACTTTACTTGGTTTAAACTTTTATGAAGCAAAATTTGAAATTTGAATGTTGGAGAGTACTTGAAAGAAGATTTTGTTGTTGACCGGGTTTGAAATTTTTGACTTTTTTTTGTTTGATTCATTTTTTCTCGGTGACCTGACGGACCTTATTGGACATTATCGTTTGATTTGGTTTTATATTTTATGAAATTGAGATAATGAATCTGCGGTTTGTGAGAGCTTGTTAGATTACTGAGTGAGTATCCCATGCATATGCACTACTACACAAAGAAAATGTCTGAATTGCAAAAAGAAGTATCCCTTCTAGGCGTTTCAATGGAGACTGGTGGCTTACTATTCATTTGTAAGAGCTGGTTACAGTTGTTGCATATATATGCTTGTAATTACTGTACTTTCAATTTATTAGAATGATGCATTGCGAGTATGTGCACTCAGTGTTTTTGTTTGCATTTTCCTTTTTGAAGGGAGTTGGCGAAAATAGTAATTCTGTGGATGAGCAAGTAAGAAGCATCGGTGACAACAGTGGTGAGAGGAATCAAAGTCATGCTGGGTTGTTTAGAAATTTAAGTGTTGAGTCTCAAGGAGAGTTGGTCCCTAGAGTTGTCCCTGATGGTCATCTAAATGGGTATTTTCAATCACATCACGTAGAGGGTACAAGGCAGCATCAGCAGTCTAGGCTTCCTTCAAGAAGCGGCAAGAAAAAGAATTACCATGAGGATGTTGAAAAGGCTGATGCTAGGAAGTTAAGTGACATGAGAAAGTCATTGTCCTCTGAATGCTCTGGGGAAAAGTGCATGACATCAGCTATCTCACCTTTTGATTCAAGATATGATGATTATACTAGGAGTAGATCTGAGTCACATGATCTTTCTAGGGATAGATCATGTTCTCGAAGCATAGCAGATGAGGAGGCTCTTTCGAAAAGAAGTCGTCGCCTCAAACGTGATCCTAGTCGGGATGGACAACATCGTAGTAGAAACTTAGTTAAGGGTGATGACAAGGAACGAAGTGTTAGTTATGATAGATATGTTGGTGAAGAAAGGCATCGGAGTATGGAGATGCGGGTTATTGTGAGGAGCAGGGAAAGGGAGATAGATTGGGAATGGAGAAGGGAGAAGGAGTGTGAAAGAAGCAAAGAGAGGGAGACGGATGTTGAATGGAGAAGGCACAGAGACAAGGACAGGGAGATTTATGGTGAGAGAAGGGAGAAGGAGCAAGCAAGGAGCAGAGATAGAGACATGAGTGGTGAAAGGAGAAGGGAGAAGGAGCAAGAGAGGTGTAGGGAGAGAGAACTGGAGAGTCAAAGGAGAAGGGAGAAGGAGAGAGGGAAGAAGAGGGACAGGGATCTAGACAGTGAGAGGAGAAGGGAGAAGTTGTCTGATAGGAGCTGGGAATGGGAAGCAGATAGAGATAGGAAGAGGGAGAAGGAAAGAGATTGGAGCAGGGTTCATGGCGGAGCTAATGACAAAGATAGAGAGAGGAAAACCGAAAAAACTGAAGAATGGAACCAAGAGCAAGAAAGGGAGAGGAGAAGTGACAGGAGTAAGGATCAAGGTAGGAATATTGAGATTGAAAATGATGGCTATGGTCATCGAGATAGGTATAAGAATTATAAGCACTTGAAACGCGATGAAACAGAAGCTTATCGAGACAGGATAAGGAAGAATGAAACAGTGAAGGTTCATGGTTCTAACAGTAATTCATTGGAAGTAGATGCGGATAAACTAAAAAGGTATAGCTTATCTAAAAGGGATATTTCATGGTATTTTATTCTCTTATTTACTTACCGTTTTGTATATTTCTGATTTGTTCAGAGATGAAGAGGAGCAAGATGATTTTGAAAAAGGGATTGCATTAAAAGTTGCTGAACAGGAAGAGGAAGAACTCAATAGGATTAAAAAGGAAAGTAGGAAGCGAAGGCAAGCCATCTTAGAGAAATATAAGAGTCAGCAGTTACAGCCTCAAACTCAATCTTATCCGGTGGATGTGAATAAAGGTTTTTCTTTTTAAAAAAATTATTTTTTGAATTGTTTCTTAGGTTACTTTTTAAGCTTTGATCTAGGCTAATACTATGTTTATATGCTCTGTTACTTGTGTTTGTTGCTGTTAAATAGCTAAGAATTTATTATGTAAACTAGATAATGGGCCTGTAGAGAATCATGGGCAAACAGTAGCTGCTGCTAATGCTGGTCCAGATGTTCTTGGTGGTGGACATGAAGATGTCTATGTTGCTGAGCCATTGTTGTCAGTTAGGAAGTCACCTTCAGAAAATGGGCATACTGCTCCTGAGAGGACATCTGGTGCTACTGGGCTTGGTGAGGGTACCCCAAAGGTGTGTTGGTTGTCTATTCTATTACATATGAATCTTACATATATTCTTACTATCTTTGTCTGAACCTTGATTCTTTCTTAAATATCTTAATTTTGGATATGCTGAAATTTGACCTTTTCTTTCTCAGTTGATTGAAGTGTATAATTTCCATTATTTATTTGTGCAGAGTGAGAGATCAGAAAATATTTTCTGTGATGATATATTTGGAGAAACGCCCACTGGAGTTCGTAAATTGGTATGTATCACATTTGTCTATTTGCTTTGGTATGTTGTGTTTCTATATTAATTATGAGTTCAATAAAGTGGTTTCTCCAGCTTGGATTTACCTAACTTTGTTATGATGCTGTTTGAGTAGTGGCTGCTGGTAGTTGATTGCCACTGTTGATTGCTTCTCCTTTTCTCCTTTTTAATCATGCAGTTTTATTGTGTATAGCTTCATAAGTTAAGTTTCTAAGTGGGCAGAAGGCTCTTATTTGTTCTCTTTGAAGAAGCTTTGGTAACATAATTGATTTTTTGCATGAGTTAGCAACTCCTGGCCTCTAATAGAAGATTAGTTCACTTGTTTTCTCTTAGCATATGTGCTTTCTCATTTGTGGTTTTAAGTCTGTATTATATTTATGCATTTAAATTGAGAGCTGGGACAATAGGGCTGAAAGCATCTATAAATGGTGTATTTGTAGGGTAAAGGTGATGGCTTGCCAGTTATAAGGAGTGGTCTTGATGACAATTGGGATGATGCAGAAGGATATTATAGTAAGTTTCTAGATGATGCATTTTTTTGTAACATAAATACATAGACACACACACACACACACACATACATGTTAACCAAATTCTCAGGTATATGTTTTTACTCATTAACAAATTCTCAGATACATGTTTGTACTCATGTAACTGTTATTTTTTCCTGTCCAGGCTATCGATTTGGTGAGCTTCTTGACAGCCGATATGAAGTAACTGCTGCTCATGGAAAAGGTGTTTTTTCAACTGTTGTACGTGCAAAGGATATTAAGGCTGGTATTTCCGATCCTGAAGAAGTGGCCATAAAGATCATTCGTAATAATGAAACAATGTGAGTGATCAAACTCCCTGTTCATTGATGCTTATGTGTTTTATTTTGTATTATATAAATCTCAAGTTCTCTGACCTTGTCGTTCCTACTATGTGCTTGTTTGAATACTGGTTTGATGCAGGCACAAGGCTGGTCAGCTGGAGGTTCAAATATTGAAAAAATTAGCAGGTGCAGATCCAGATGATAAGCGCCATTGTGTTCGTTTTCTGTCAAGTTTCAAGTACAGGAATCATCTATGTTTAGTTTTTGAGTCACTTCATATGAATCTGCGTGAAGTTCTCAAGAAGTTTGGTCGCAATATTGGTCTTAAACTAACTGCTGTCAGAGCATATGCTAAGCAACTTTTTATTGCGCTTAAGCATCTAAAAAACTGTGGTGTTCTTCATTGTGATATAAAGCCTGATAACATGCTGGTAATGTCTTTTTTATTTGTTCATGTTTGTGGTTAGTTTTTCAATTTATTGCTCACTTTGACTTATTTCATTTCTTTTCAGGTAAATGACGCAAAAAATGTGCTGAAGCTCTGTGATTTTGGTAATGCCATGTTTGCTGGTAAAAATGAAATTACACCATACCTTGTAAGCCGCTTTTATCGAGCCCCAGAAATAAGTAAGTTGTAATATGAAGCTGTTAGTTTTAGGGTGGCTGGGTTATTTTCTTTTGTTGTTTGATATGTGTACATGATTTGCCTTATGTTTAGTAGTCTTTGATGTATATTTCTCTGTGGTGCAGTTCTTGGTTTGCCTTATGATCATCCAATGGATATTTGGTCTGTTGGTTGCTGTTTGTATGAGCTATATGCTGGAAAAGTTCTTTTCCCTGGTCCTACAAACAATGACATGCTACGCCTCCATATGGAGCTCAAAGGCACTTTTCCAAAGAAGATGCTGCGTAAGGTACATTATTAATTTGTTTGAATGATATTTATTTTCGGAGACATCTATCGGGCATTGTTATTATACTTTTTTTTGGTTTAATATTTTCTATATACTGTTCACTTGTATTATAAAACTTTCTCGGCTTGAGCTGATACTCTTTTATTCTAATTCTAATTCTAATTTTATTTTTGTTTTTGTTTTCTTTCAGGGAGCATTTACAGAACAACACTATGATCAAGATCTGAATTTCCTTGCTATAGAAGAGGATCCTGTTACTAAAAAGGTTTTTTTTCCTTTCCTCTTTTCTTTTTTCTGAAATGTTTTACATTTATCAATGTCACTGTCAGAAACATTGATAGAAGTTGTCATGGTTGCCTTTATGTTGACCAAAAATTTAATTCTGCCTTTCAGAGTATAAAGAGGATGATTCTTAACATAAAGCCAAAAGATATCAGTTCAATTATTGTTGGCTCTCCTGGTGAGGATCCTAAGATGCTAGCCAACTTCAAGGACCTTCTAGAAAAAATTTTTTTGTTGGATCCAGAGAAGAGAATGACAGTAACACAGGCATTGACTCATCCTTTCATCACGGGCAAGTGAAACATGTTGCTGATTTTATGACTCCAGAAATGTGTTGCGCTAAATATTTGTTCATTATGACCTAACTCATATTTAGATATCTAATCATTGGGAATTCTGTCTTTATCTTCTCTGTGCTGGACTGAGAGCTTTGGACGGCATGGTTGAAGTCAGAAGGGTGATGTTTGGTACGCCTGACTCTTTACTGGTGATTCTTTCAGTGGAATGTACTTTTTCTATTGTAAGAAAACTAGCCAAAGGCGTTTTTATCTCTTGTAATCATTATTGATTATGGCCATTGTGCAAAATTTGTTATTATCTTTTTACCTGTTGCAATTGTTGGAAAATAATGACAGAAATATATTTAGTTTCCTATGAGTTTATAGAACAAAATTAGTTCTTTAAACTAGGCATGGTTACTGCTCCCTTTTGACCTTTTTATTTTAGTTTCTTCTGCTCTTTTATGGTTGTTGGTTTTGATGGTTCCATTGTTGCTTTTCTTGTTAAGAGCCATTTGGTTTTCTTTTTCTATCCTGTCAGAATTGTTTGGGCCGTGGAAATCTAATTTGATTTTTCGTTCAGGATATCTGCTACTGCTATGAGGCAACCCTCCAGTGCTTAAATGCTTAAAAGGCACCCAGGAGAAGGTACCTTGGTTTGTTTATGGGGACCTGTTTTTGACACCCTAAAAATTGATTATCTTGATTTTTTTTGTTGTGATTTGCTAGAGAGATGTATTTTGACTTCTATTATTCCTTCTATACTTAAATTTCACCCAACTTTTTCTTTTGATCTTATGTTTGCTTTTCTGGTACCCTGGTAATACTTTAGTGTTGTGGTTGGGTTCTGCTTATTTAGATAGCCTATGTTTGAGTGCTTTTTATGTGTTTTTTTTTTTAATTTTATTTAATTCTTTTGACCTTCTAGAGATATGCATGTCCTAATGAAATTGCATTATATCTGATCCATGGTTCAATTATTTTGGAGGCAGTTGCACTGCTCGTTTAGGAGTCAGCTTGAAGTGAAAGTCTATATCAGTGAGTAATCACGTTCCTAGTTCCTGTTATTAATTTGCTTCGTATCTTGTTGAAAACATAAATGTTTTAATTTGCTTCTCTTTTATTTTGTTTTTAGGGTGTATAACCTGTCTTCCCAGCCCTTGTAAGTATTTTTCTACATTATCTGAGCATTGTCTATTTTGCATTTTCGAGAACTCTTCAGTGGCTTTCCTTTCTTAAAATTTTGGAGCTCTAAAACCTGTCTTATTAAATCTCAAAGCCTGATCATTTTTTCCATAACTAGAGATTTTAACTTTGTATCTTCCTTAATTGCCTTTGAATTTTCATGAATAATATCAGTCAGTTTATTACTAGCAGCATTATGGCTGAAAACCCTTCTGTAAGACTTTGGCAGTGTACCAACAAAATTGGTGCTGCAAAGTGACCTGAAAAAGATCCTCAGCTTTCGTTAGCTTTATTCCTTGTAAGGTCTTATGCTTTAATCATTAGGCTTGGATAGTTGGAGGACCTATTTTTGTGTTAATGAATGATGAAATGTGTCCTTCAATTCAATCATCATGGTGCTGGTACTTTTAGTGTCTTCTTTTTCTCTTTGCTTGTTAGAAAGGATGGAAATAAGTGAGGATGAAAAATTTGTTAATATAATGGATAAGCTACAAACTATAAAAGTGGTTATGAATTTTACATATTAGACTAACAAGTTTTTCACCCACACCTCTTTCCATCTTTCCTACCAAGCAAAGCCTTTATGTGGCTTGTCATCTTCAGGAACCTAGGTATCACTTTTCTACTTACAATTATAGCCCCTTTACCATATATTTCTTAAAATTTTGAGTAAAATTCACAGAGAAATATACTTAAGATCCCAAAAGCTTCTGTGCTCTGTCATTTTTTAAAGAAGATTCTTGTTTGCCCAGGTATCATTACATGTAATTAAGCTGATGTACTTTGGCAGTTTGGCTTAAGCACTGTCATAAGAAATTAATTAAGTTGTTAAAGAGTTTTTTTATTGTTGTGAAAAATCTTAAGCCAGATAAGAATGGTGCACCTAGAAGTCCTCCTGCTTATGGATTTTACAAATTAAATAAGTAAATGTAGCTCTGTTTGTGAATGAATAACACATGCAAATAAAGCATAGGTTGGAATTCTCTCAACTTTCTGGGTCAATAATGACCAACACACTTATCGCCAATGTTCATACTTTTTGGACACATACATCAGTTATAGATCCTCTGGTTTTAAGTGCTGAGGTGTTTAGGCCAGTCTTTTTTATGAGTTTTTAAGTTCTTGACCTTTTTCATGTGTTGTCGGGGATTTTTTCGAAGCTGCCGGATAAGCAACTTAGAATCCTAAGAGCCTAAGGGGGTCTTTGTTTCTCTGATGAAGCCTAACTTTGATTTCTTGTATGGCTCTTTTGATTCCATGATATTTTTTGTACTTGTTCTCATTTCCCTCTCCTTGTTTTTATCTGTCCTTGTCTTACCTGTGGATGCATTCTTCTTCTCTGTATATATATATTTTTTAAAGATGTTTTGGGTGTTGTTTTTTAATTATACAATGGTTGTCTGTCTTGGCTGGTTGGGTAATCGATATATCTCTGTTCTGAACTCCTGATTACCTGTTTCCCATTATTTGGTGATAATTTGTATGACATCGATTCGTCTTTTACAATTGGCCGTTGAATTAAAGTTTTGAGTCTATAATATCCATGGTTCACTCTCTCTCTCTCTCTACATATATATATATATATATATATATATGTAAAATGAAAAATTTTATTCATGCTAAAAGCAGGATAGGCCTGCAACAAGTTTAACATGGTTAAAAACTACAAACAAATTCAGCATAAAAGCATTAAACTCTTAGAATCAGGTAATGTAGCCCCCATGAGCAGCTAAGGCTGTGGTTCTTACGAGAGCAGTTGACCAATCTTGAATTGAATAGCTTCTTTGATGGAAGGAACAATAGAGTCAGTAGTGAAAGAAGGCCTTGGTGTTGTGCGGCTAGCTGCTAGTTGGTGGTGTAGGTAGGTTGGTTTTAGATAGTTTAAACATTAAAAGTAGCATATTCGGATGTCTTGCTGGGTGGATATGTAATTTGTGAGATATGTAGGAAAAAAAGTCATTGAATTACTCTGAACTTTAATAATTTACTTTTTCTTCTTTTAATTTGAAGCCTGTAAAATTTACAACTAAACAATAGTTTGCTAATATTAAAATATTATCCTTAAACGTCGTTCTCTTTCATCGTAGCGTTCCTTAAAAGGTTTCCTATTTGTATTTGGACATCTTAGTTCTAGAATGATTTGTTGTAAAATAATTGCGAACAATTAAATTTGTGGGTCCACTTGTTTGAATTGAAGCAAAAAATCATTTTGTTAGGATGGTTGATCATTTATCGGCCTGATGCTTACTTTTGGCATGGTAATTTAGGTTGCGAAACTATGATGTGCTGAGTTCTGATTTATAAATGGTGATTTAGAAATTGAGGGTCAAGGATCATTTTCTTTAAGTTTGGTTGGAATCAAAGACTTTTAATTTACTTAGCTTTATGGTTGTGATTGCATATCAAATCATAGTTTTTACCAACTTAAACAAAACTTTATCAGACGAACACAATCTAAAACTTTGTCGTCTGTTTAAGTGGTCCTAACTCTTTTAAACAAAACGAAAGAAAATTCTTAATCCATGGAGAGAACTTGTCATAGCATTCATAATCATTAGCGATTTAAACAAATAAAGAAACCGAAATTCCAATCCTCCATTTTATATGCTCGCTGGTCTCTGTGGCCCATGGCCTCGTTCTATAACGTAGAGAATACTGGATGCCGGTCTTTTTAACCATTTGAAAATTTATTATGTATAGATTTTTTTTTTTATTTATACTTTTCATTATATTTTCGTTCAGCAAATAATGACAGGATAATTAATGTGTTTTGAGTTATTCCCTGGGAATTCATTAAGAAACGTTTCCTTTCTGGACGGCCCATGACGCCTGCTCTTGTGCAAGGCTGCAAGCCACGCTCTAGTTGATTTTTTTTTTTTTCAACTTTTCCACATGATAATAGTGAAAAATTGTGGATCAATTTAATGTTGAATGACAATTTTTATAAACCTATTATATTTAGATATGATCAGGATTTGGGAGTATATTTGATACAATAAGAACAACTTACGTAATAATTACAATTTACTAACCAGGGTGGCACTTATTAAGATTATTGTATTTAGTAATATTAATATATTATATTAAATAATATTTTCATCTAATATATTAAAATTATTAATCATCTAATATTGCAAATTATACATTAATAAGTATGTTTATGGCATGTTACTTGTTGCAAACTTTTTTCTACTGTAAAGAAAAAGTGAAGTCAGGATATTCCATTTGTAAATCTAATTTCTCTCTGCATTTTTTTCCCTTCCAGGTTGTTCTCCACGCGCCTAAAAGCGTCTCTTCTAACAAAAGGGGCCTGGGGTCAATTTCTAGCGCTCACTTTCTCGATGTTGACGATCCAACCGCTACCCTTTCTTTAATTTGGTTTTCCCATGAGCCAACTGCTTCCTTTCTCTTCTTTAAAAGTCTTTGCTCTAGAGAAATCCCATATAGAGCACGCTGTATATATCTCTCTCTCTCTCTGTCTCTCGTCAGCATGTAAAGGCACAAACAAGCTTTGCCTTGTTTGTTCTCTTGTGTGTTAAAAGCCTCCTTTCGTGTTAGAGAGAGAGCTTATTCAATTTAAAGGTTTGTTCATCAAACAGTCGAAAGAGTAGGCTTATGGGAAAGAAGCTCGATGCCTTGCTTGGAAGAGCCTTCAAGCCCTCCAAGTTCAAATCACTTGTCAGTCTTGCCATTTCTCGTCTTGCTGTTTTCAAGAACCAGCGTCAGGTCCGCTGCAACCAGGCTCGCTCCGATGTTGTGCAGCTTCTTGAACTTGGCCATCATGATCGGGCTCTTCTTAGAGTAAGATTTGTTCCATCGTTTTGAAAATGTTTCTTTTCTTTTATTTGTTAACTTGGGTTTCTTTGGACAGGTTGAGCAGGTGATCAAGGAGCAAAATATGTTGGACGTGTTTGTTATTCTGGAAGGTTATTGTAATCTCGTTATTGAAAGAGTCCATCTCATTGGGCAAGAGAGGTTAGTAGGGATGTCAATATTCGACTTTTTACTCGAACGAGGACGACGACGGATATTGTATTTAGGATATGAGAATGGAGATAAGTGTAATTTTAAAATTTTATTGGGTATGAAAATGAAGATGGTTAATATAATTTTTATTTTTTATTTGTATTATATATATTTATTTTTATTTAGTAAATAAATTTTTTATTAAATAATATAAATTATTGTTTTAATTAATTAAATTAATATATTTTTATTAAAAAATATATATTTATAAAAAAATTACTTAAATATATAAGATAAAAATTAAAAAATTAAAATTTTATTTTAATTTTTTAAAAAAAATTAAGATTACAGAGATTAAATATCGCAAAGATAAAAATAAAAATAAATTTAAAATATTCGTTGAATATAGATACCAAAATATGTATGATATAAAAGTCTGGGATGGAGATGGGAAACGCTCCACCCTACCCAGTGACATCCTTAGTTTCTTCGATCATTTCCTCTTTTTCTTGTCAGGGTTTTTATATACTGGTTTTCAGACTTCAGTTTCATGTGATAACCCTGAGTTCTGTTTTGTTGCAGAATATGTCCTGACGAGCTCAAGGAAGCAATATCTGGATTGCTTTTTGCATCTTCAAGGTGTGGGGATTTTCCCGAGCTTCAAGAGATTCGTGCTGTTTTCATGTCTCGCTATGGAAAAGAATTCGCTGCTCGTGCCTTTGAGTTGCGCAACAATTGTGGAGTGAGCACTAAGGTAATCTAATATTCACCTCTGACTAAAATCTCAAAGATTTTTATCCTTTTAAGGATCAGAAACTAATACAGGAACTTATTGTTTGATTTTGAACTTGAAGTGAAGTTCCTTTACAATTAATAGTAGCATCAAATATGTGAACAATATTATTGACATTTTATTGCTATTATTATCTTTTAGAGTGGTTACTACCAGTGGTGGCTTTGTGAAAGAAATCTACAGAAATGTTAGGAAATAGTGTTAGTATTGATATTGTTACTTTCAGTGGCAAGACACAGTGTTGGTGACACTGAAAGTTCTAGAAGAACTTGGCTAGTCAGATCAACCAGAAAAGTAGAGCAACACTTCTGCTGCTAACCAAAGCCACCGAAATGATTAATTTGCATTATGAATGGTTTGCACAAAACATGGATACTCCAATTGAGAAATGTGCTTCTGTGTGCCTAAATGAACATAGTAATAAAATTTCCTAAATATTCTTGTGAATCATGTTTAGTTGAATTCTGCAGTATGCTATAACATAATCTTTAGCTCCGCAGATTATACAAAAGCTCTCAACCAGACAACCAGACTTGCAGAGCAGAAGGAATGTTCTCCAGGAGATTGCTGTTGAGAATGGCATTGCTCTACAAGTTGATGATACCTCTGTTTCCAGTGAGGTAGGCAACAGTTTTTGAAAAAGAAAAAAAGGTTTTCATTATCTGCTGAACATAGAGAAATAACTCATGGCATGCCAATTATGTTATGAATTCAGGAAAATTTGGATTTAAGCAACAAGCAAAGCCAGCCCAAGCTAGACACATCAGCTAAGGCAAGTGGCAGTGCTGGAGATGACGCTGAGTTCTTTGATTCAACAAAGGCAAGGAAAAAGTACAGGGATGTAGCTGATGCAGCTCAAGCAGCCTTTGAGTCAGCTGCATATGCGGCTGCAGCGGCAAGAGCAGCTGTTGAACTCTCTCGGTCTGATTCCCATAATCCCGACGATCAGAACATTCCCAATAGTCAACACAAAAAATTGTCTGACAGACATGAATCCAATTCTAAATATAAGGAAACTCATCATGGTGGTCAAGCAGAGGAGTTGAATCAGAGCAAGAAGACATCAGAAATCAAGATGTCAAGTCCCTCTTCAAGTGAAGGCTCAGCAGAGGGAAACGTGGACCTTAGGACAATGTCCTTGGATGAAGTGGACCTAATCAAGCTATTGGACAAGGAAGTGGTTATTCCTGACGGTGACGATGATAACTATGATTCCCATGGTTCGAGTTTTGATATGTTCCAAGGAAACTTCAAGACAAGCTCCTGGATACAGACAAGGATGATGAGCCCTCAGAAAAAACTGGTCTGATGTTTCAGTACTCATCCAATAAGCAAATTCCTTCAATTCTTCATGCTGGCTTGAAGGTGGAGATTGGACCTGAAAACCCCACAGAACATGCCACTGAAAGTTCTGGGATGAAAGTTAAATGACACTTTACCGAAAATAAGGGGCCGTTTTCTGTGAGGACTGGGCAAGTGCGTGGGTATTGAGCAGCATGAGCTTGTTGAATATTTGTGACTTTGCGAGTTGCATTATAGGATTGGCTGAGTCTATAAGTTGGTTTTTGTTCTTTGATTTTTCTTTTGTTGATTTTCTTAAGATGTAAACTCAATGTATAATATTTTTGGAATGATTTTTGAATTTCTTTTTGTGAAGCGAAAGATTTTCGAAAACTACTCAAGTTCCTTGAGACAATACTAACTACAATCTAACTATGGATTAACGTTGGTAAAACCAGAATGCAACACAACTTACAAAAAGCTCAAGACTATAGGCAAGAGAAACCTAGGAACCAAAATAATTTATGAGGAATACAGGCAAAGGCACAAAGGAAAAAGATAAATTTTGTGGTGATTAAGTTGCAGTCTTGAATAAGGTGATAAAATGGAGGAGAAATTTGTAGCTCTGTTTGTTGTAAAAGAGAGCAAATGAAATTGTCCCAGTTTTGCTTTGGTGAATTCTTGAACTGAGATATGTAATTAACAATGAAGTTCAGATAGGATATGAAGCTTTTTGCATCTGTTTCTGGTTGCTGTTTAGTTAATCCAAAAATGGAAGTGGAAAAGCTTCATCACTTACTCTATTAGCCGAATATGCATATGGATATTTCTACACAAACCGGTCAGATATAAAAGCAGCCCTCTTAAGTCTCAACTAATCCTTTGCAAACTGTCTATAACTCGAGAAATACACTACAATAGCAATTGCAGAGACTTATTTTTCTTCATTTTTCCTTTCTGCCTGAATTTTAACTAGCAACTAGCAAGCACCAAACCAAATTTCTTAATTTAGTTAGTCCTTGCAATTTGAAATTACTGATGGCAAAACAATACAAACGAGACAAATGAAGGCAAAAGGAAATCTTAATAATAAATCATCAAAATCCAACAACTGAAACAAGCAGGCTAGTGGAACAAAAGAAGAATAAGAAGAGCTACATTGCATATCTAGGAAAGGTTGCCACCACTTTGCTGCCATAGATTGATGATATCAGTGGCCTGATTCAGAAGGATAATCATCTTCTTCTGAGAAATCCATGGCTTACTTTCTAGAGTGGATTTAAGCTCTTCCCATGCATCTTTCCTGGGCCAAAAGAAGTATGGACTTAGAGGAACAGTACCGTGCCCAGGTATCACTTGATCAAGAGCAAGCCCGATGTTCTTTTCCATCCATATGAATTTCAACACCAGCCTTGGCTTTTCAAATTGCTTCACCACCACCTCAGCCTTCTGCAAAATCGACAACAACTAGGTTAAATCAAAGCAATGCATAAATGCTTGAAAGCACATGCAAGTATAGCCAGCTGTGAACCTCAGTTTCTTGAGAAATTATGATGGATGGTGTTTCAGTTTCTGTGGATGTGGATGAATCAGCTGTGAGTGCTTCTGGGGCTGCTGAAGCAGTTAGTCTTTCAGTTTTTAAGGTGGGTATGATTCTTTTTTCCATAATGGTCGATGACTGTCTTAAGCTGGGCTTTGTCTTACAGAAAATGGCGGTGTTGAAGGATTTCAAGGTGGGTTTCTGATAATGAAAAGAATGCCAAGTGAAAGTTGATTGAGTAGCCATGGATAACACTTTCTATTGCAGGGAGAGAGTGAGTTTGTGTTTTAAGCAAGTCCATCGTGTCTGTACTGTCCCTGTCTACACTGATCGGAAGAGTGTTTGAGATTGGATAAGAAATATGGGGCAGTGGGGCTTCGGTTTTCGTAGGAGGAGATTATGTGCTTCTGAATAAGCTTGGGCTTGTCGCAAGTTTCTTTCGAAAAGCCAAGCCAAGCTAACCCAACCCAACAAAGAAAAAATTATATAAAAGAAAATTCTAACGAAAAAATGTTTTTTTTTTTTTATATAAAACCATATTTTTGCTAGTTATTTTATATAAATTTTCTTATATTTTGGTTCATATTTTTGGCTTCACTGAATAAGATCTTATATTAAAGATATTCATAATTATGATCCAAAAATATGGTTTTAAGTTAAATAATGTGGACACCTTTAATTATCTTTCGATAATTAAGTTGTTATATATTAAAAATGCACATTTAATTCCCCCTTGTCACCAAAAAAGAAAGAACATTTTAATTCGAGTGCATAATTCCCCAATACGAACATCATTCTACTTTTTTTTTGTTTTTCTAAATAAAAGAGAGATATGAATTTATTGGTTCACACTTCACACTATATATGCAGCTGTGTATGCAATGGTGACATCCATAAACCGACGAAGTGATGAATTATGTAGCTTTCTGACAGGAACCTTCCTGGCTGATGATCTCCACATTTTACATGAGTATTAATTATGTACGGGCGTATGTCTTTTTCAATCAAATAAATATATGGATAAAAAGTTCAGGAATAAATTAAGAATAATAATAATAAAAAAAAACCCTTTGACATGGTGCTAAAAACACCAAATTGTCTTCAAAAACCAATGCCATTAGAACTAATTTTGTAATTTCATCACCATTAATTATTGGTGTAATTAATTAATTGTCATGTGTGCATTAATCTCATGCCTTTTTCCATAATTGAGCTAAGTGAATATAACACATGAATTTCCATAAATAATTGATGTTGTTGGTTATTAATTGACTGGATGAAAGTAATTTAACATATTTGATACATAAAATTATGATAAAATAAGATAAAATAATATAATGAATATGATTAAATTAAATAATATCATTTTATTTTATATTTGATGTGTGTAACGATTAAGATAAAAAAATTTATTTATTGATCAAAATTATTTTTTCTCAAAATTTAAATAATTTAAATTGTTAATATAATTTTTAAAAATATAATTGAATATATAAATTTAATCTTATGAATTAAAAATTATTCTCCTCATTTGGGGAGGATATTAATCATTTTTATAATCTCTATCATTCTCTTTAAATATAAATCAAATATGATATAGGATAATTATTATCTTATTCTATTAATAATTTTATACATCAAACATGACCAAAGAACCATATTCATCGTAGCATGATGATTTTGTTAGACCCTCTCGTTGTCTCATCTAAGTTATGATTGTGGGAATACCCTTTCCAATCAGAAACACTTCCACGTGACATTTTAACCAACACTTAAACAATTCGGGTTTAGAACTGCTTTACCGGTCAGAGAATATATAGCATGTTAAAACATGTTTGGATTCTTAAATCTCAAGCTGTCAAGCAGAAGAAAAAAAAAATGTTGCCACTTGCCAGCACATTATACTGAAAGTTCCATTCTTGGCTGGAAGTGCATGTGGTAATGAATGTAAAATACCATTTTTGAATTGGATAACGAGGAAATGTATTCTAGTATGAGCTTTTCACTAGATATTCTCTTCATCAGTATAGATGTTGTATTTTCCTAGGAAAGTTCAAGGCAGGCTAGCATGCACTTTTGATTACACAAGCCAGCTTTTGTAAGGTGGAAACTGAAACTTCGACCATTGATACAAGCCTACAAACATATCTCCATACTCCAGTAAGTTGTCCCTTTCTTTGTTCCTCAAATATGTCAGTTACTGAATCAATGGCTTCCAAAGTAATATATATTCTTATAAGAAACAAAGCTTAAATATGCTGTGAATGCATGCTTTAATGCAGGTACTTTTTTTTTTGTTAAGTTGATTGGTGATTTGGAGCTAATTTTGATGATTTGGTTGCATTATCTCTCTTTTACTTGTCAAGAACTTATTTTAATTGTTCTTACTTTGTTTCATCTTTCTTTCGCAAACTTCTGGGATAATGCAGATTTGTTGTCCGGTGAAGAAGAGAAAGGGTGATAAAAATGGGGTCACTGAAACATAATTGGGAAGATAACAGTGCTGCGAGGCTGTCTCTTTTGTCCAGCTTCAGGGGAAATGAAGATAGAGGAAGTAGATGGACGTGTCTGAAAGTTATGAGAGAAAAAATCAAGAATTCTTGGGATGATTTGCAAGATTTTGCTAGGAAAGCATATGAAATGGGTCGTTCTGATCCCAGGAAAGTTATATTTGCAATAAAAATGGGACTAGCATTGTCAATTGCGTCTTTGCTCATATTTTGGAAGGGATCATATGAGGATATTGCTCAATACTCAATTTGGGCAATACTCACAGTCATAGTGATGTTCGAATTCAGCATAGGTACTAGAATTAAGCATCATCCATTCAACTTTATCTAGATTAATTTTTTACTTTCTGTTTCAAAAATCAGTTTTTGCTGAATGCCGAGAAAGTTCATTAATTTCATTAGAGAAGATTCATTAACAGTTGGAATATTTACTTCTCTCTTAAGCAGGAGCAACCTTTATCAAAGGATTTAACCGTGGGCTGGGAACACTTTGTGCTGGGATACTTGCATTTTGCTTTGCTGAGCTATCTATTGTGGCTGGCAAGTTGGAGGAAGTAGTTATTGTTTTGAGTATTTTCATAATAGGTCAGTGTTTGGAAGATTAGCAAACGGTTTAGCTTGAAGTCAACATATTCATTTCCTCCATTTTAAACTGTTTTGTTTGCTGTGGATAGGGTTCTGTGCATCCTATTTGAAGCTGTATCCAACAATGAAACCTTATGAATATGGATTTCGAGTATTTGTCTTGACATATTGTATCCTGATGGTAGCCGGTAACAGGACTAGGGAATATACTGAGGCAGTTTTAACTCGACTGGTACTTATTGCAGTTGGAGCAGGTGTCTGTTTTGTTGTAAATATATGTATTTATCCCATTTGGGCTGGTGAATCTCTGCATAACTTGGTGGTGAAAAATTTTAAGGATCTTGCCACTTCTCTGGAAGGTTGCTTTTTTCACATTCAAAAAGCTCTGTAATCTTCCAATTGATGTATCGATTTTACATTTCTTTGTTCACCATTAAATTGTTGTTCAGGTTGTGTTAACGGGTACCTGAAATGTGTTGAATATGAGAGAATTCCCTCGAAAATTCTTACATACCAGGCTGCTGATGATCCACTTTATAATTGTTATCGATCAGTGGTGCAGTCTACAAGCCAGGAAGATACTTTGGTATGTCAAATTGCATACAGTCTAAATTATGCAACCGTTTGACTTGTTGGACTAATGATTCCAGGAATTGTTGGGTTTCAAATATTTTGCAGCTTGGTTTTGCAACTTGGGAACCACCTCACGGCCGTTATAGACTGTATAATTATCCTTGGGAGAACTTTGTCAAAGTTAGTGGTGCGGTGAGGCATTGCGCCTTCATGGTTATGGCACTGCATGGGTGCATCCTTTCAGAAATACAGGTAATTATGTATTTTTCTCTTTGGTATTGTTGATAGTTCCCAGTAATTAGCCTCTTTAAGTGATATCTAGGGAACAAGCGGTCTCAAAATCTTTTCTTTTTCTTTCTCCGCTCCTCAGTTTTCCCAAAACAAGATTCTTTAAAATTGAGTTCAGTAGAAAGGAAAATTTGATCTTTTTATCTAAAATGATTCTGAAATCGGTTATTCCTTGTTCTAGTTGGCTTAATGTGAATTTTTTAACAATTATGTTTCCTGCGTTGCTGATAAGTAAGTTGACAATTCTGAAATAAGTGAAATCTTGGTTACATTACATATGAAGCTTTCAAAATTCTTTCCAATGGTATCTTTATATCATAAAGATAATAACTGAAGTGCGTGTTTTTTTTTTTTGCCAAAGAAAAGAATTCATTTCCAGTAAATACCATACATTTTATGTTTTACATATATCAGCATGATAATTGAGATTATGAGATCTTGTAGATAGAAACTCTCATCTGCGACTACCCTTATACACTATAAAAGTGGTGCTGGTAATTCATCCCTACTTAGGATTCCAACCAATGAGGATGGGGGTTGCCTAAGCCAACCCAAGCTGCACGTCCCCATTTTAGACTGTGTTGCCACCCAGTCTGCAGCCCTATTGGCCTGTCTCTGTACCAACTTTAGTTATTTTTCTGGTACCTCTTCCCACAGCTTCATTATTTCCTTCATAACTGGTCTAATATACCTATTATAATTCTCCTTTTTCTTTGAAAGTGATTGAACAGTACTTCAGAATCCATTTCCACGATCACGTCCTGATATTTCTAGCAGCTACAAGCTCCGGCCCTGTTTTTACAGCCAAAGCCTCTGCTGCTAATGCTGAACCTGTCTTCACCTGCTTTACTAGCCCATCAACCAAATTTCCACTTTCATTCCGTATCACTATTCCAACTCCTGCACTTCTATTATTTTCAGTAAACGCCCCATCAGAATTCATTTTTAACCACCATCTTTCTGGGCATGACCATTCTTCCTCCCTTCTTACTGTAATTACCCCCACTTTCCTTGCTGTCTTAGTCTGCTCCTCTTATACTCTGTTAAACTCTGCAATAGCCCTCTTAGCTCTTAACATCGCCAAGTGCGGTACCAGCTCCTTTCCCCCCACTACCACTTCACACCTTGTCTCCGAAGTGCATGTTCTTAAGAACATTATTAAATTGAAATGTGTGGCTGAGTGTTTTTACAAGAATTCCATTATGAAGGTATGAAACTTTGTGGTGTGGGCCATAGATGAAAGGGAATTTGCATTATTGTAAGGAACAAAGCCTTTCCTTTTTTTCACGTCATTGATGCCATAATGCTGTAAATGTAGGCTCCACCGGAAAGAAGACAAGTCTTTTATAGCGAGCTTCAGAGGGTTGGGGCAGAAGGTGCGAAAGTTTTACGCGAGCTTGGAAGCAAATTAGAGAGGATGGAAAAACTAAGCTCAGGTGACATACTTGAAAATGTCCATGAGGCAGCCGAGCAGTTGCAAAAAAGGATAGACCATAAGTCATACATTCTAGTGAATTCTGAGAGCTGGGAAATTGGGGGAAGGCCTCAGGAACTTGAAGACCTAAAAAATCTTGTGGATATACAGGAAGATGAACACGTGCAATTGGGATTTAAATCATTGAGTGAAACTGTGCTGGACCTCAGGTCAATTCCTGTCAGGACAGCTTCTCTACCACCATGTGACGCTGCAAAAAATATGTTTAGAAGATGGCCCTCAAATCTCTCATCTAATGCTGAATCATTCGTCAAGGGTGATGAATGCAAAACATACGAAAGCGCTAGTGCTCTGTCCTTGGCAACATTTGCTTCACTTTTGATAGAATTTGTTGCAAGACTAGACAATGTGGTAGACTCCTTTGAAGAACTAAGTCAGAAAGCGAACTTCAAGGAGCCTATCATCAACATGCCCCCTGGGCCAGGTAAAAAAAGAGTCGGTACTTGGGTTGTCTAGGTTCTAGGTAGCTTATGTTTTTTTCATTAACAAAGATGTGGGATCGTTACTTACCCAAAAAAAAAAAAGGGGTCGTTCTTGGTCCAACAACTAGATCTTGGGTCCCCTCCAAGCGTCAAATGATAATAAATCGTTAAGAGCCATAAGTTCTTACTCGAAAGCAAAATCCAACTTAATCAGTGGATTATTGCTATTGTTAACATGCGAATGTTGATTCCATTACTGATGTTAAAAATAGTGCTTGCCAATTAGTTTCTTTTTCTTCCTTCATTATTTTAAGAAGTCCAAAGCCAGTTAGTATTATATAATGCACAAGCGTCAAATGATAATAAATCGTTAAGAGCCATAAGTTCTTACTCGAAAGCAAAATCCAACTTAATCAGTGGATTATTGCTATTGTTAACATGCGAATGTTGATTCCATTACTGATGTTAGTATTATATAATGCACAATATACAGCCCAATGTCCAATTATCTTTAGCTTAGATCTTCTTAGGAAATTTACAAAAACATATACTACTTTAGTTGGAACAGAATTATGATGCCAGGCAGCAGGAGCTAGGAAATTTTGACAGGCATTAGCATGGGGTGATTGGAAAACTCCCAAATCCTGCTCAAGAAATTAATCAAGAAACAAGTGCAGAACGGATAAAACTGGAAGCGCAAATATTTTCTGCATAGCATTAATTGAGCCTATAGAGAAAGTCATCTGTCATCCCAGTGATTTCCATTTTATTTAGTTAACAATCTTCTCTTTTAAAAAGGCTAATTGGAAGTTAAGCTACATGAAACTTAAATAACAATTTCTTGTTTTTCATCCTCCCATTGGAAAGTTTAGAAATGGCATTCGAGGAGACACAAATCCAATTTGCCATGGTTCCTTTATTGGCATCAATAACAAAACGAAAATGTATACAAGGGGGAATAAATATCTGTGCAGAGAAAGATAATAATGAGAACTTACTTTCACCTTCACTAAATCCGTGATTGGATTGAAGGAAGTCAATGGACTAGCTAGCTTTTTCCTTTTTGTATCTAACATTTCAAAATGCTCACACAAATTTTATGATCTATCTAGGCTGCTCGTCACGAGACTTTCTCCGGTATTAGAAGTATCTAAGAGTGAAATTCTAACAACAAATACACCCCGGATCTCTTTTCTTTTCTCATCTATTTTTCCTTCACAGAATAATTCAAAATTAGATACTTTCAGAAGCCGAACATACCAAAAGTAATTTGTTTATAGTAAAACGTCAAACAGGCTATACCAACACGGAATTTCTTCATTTCTTACACGAACCCTTTTCCTACAGATATCCTGTTATCTGAGTACGATAAAACGATGGTTTTGATGGAAAAAAAATAATAATTGAGTTTAAGAAAGAAAGGTGGTATGACACCATGCCATTTTTTTACTTGTACTTCAATTCTAGACTTGGGTGAGAAAATAGTACCGAATTCAGACCCCACAAGAATCAAGATATAGTAACTTGCCAACAGTAAAATAAAGCGTACAGACATGCACGTCCCGACGATGATTATAAATTATGACAATGGAAAAGATTAAAGAAAAGTCGAATATGATTATCTGATTCAGATCGGATTAAACCATTGTTATAGATGACAAAAATTGACAATCCTTGTTAATCCTCACATGCTTAATGACGAAAACAACTCTCCAAACCCAAAAGAAAAGAGTCATTAGCCTTGAGAGGAACAGTCTTCCAAATACAACAAAAAAGAATGTAATCTATTGCTCGCCATAAAGTAAACAAAAGACGAGTGGAGATAATGTGTTGTTATCTTTCTAATCATTTATTCAACATTGAATTTATAAAGATAGATGAACCACTTTCTTCAATGATGCCAAGCATGAACCAGAAAATCATCTCCCATCAACTCAAAGTCCTTCAAAATGTGCTATATTGTGCATCCAACAGATAATGAAGAAACTAAAACAGGGGGGACAGTGGTTTTTGAGGTTCAACGGACTCGAGTCACTCAACTAATTGTCAAAGCTATATAATTGATATGAAATGCTGGTGACGCGTGGACGGAGTATTTATGAACCTGCTGCCAGTTGGATGGTCGTTTACGCCACCCTTTCCTCTTCAATCAAAACTACCAAGTGCCAACTACTTTTCAAGCATCCTCTCATAAACAAACCGACATCGTTTTATTACCCTTCCCACCACTGTCCTGTCTCTTTTCAGTTTAGATGTATATACTCGTATGTTCTTCGAAAGTTTAGTTCTATCAATAACTTCATCTGATCTGTTACTCACCCTTTATCAGGTATGTTTAAAGAAGTTCAATTCATGAAAAAAAAAGGATTTTTGGGTCTTCTAAATCAGTGTTTTTTTTTTTTTTTATCTACTATTGTCGGTTGATGCAGAAATGGCAGGGAGGTCATTTTTGCGGGGTTCTAGAGATGAGAGTAAAGAAAGGCTGCTTTCAAGGAAAGGGTATTCGGAATTTGGTTTAAACAGCTCAGGTGGCAGTGAGGATGGAGTTAAATGCGGGTGTTTTCGATCATGTTCTGATTCAATTAATAAATTTTGGAATGGTTTGCAAGAAACGTCTGTTAAGTTATATGAAATGGGTCGATCAGATCCTCGGAAGGTATTTTTTGCTGCAAAAATGGGGCTTTCACTAACAATTGTATCACTGCTTATATTTTTCAAAGAGCCTCTAAGGGATGCTAGTCAATACTCGATCTGGGCAATTCTTACTGTTGTCGTGGTTTTCGAATACAGCGTAGGTATTTGCTTCAATATTCATGCTTCATTTCTGCCAATACAAATTTTCCACTTTTTTTTTTTTTTTGATCGTGGCAATGAAATCAATTTCTTTATTGTAGGTGCTACACTTAACAAAGGATTCAATCGAGCTATAGGGACTTTCTCTGCTGGAGCCCTTGCTTTAGGCATTGCGGAAGTATCAATATTGTCCGGAAAGTTTGAAGAAGTTATTATTTTGATAAGCATTTTCATAGCAGGTTGGAGTTCTAGCAGTAATCGTATCTATTATAAATATACAATAGCATTCCTGTATAATGTATCTTCCTGCTTACAGTATCAATCTGCTTTATAACTCTTAAAATTTCATTTTGCTTTAGGATTTTGTGCAAGTTATACCAAATTGTACCCTTCCATGAAGACATATGAATATGGTTTTAGGGTATTCTTGTTGACATATTGTATCGTACTGGTGTCTGGAAACAACTCCAGAACATTTTTCAACACTGCTTTTTATCGATTGTTGCTCATTGCGGTTGGTGCTGGCATTTGTTTGGTTGTAAATATATGCATATACCCTATATGGTCGGGTGAGGATTTACACAAATTGGTGGTTAAAAATTTCAAGAGTGTTGCTTCTTCCTTGGAAGGTTAGCTTTAGTTTCTTTTTCTTTTTTTTTTTTCCCCTTTTTTAAGTACTGCTCCTAGTAGTTTCTCTTTGAAATTCCTTAATTTTCTGTTATGAAGTTGTACTACTCACTATGATGAATTGCTTAATTGATAGCTTTGAAGTTTCTTTTCTAGGCTGTGTTAATGGATACGTGCAATGTGTTGAATATGAGAGGATCCCTTCCAAAATTCTTACATACCAAGCATACGATGATCCATTGTATAGTGGCTACAGATCAGTTGTGCAGTCTTCAAGCCAAGAGGAATCTCTGGTATGTTCTCATATGCTAGTTTTCACCATCTTCCTTATCTCCAAGAATTTAGAAACTTTTTATTTATTTTGAGTACCTTGTCTTTGTTTTTTTTTTTTTTTTTTTTTTTTCCAGCTAGATTTTGCCTTATGGGAGCCTCCACATGGTCCTTATAGAACATTCAACTACCCTTGGAGAAACTATGTCAAAGTAAGTGGTGCACTGAGACATTGTGCATTCATGGTCATGGCAATGCATGGGTGTATACTTTCTGAAATTCAGGTGAGATGACTATCTCATTTAATATTTTCAAAGAAGTCATTTCTAGCAACATTGTTAGCTCCTGGGGTTTTATTGGAATATCCACAGAGATTACAGCTTTACCAAATATTTAGCAGATCCTTTTTTGAAATACATATATTTCAAACTTATTTGTTTTACTCTTTCTGGTAGACCTCTTTTTTTGCAAAGCAGTTACCAAGGTTGCTAGACTTTTCCTTTCAGCATCAGTCAATTGTTTAGCATTCCCTTCCTCTTTAGTGTGCCCCCTCCAGAGTTGTGGACAACCCTATCCTACGACTGTAAAGTGCCCATAATTTCATAAAATATAGAGAAAAACTGCCTTCTATTAATTTATTGTTCATCATTTGGCACTTCTTGAGTTATTAAGCAATCAGAAGAATGGTATATAGGCTAACAAGTTGGATAATAAAACAACCTAGATAGTTTAGACAGAAAAGTTATCTGTGCTTGTTGCGTGCCCTTATTTGTATATGATAGGTCCTCATCAAAGGATAATGCCTGAGATTATAACTTTGTAAAAAAGGAAGATAACAAAACTGCATCAGTCTGGCAAAGCTTAGGAATTTCCTACAAAATTATGTGATTTCCACTTATGCAGTGATACAAAGCTTCCTTTATTTTACTTTTCCTGTTTATTTCAACAATGGCATTCATCATTTTATGCCTTCATCTTGATCATAAGAAGCGTAATGATGATGTTTAATGGTAAATGAATAATTCCTGAAGGGCATGAAAGGTCCTTGTATATCCAGAATGATAACATGGCAGAAATCTCTGCTAGAAGTGAACTTGCATCAATGATTTGCTATTGACAATTCTGCCAACACCCCTAGAGCTATAATTACATAATCAGATTTTGTAAATTTGTACATGCAGGCCCCACCAGAGAAGAGACAAGCGTTTGCTAGTGAGCTTCAGAGGGTTGGTAATGCAGGAGCTAAAGTGCTGCGTGAGCTTGGAGACAGAATTGAAAAGATGGAAAAGTTAAGCTCTGGAGACATACTGAGGGAAATACATGAGGCAGGAGAGGATTTGCAATTGAAAATAGACGAAAAATCATTCCTTCTAGTCAATTCAGAAAGCTGGGCAGCTGCGCCGCAGGTCAAGGAATATGAAGAACCTGTGAGCATAATTGATGTTAAAGATGATGAGAATAAAGTGATCAAATCCCTCAGTGATATGTGGGATGTTCAGAACCCAAACATGGCCGGAATGGACTCTCGCATGCCAGATTTAATTACCTCAGAGAGTATGCTCCAGAAACCATCATGGCCACGTCTCTCATTTACTGCAGATGCATTGCTGAACCAACAGGAATCCAAAATATATGAAAGTGCTAGCTCTTTATCTTTAGCAACATTCGCATCACTCTTGATTGAGTTTGTTGCGAGGCTCCAAAATCTTGTGGACTCATTTCAAGAGCTTAGTGAGATAGCAAATTTTAAGGTACCCGTTGAGCAACCAATTGGAAAAGAGGTGACAGGATTTTGGAACAGACTAAGAAGTTGGTTTCACTCGAACTGAATTCTAGAAAAATTGTTGAATGATCATATTTTGGACTTCCAACTATTGAGCTATAATTTGTTATTTTTTGTTACATTTGGACACTCGTCTCAATATATTTGTGTGATCGAAGAGCTGAAAGTACCTTGTGAAATAATACATCAATACTTAAGTTGGAACTTGGAATAATTATTTTTTAAAATAAGGTTAATTGAATTTAAATTTATAAAAGTGTCAATAAGAAGTTTAAAAAAATTATTATTAAATCACTTAACAAATTTCACGAAAGGATCAGATTAAGAATTTGTTGGAGGATCAAAAGTATTTCTCCTATTTTCTTCTAGTTACTATTGCAAAGATATGGGCCCAAAATTAACTACTTCAGTTAGGCTTTGGACTTATTTGCATGAGAAAGGAAGTTTATGGCCAATTATTTAATTAGCCCGTCAACCATGAAATTTATGGGTCTTTATTCTTCACTGGTCCATCATCATCCATATACTAAAAATACTAGAAAATCGAAAATCGAAATATAAGGTAAGAGAGTTAAAACTTTCTGAAATTGCTTGCCGAATAAGTTTTGATCAACATCTGATATTGCAATGGTTTTCCTTGTTACAAGTTGCATGAGCAGCCTGCGGATCAAGCGGAGCATAATACATGGAGATAATAGGAGAAACAGTAAAGTGTATGAGTCCAACTCCCGAAAAAATTTAAGATTAAATACTTAATTTGAGATTAAACATTTAGGTGATTTTTCGATTCATGATTAAATATTTTAATTTATATAAATAAAAATTAAACGTTTTCTATTTATAATAATATATTTTTTTTAACAAAAAAATTACTACGAAAGGTACGTACAGTAAAAAATTTAAAAATCAACTGACGTGGCATTTTAATGCTAACTGCAGATACATAGTATACGGTTCAATCTTCTGAAAAAAAAAAAAAAAAGAATTAAAAAAAACAGGATCTAGTTGTTTACCTCTTTTTTGATCTTGGTGCCTGAGATTGCAGATTTTCTATATTAGTAGGCCTTGAAACCTCATGCTGTTGAACAACTTATTACAGCTGCTGTTGTCGGTGTAACGGATTAAATTGCTGCTGTGACTGTGATGGTGGCTGTTCCTATATATGGTGTAGTTATTGCTGGTTTCTAAATTGGCCAAAAGCGAAAATAAGAGAGAAGGTGAGAGTTAAAAAGGGGAACTGTTTATCGCTCGGTGTTATCAGTTTTGAGTCATTATTTATGCTCGCAACACTATTCTCTCTTTGTCTCTCTTCTCATTTTGATTTCTTGAGAAATAAAAGAAGAACAACTTTTCTTGTTGTTATGTATATTTCTAGCAATCAAGCAAGCTATAATTTCTTTTAATAAATACTAATATGATTGCTCTTTATAGAAATTGCTTTAGGAATTTTTACCATAAAACAAAGATTTTTATCTTTATAAATTCATTTCACCATTTTTCTTATCAATTTGATTTTTTTTCTTATCTTAATCCTTTATCAACGAATTTAAGCCTATATAAAGCCCTTTTTGCTTTACTTTAATTAACCCATTATCTATAATATCTTTGATTTCACATCAATTTTATTTCATTTCTTTTTCTTCTTTTTGCTCAACTAAACCCCAAGATCATTAAGAAGGAAAAATAATAAGAGATTAAAAGCTAACAATAAATTTATTCTTGATCAAGCTAAATTTCAAAAGATCATTTTGTATTCGTAATAAATCTGTTGGGTTCGTAATAAATAAGACCCTAAACTATTTTAGAAGAAAAAATAATAAGAGATTAAAATTCGCTTAAATTCATTAGTGAATAACCCAAAATAAGAAATGATCAAGCAAACAGAAAATGTATTAAAATAGCCTTAAACAACAGCATAGAGGCTTCAATTGGATATTTGTTAAATAATTCATTTTGTAGACTTACAAACTTGTAATTCATAAAGAAAACCTTAAATTCTCTCAGCTTGATAAAAAAGAAGAGAAATGAAATAAAAAAAAAAGCAAGAGCCTTTCATTTGTCATGTCACAAGAAAACTTAATTTTATATGTTATTTCAGGTGAGATTTTAACGATACGTATTATTTACAGCATAATTTTTATTAAAAAAAAATTATATTATTATAAATCGATAATATTTAATATTTGTTTGTATAAATTAAAACATTTAATTTTAAATAAAATAACTACTTAAACATTTAATCTCAAATTGAGCATATAACCAAATTTTAGTAATTCTGTCCATTCTTTGAACTTTTTTTTTTTTTCTTGAAGAAACCAGATAATCCCAAAACTTCCTAATTCAATGTGGTTGATCAACTTGTCGTCCCAAATATTCAAGTTTTTATGGTTTTAACAACTCAACTGATAAGGTATCTGCTATAGCAGTCAGCCAGCTGATATTTGATACGCCTACTTGTTGTTTACCTCTGATTTAATTAAGCAATAAAAATAATCAGATGCCATGAACTTAAATCATTTTCTTAGTCAAAATTGAATGCTTTTCAAAGTGAATTGCTAGAAGAAAAAGTAAAGGTCCAAGTCATTCTAATCCACTTGGTTCAACAAACCAGTTCTTGAAGATTTAATATTAAATAAAAAGCAATTAAGAGACAAACATGAACTAACGTACGAAAAGAGAAACATTCCCTATGTCAAGATCCATTGGAGAGAATTCAAGCCATCTTGTTTCTTTGGACCTGAAACATTGACCCTAAACAAAGTCATTAATACTCCAGATTCTCCTATAAAATGTCCAACCATTTTATTTCGACTCCAAGCTTTTCCAGTTCCAAGTTTTTCTTATGAAATTCAACAACAGCCTTCAGCCCATCATGGATATGAACATGAACATAGACCACAGTTATGAATATGATGGGATTGATGAAGATGATGTTTTCTATGCTGAGATTAGAAAACAGATTCTACTTTTAACAGCAGATGATGACGAAGATTATCAGGAAACTAAAATTTTCCACTCAATTAGCAGTAGGAAACCAGGTTCAAACAGACCAGTCAGAAATTTCTCCTCTTCGTCACAATATGGAAGTTATTTCAGTTCGCGGGAAAGCGAGAACACAAACTCAGTACCAACTTGGCTTGCAAATCTATGGAGAAATGGCAATGGAACTGGAGTGTTTATCCCCCGCATCATCAATTCCAGAAGACGACATATGCCTGGTATGCAGGTTTCTAGATTATAATGGCAATTTTTCATTTCAAGTACACCATTTCTCTTCTCTTTTCTGCAGGTTTCTGTTTCGTTGCAATGACTAACATTTACCCGGCAACTTGCAGGAAGGACGAACAAGAGAAAAGTTTACAGACCAGTAGAGACCAAAATATCATGAACAAGCAGAATCCATCGCAGGATCAATCGGTTCATATATCTTTATTTCGTAAAATAAGATGCTGTAAATAACTCTGTTGGATGGTTCTATCATTGATTACATTAGAATTTGAATAGGAGCTTATATTACGCAGGCATATTATGTTGACAAGAATCAACACGTAAATAGCTAAAAGTACTCGTCCATTCTTATTTGAAAGATTACCATTATTTGGGATATAGCCAATACATGGATGTGACATGTTATTATAATCTTTATGGTTAAATACTCTTAAAGCATTTAATTAGGTTAGAATTGTACTACGATGATTATTACCGCCATCAAAGTTTTGGAGAATTTGCATCACTTGTTAGATTACTACCGAGTCACAACACATGCTCAGATCCTTCTTAATATACAGCGCTCTTCTCAATACTGGCTTTTCTATAGGCCAATAAGCGGAAATTTTCCTAGGGTTGCTGACAAAATTACACAGCAACCAAGATTTAGCCTATCATGAGACATTTCACATCATGCTTTAGCTTCGCCATCCCAGCACCTTCAATGGGTTCCAAAAGAAGGTGAAAATGCAGAACTATTCTGTGCAAAGCATTCATGAAATTAAGAAGAGCCTCAAGGAATGAAAGAATATCAGTTTCTGGGTCGGGCTAACCATAAAGAGCTAAGTGCCCGGAGCCGAGAAGTGTAATCACTAATAACTAGCAGGGCCCGGGCTGCTTGGCGAGTGGTCAAAATTCGATGCATTTGTTGCAGAGTCTGCTGTCTCAAAAGGTCAGCCTGGAAATTAAAGTGACACTTGTAAAAACTGTGATGAGTACATGACTACTTGATGGGTGAGATAAAAGTAATTTACCTGGTAAAGGAAGTTCTCCAATGTGGCAAGCTTGCCCATCGCAATTGCCATCTGGCCCATGTAGTCTGCAACATTTCTAGAACCAGTAGGACCCAAACATGCAGATGAAAGGGTGTCTACCAGAGATTGTTGCAAAGCTTCCATTCCTTGTGATAAGGCATCTTCAGCCTGTTGAGAGGACTGTTGCAGATTACATAGGCCCATTAATTGTTGGTCTGTCAAAGGCTGAAGGTGGTTTCCAATGATCTAAAGTTCCAAGTTCAAAATAGTTGTCAACCAAAACATGTATTTCAACAAAACTCAAAAAGCATTAGATTTAGATAATAGAATGAAAATATCAAACAGTAAAGCACCTTGAGAAGTTCAGATGATCGAAATCCTCCCAACCACATAAAACACCTCTCTGCTGGTGTTTTCCACATACCAGAGAGCATGTGAAATACATCTGCCTTTGCACCAATGCTTTTTAGCCTGAAAACCCCATAATAATGTGCCATGACACCCTCAACAAGAATGCGCAATTCATTATCTCCCATACGAGAATTTACAGCTGATCTTAGGTCATTTATCAGCTGTTGATGTTCATCAAACCAGAGAGCATAGTCCATGTCAAAGGCTAAGGCCCCTGGAAGCATAATGAAGGATTAAACCATGACAGGAAATCATCATTAAAATAATAAAAATGAATAAGTTCTATCTATAGCGATCAACATCCTAGCTTTCAGCTATCAGTAGATCTGCTACTGAAATCACAAACACCAACAAGACCTAAGATACATAAAAGTTTTTGGCCTTTAACATATAGAAGCAAGCCAACAATTAGATGCACCTGTATAATAGTAGAGGTGTTTGTGCCTCTATACAGAAGACAAATGGAGCTTGTAATGCAAGCAAATCTAAAATCTTGCAGTCATAATGATCAAATACTAAAAAATATTTTATAAGCAATTTTCTTTATCTATTATAATCCCAGTTCCATTCCACAGCCCACTCTGAATGACTTCAGTTTTGCCATATACTTAAGCCAATTCAGTTGGCTCTCCTTTTAACACCCATATGATGAGGCTTTATCTTCTATGATTAAATTGATAATCACCCTATCCTGTAGCCGTCTACAACTCTTATGCATACGGGTATCTTTCTTACTTCTTAGATGCACCAAACTTCAACCATCAATGAACAGTGTCAGTCTAAGAATCTGCAAAATTGACATGGTCATATACCTCACCCAATGTTATCATGTCTGGGACCAAACTATAAACTATAATTGTAGGGAAATCGCACAAATGCAAAATGCATTTGAAGGGGTGAGGACGACCAACATCATGTCTTTTGTATGAAAAATTAACAATAATGCAGGGAAAGGTCCCCCCAGGCAACACATTTAGCAGCACTGACCCAAAAAAACATAATCATGTCATCACTAAGATCTATAAAACCAGATTCAAGTATTGTCATTGGTGGCTAGTGAATGGGAGGTTGAAGTCACAACTAAATAATTCTCCCAACCTTAGTACTCTGAACTAAAACTCTTTAGGGATAGCTCTTAGAGGTGTAAGTGAAAAACAAGTTAACACTATGAACTGACGCCCTAAACAGTGTCTAAAATCTCCTTACCATTTTCCGTAGCTGAATGGGCATGGTCCCCAGAAAGTCCAGATGCGATAAAAATACCCTGAATTGAAACATAAAGCTAATCAGGAACAAAAATAACTTTGGTTTATACACCAGTAGTAATGAAGATGATAACCTTTAAATCTACGGCATTGGATCAATAAAAACAAAAGAAGAAGAAGAAAGCAGGAGATTGTGCATCCTGAACTAGAGATTGTAAATTACCCCCCTTAAGCCTCACCCTTCAATAAACAGAATTGATTATCATACCTGCTGTTGTGCTCTTTGAAGTGCTTGCTCTAGTTGTGTAAGCCTAAGTTGACTATTTTCAAGCTGCTGAACATATGCCTATCCAAAAACCAAAACCCATAAATGATCCAAACATGCTTCATTGATCAACTTATAAGAACACAAAGGAAGCAGATGACAAAACCAATTTTATATATACCAATAAAGCAAAAAAATAATAAATGAATAAATAATCAGAGGAAGTAAAACAAAGTACCGCATTTACATATGCATCACTAGAGTCATGCATCAGTAGAACCAAACGAAAGTTGGTTATGGTACCAATGCACTTTCTTTCTTTTGCTAGACCAGATTCTAACCTTGCAGGACAAGTATAAACTTTCTAATAGAAGAAAGAGTACATCCAGTAACTTCAACTCAGACTATTCCCAAAGTTTAAGACACTTAGGTGTGCGTACTAAACCATCTCTTTTAAGTTTTAACCTACCACCTTCACATTTACTTCTAGTTGGGATAAAACATTTTAAGCAAAAGATAAGTCAAAACTGTTACATAAAAAGTCACTGAGCTTTTGAATCGAATATCTTATACAACTATTATCGGCAACATTCCATTAAGGCAAAGCAGATAAACTATCTTTCCAAAATATTGATACTCATGATACTTGAGTAGTAGTCAACTTAGGAGTTGACCTTGCTTTCAGACCTAATGCATAAATAAAGCACTGAAACCCAGTGTAGTGCATCCTTCCTTTCCCATGCATGCATAAGGCATCAAATTTTCAACTCTCCAATAATGACCATCACAATGACAAATCCTTAACTTGTAGAAGGCTAATCACTCTAAAGTGTCCATGTTGTTCGTAAGTTCAATAGATCACAATTCAAGGCCTATCAGACAAATTGAATCTACTTAAACTTGGAAAAAACATGGAAAAACAGGATGTCAGACAAAGTCTATGAATCCTAATTATCCACCATGAAAAAGAAAAACATAACAAAAAGCAATAAAAATACGATACTTTCTTCCTCAATCTACTCTTCCTTGCAGCTTCTCGATTCTGAGCAAGCCTGCGAAGTGTCTGAAGAAACAACAAGCAAGAAGTCACACAGTTAGCTTCCAAATATTAAAATTGATTCCACAACAACTTCAATAATGTTAACAACCTTTTGGTCGCCGCTTTTTGACTTGGAATGAGCTACAGAATCCACCTTTATAATAGCTCCATGTTGAACTCCACGAAGCTACAACACAATTAAGAGTTAAGAACCACAGAAGTTAAAATAACCCACCAAAGCCAAAAAATTTAAAGAACACCGGTACTAAGATTTACGCATCATAAAATTATTATGCTTTGAAACAATTTTTTGATCAAATTTCTTTGGTCGGTTAACAACAATAAGTGTCAGCCAGCAAATTTCCAAAATCAATTTAAAAGACGACCAGTGTCAAACTAAGTACGAGGACATTTGCAATTGTAAGCATTAATTAATTCCATCTGACTCAGGCAATCCTATTAGGAAATCATCATCACAATCACCCAAAAGGGTACATAATTCTCTACTAGACCTAGCAAAATTTTAGAACAAAACATGATTATAATGCAATGCCAATTTCTAGCCTAAAGATGTTCCCACTACAACAACACATGAAAGAAAGAAAAAAAAAAAGAGCATAAAAGAAATATAGAGAAAACCTGGTTTTTATCGTCAGTGTCAACATCAGTAGAAGTGTCAGTCTGTTGGCTATTACCAGCAAGGCCAGAGTCACCCCAGTTTTCAAATTGCCGATTTCCGAACGAGGCACCAAAAGTTCTCTCTTTCTGGTACATGAACTGCCCTGTGTCCAAACACTCCATTCCACTTGAAACTATCTCTGTTGCCCCAATGCTCTTCACGAAAGCAAAATTATTTGTATGGAACATCAGAACTATGCGAAATATATGCAAAAATGCTTATGTCACTTGTGTGCAAAGAGAGAGGTTGGTAGGGGTTGAGTACCGTGTTGAAGGTGCCATGGTGCAAGCTATTAGCAACAACAGCAACATTGCTGGATTTTAAACTAAAAATGGAGCCTACAAGGAATTTTATAAACAGAGAAAGTAGTTAGGGAAGTTCAAAATTCCAGAGAATAGTTAAAGAAAAAAAAAGCATACTTGAGCTTAAATCAACAGCATCATCGTGATGAAAAGCGGCAGCGCGATGGTCAAGCTCTCCAAGATCCGAGAAACGCGTCTGGTGACGGCTATTACAATCGTCTCCTCTGTTTTCAACTCAAACAGAAATAAAAACAGGGAAATAAAAAGAGTCAGAAGAAAGCATGTTCCTTTCTTTGTACTACAACAGAAACAGCAGCCACCTTTCTTTCTTTGCGTACATACCATTGCATTGTAATCAAAGACATGCACTTTCTACAAAACAAAATCCAAATCGATGGCTTAATGAGAAAGCAAGCGAAGATACCTGAGAAAAAAAGAAGAGTGGCAAAACATGTCTGGGCTAGTAGGAGCTGCAGCTTTGAAGCTCTGCATTTTCCTTTTTCCTCTTTTCCTATAAAGTGAGAGTCTGTTGCGTTCCTAAGAAAAAAAGGAAGGTTGAGAGAAATAGACGAGAAGTGGGAGAAAATCCTTGGGGAAGGATCTTTAATGGCGGAAGGATAGCGTATCAGTACGGGTTCTTTTTTGTTTATATGAGTTTTAAATAACACACCAGGCTTTTTATTATTGCGTTCAGAGTTGGGATTATAGTTTCCTAATAAAACCCCTACTGTTTCCTGTATCACTCCCTCATTCTCTCCTTGCTCTGCGTCTTTTTCACTCTCCCTTCTATACTCTCAACCCCCTATTATTTTGTCCTGCCAAACTTCTCTTGCATGCGAAAAAAGATTTAGCAGCAGCCTCTATCTCAATTTCAGTTCATTATTTTTCTATGCTTGGAAACTGGAAAACAGAAAAATGAGAACAAACAAGTTTTGTTTTTAATGTTTCTGGTCAATTCGTAAAGCTTATACTTGTTCATTGCCTATACCATGAGCAAACAGAACGTTGAATTCGTGAGAGATATAACCACATGTTTCATTTTAAAATGTAGGATTAAGTTTTAATAGCTTAACTTAATAAAAGCTATTAGCACTTATCAATTAACTTGATAGAAATTCTCTTGAAAGAAAAAAAAATTGTTGTGTTAAGAGGAGATTGTAGTTCACTAAAAGTGATGATTAAATTAGTTTTTTACCAATTGAGTTACGTTTTAAGCTTCAAATGCTTTAATAAGAAGGGGAAAGTTGACAAATCACGAAATTAGATTAACAAAATGTTCTTAGAAATAATAATAAAGAAAATTTTGAATTATGGACTGACTAACGTAGTTCAAATTGGACCAAATCATGATTCTAGATTGGTCCTGGCCCTAAAACATTTTTTAAACCCAATATGAATGAAACCCAATTTAACAAAGAACCCAGATTTAAACCATGACGGCATGACCCAGCAATATGAGCCACCTTGTTCTAAATGCAAATGCTAAAGGTTAATAAAGGTTACATGCGTTAAAAAATAGTAAATAGTAAACTAGTAGTGCATTTGCTCATGTCGTGATTTTCATTGTTGCACGCTCTGGACATGCGAGTAAGTAGTAAAGAGCCCACTCCACAGGACAAGAAACCCCCAAACGTTGTCTACTCCTTTCTCTCTCTCTTCCTTGTCTCTGAGGTGAGAGCCAGACAAGATATGAGATGATTCTTTCTTTCTTCTCTCTAGAGCTCTAGAGAGGAGTGCTACTGGCTGCTTTATTAGCAGGCTCAGATAGAGCTAGCTAGCTTTGCTTTTCTTGGATTTTTTTTTCACCTATATTTCTTCTATAGCACTGCGCGGTTTAATGATGTGATGGTGATGAGATATCCATAATCTAATCCGCCCTAACAGTACGTTTTTATTCTTTTAGAATTCAATTAAAAGCAGCCGCTAGGGTATGGAGTATGGAAGGGAGCAAGGGCAGTTTTTAAGAGCAGAGCTGGCTATAATATTTTATTGTTTTTATTAATTAGATTTTGTTTTCTGGTGGGTTTAAAATTCTGCAAGGCAGGCACAAACTACTATACTATACAAATTAGTGAGAAAATCAGAGAGGGTACTTTGTAAGGAGTAATCTAGTCATTAATGAATGAATAATTGATTACTGTGATTCTGACAGACACGTAAAGAGATTATGACGCATCTGAAACTGGATTCGTACAGTTATGACCTGCCACGTTTCTCTGGCGATGCTTTTTTTGGGCCTTTTTTTATAGATTATATATTTACTACAAGGGAAAGTGAAAATTGGGATTGGCTGTTTTTGTTTTCTTCAAATCTTTCTCACGTGATTATGGGTTATGGTTTGTGGATGGTTACCCACTTCGTTTTCTTCTTTTTCGATTCTCTCGTGCTCTTTCAAATATATTTCATTTCACATGTAATGTTTGCATGGATAAAACCAAACCATAGCAACAAGCATTTTGCTCATCCCAAAATATTAATGCACTTTCATCTTATGATGATTAACAAAGTTATATATATATAATTTAATCATGATAGTACGACTTTTCGTCTTTCATTTTCAAGAGAAGCGATAATTTTCCTCCTTAATGTCCTGTCAGAAACAAGAGAAGGGATATCACCCATATCCTCTCTTTCATTTTCTATCCACTCCATTCCCTGAATCCAATCATAGTGAAAGCACAAAAGTCAAGGCTGATATAGGAAACGCACTCAAGTATACATACAGAAGGAAGACACGTAGAAGCAAAGGTGAGGAACCTCCATATGCTGCTTGATCAGACCATTTGGCGAACATCTCCAAAAGGGGGTTGAAACTTGATGCTTCTCACAAGTTACCTGCAACCACCAATCATATTGCCACTAAATTTGGGTGCAAAATAAGAGTCCACTTTTTTAGTCATGGACCACTGCAATTCATGGTATGCAATAGCTCATTAGTTTCTGTTTCAGCCCAAACTGTATACCCCTCTATTTGCACTGAAATCCCCAATTTCTAGATGGCTCCTGCTCCCCCTGGAACATGAGCCATAGCATTCTGACTAGTCTCGCCAGCCAGCCGAGTCTTATGTCACTATCAAAACAATAATTAGGAAAAAAAAGGAAGCATCAAAACAAAAATTAGGCAAAAAAGGAAGAAAAGCCACTTGGTATGAATTAAATCTTTTGAACATGATAATAACACAAGGCTTTACTTCCGTCGCAAGTAAACTTTCGTTGCACTTTTGTTAGGCATGTAATCTTACATCCATTTCCAACGCAAAAGACACGTATCCTCCCCCCCCCCCCCCCAAAAAAAAAAAAATCCAATCAACTCTAAAAGATAATTACTTGTTGTAATTTGCAACATAGACAAAAGAAAAACAGGGCAAGTTCTATTAAACAAAGTCATTTATATTTGGAATACTAATTTAAAGAGTATGAATTACACGAAACATTTTGGTTAATAGATGTAAAGGTTTCAAAGAGGGAATGTATCTTGCATGTGGCTTTCAAGCTGGTTGTGAGTCCATACTTCCCTGGCTCGTGCACTCCTATGCTGAAGTCGCTGGTGCAGTGTCTCCGACATTTGGTTAAAGAATTGAGAATCCCATCTTTGAATCAAGGAGGGGTCTTCTGCATAACATATGTATATAGATGTAACAGCGCTTTCAACAACGACCATCGCAAGTCCCACCTGAAGTAAGCATTTTCCATACTTCAATCTTCAAATAACAAAAGAAGCGGAAATAAGCCTGATCATAAAGTTCAATTAATAGCAGTCATATAGCATATGCACTATAGTTCTACTTTGGGTTTATACAGCAGTTTGCTCTATGTTTTTCAGACTTCTTCTGAGAGACTGAAATCGAATTGCATGTATTTACTGCAACCAAGAGGTTTCAACCGAGTCTTTAAATCCAGTGTGCAGTTTGCCCACATCAATTTCCTACTGATTTATCACATTTATATGCTAATGTCCACATGAAAAGCCAACAATTTCAGCAAAAACAAGTAGTAATTTATGCTGAAATTTTCCATTAATTAGTAGTCACTATTTCTCATGTATCTTAGATAAGTGATTTACTGTCTATTACTAATTGTTACTACCAGAATAAATAAGGCAGGACAAGCAAAAAAGGACTCTGTCACTCTGCTATCCCATAATAGTAACAGACATTGCCAAAAGACAATTGAAAAGTAAGGGATCCATTTTAAAACAAAAGAAAGAAAATTAAGGGGTCAATCGGTCTAAATAGATAAAGGTCTTTTTTACTGCCAAACTAGGAAAACTCAAAAAAAACATTACTGCACATAAACCCTAAACCAAATTGGGAAACAAGGATTCCCAGTTGATTAGCAATAGGGATAAATATTGTTGAAGAATAAAAATTACACTAACCAAGACCATTCCCATCAACATTGCAGTGGACCCCACCATGATCACTTTGTCCCTCCATGCAATCCATGTCCAAATACCAGCACAAGTTCCAGTGATAAGCCCACCCAAGACGGTACCCATCAGAAGAACAGCACCAGAACAATCATAGGCAACTAGTGCTTCAACTCCGGTTGACTGGAATAACTCCCAAGCATCCCTTGCTGATCGGTTAAAACCTTTGCCATAAACAGCTATCTGGTAGGAACAGAGCGTGCCAACCATACTATAGTTAATTTAAAATTATATGAATTTATAATTGCAGGCCTCTTATAGATTACTATAAGTAATGTGAGAAATGAACTACTCAAATTTAAAAACGAAAATCCTTTTTGTGGCTAAACACCATCCACCGGCAGAAGGAAAATAAAAGTTTCTCTTGCCCGGAAAACTCATGGGATAAATGGACACATCTAAAATAGGAGCAATCTCATGCGACAAACAGACCTAAAAATCTTGGATACCCCCTTCACTCCAACAAACAAAGTATATGTTACTATTTTGCCGTGCCCTAAGATACATTAATGCCTTCAGGAAGTTAACATTGGTGCTAATTTGAAAACTGTTGCTATATGCGCTCTAAAAAACAAGTTACAAATACATTAGGGAGATTACCAAGAGAAGTGCATAAAACTACCTGGACATAGGCATACTTGTTGAAAAATCGAACAAGGGTCTCCACAAGTTGAAATAAAAAATCAACACAGCAAAGCAAACACTCATTGTTTCCAATCTTTGACCGGAATCCTCTGATCTAAAATGCATTTTCAAGTTAAATACTGAAAATAGAAAGCATTCATTTGAATCTTGAAATCAGTGAACCAGTCAGAGAAAAGCAAATACTGGTGTGCTTACCTCCCACCGCAGAGTGCGAATAGCAGCTGTGAAAAGTGACCCATAGCAAATGCTTCCAAAAGATTTTGTTACAGCATATTGTAGAGATTTCATCAATGAGTTGGGAGGCATTGATGAAGCATTTCGATCACCATGAATAAGAACAAGAAACACCAACCCAGACACTATAACATGTACAGTATTGCAAAGGACAGCACCTGTCCAAAATAAGCTTACAGAGAGAACCTGCAAGTAGAAATGGCAGCATTACTAGTTTTATTGCTACTTAATTGACCATTTTTCTAACAGAAATCTCCCGCAACTCCCATTGCAGTAACAACGGATGGAATTAAGGGCAAAACTTGCCAGCTCACCACAAGAAGCCACCAGCGTCCAAGGTCACCCCTGCTTGAAGCCACAACACCAGCTGCTCCGAAAGACCATATGCCCATCCATAAAAGCATAACTGCCATAAATGCATATGCTACTCTCATAACTTCAGGAAGACTCCATACCAACTTTACAGCTTTTTGCAAGACCAGCATGGTGAATGGAAGCCTGTGAAAAAAAAATCTGGTCAAGGCAGAGTGCATAAGATCTTATTATTCCAAACCAGAATTATCCACTACTAACCGCCTTGAAATGAACAGAGATCTATAAACCTTTTGGCAGAATATAAGCATGCACATGATTCTCCAGTATCATGACTCCAGAAAAGATAGTATATTCATGGCAGATTTGTTGAATGGAATAAACTTAAGAAAATAATTTTATAATCATATAATTTTTTTTTTCAATAGAACTCTTGGTTGACTGGACATTTAAAATCCACCTACTAAGCATTGACTCCTCGACAAATCATGAGCCAATGTGACTCATAATTCAGTTTCTATGTACTAAACTGAACCTCATTGAGTTGATAAATATGTGCTAACTCAATTTAATAACCCTTCTGCTAATCCTGCCGTAGGTATTGCAAGTGCACAAACCAGGGCTCCAGTATATTATTAGAAGTATCTCATTCTCCTTAATACATTAAAACCAAAACTTGAACATCTCAATTCCTATAACAGTTATTTCAAATCTTGGTAGAACCATCATGTTCCATCACTCCAATGTTCCTGACAACAGGAAATTAATCAATTTATAAACAAGGTAATATTTCAGTGAAAAAAATTGAACTGTGATTTAACAAATAAAGGAGTTCTAATTTAAAGTTAAGTTTGCATAATGAAATTAATCGTTTGCCACCTTTGTTTTATCTCTTCATAACATCCAACAATGAATAAATCCTAGATGACACATTTCATCATTACCAAAAAATAAAAAAAACAAAAAATTAGCCAGTTCATACCTGTCTATAACCGATATAACATACAAGAACTGCAGTGCAGCACCAGTTGCAAATGCCACACCCCAGAAAAACTGTTCGCACCAAAAACATAAAACACTAATCACAGCGAGGTATGTTGTCAAAATGTGAACTGAAACCTTCATCATTTGATTCGCACGAGAACCAAGCAACAACAACCAAGTCCATCCAAGAACGGTCCCAACCGCAGCCGCAACAGCATACTTAGGCCAATAATCCTCCGTCAATCCATTATAATTCTCCCAAACTCGATTGGTATATCTATCAATATTTAGCCTATCTGGTTTCTTAAACCTATTGAGTCCAAGAACCGCGAGCACAAATCCTAACAAAATTAAATGAATTACGAATATTGCTAACCAGAAAACATCACGCCAATGACGCAGCTCTGGAGAAAACGTTTGACCACCATCTATAATTCTTTGACTCCTCCCTACATTCTGAAAGAAAAAAAAAAAAACAAAGAATTAATTAAAAAAAAAAGAATTTATCGGAGTGGTTCAGCCATTAACCTTAAAAAACAAAAATAAAAAAAGTACCCAGAAAATAAATATGTATTAATTGATAAAAGTTGCGGCTTTAAAATAAAAAGTGAAAATTTTACCTCATAAGCCACTGGTTATTAGTATAAATTAAATATAAAAAACCAAAACAGAAAGAATAATCATAAGAGGGAGAAGACAATGTGATTGAACAATTGAAGATCATGATTTCATTTAAAAAAATTGGAAATTCAGGTTATTAGTTTGTTGGATGAAATTGAAGTCAATAAAAAAGAAAACATCAGGAAAAAAAAAAAAGGCCGGAGTGTTTGACCAAGGGAAAGTAATTTGACTGGAAATGAAGTGAAAGAAACGGTAGGAGAGTGATAGGCATTTACCTGATCGACGTTGGCGATGGAAGCAGAATCAGAGGAAGAGGAAGATATGTTAGAGTCGCTCATGGAGGAGAGAAACGAACTTTGCTAAATTGGATCAAAGCATTGCCTTTTCAGTAATTCTAAAAGTTGAAGCTAAGTTTAATAATCAACGATTATCAAAGTTGAAAAGAAGAAAAGCGTAAACAAAAAGGTATGATAGTAACAGTGAAAAGAAGAAAGGTCAATGGAGTGGATTAGGGTTTTCTTGGAAGAATTTTAGTAGAAGAAGGGAAAAAAAGGTTTGGAAATGTTAGGGAAAATGGATTATTATTGATATAATTATTAATAACTGAAACTCAAAGACGGTTGAGAAAGTGAGGTTTGGTGGCTGATGCGCATTGTTGTTGTTTGCGTTGCGTTTGGGGGATTTCATGGGAGCCGAGGGGAGAAGAGACGTGGTGAGGGGCCACGCGCTTTATATTGATGTTGAATTCTTGATTAAATGTATTATTCCATTATCCTTTCTTTGTTGTTTTATTTATTAAGTTAAAAAAATAAAATCTTTAATTTAAAATCGATTCCAATATTATTAAATTTATAATTTATGTAATTTATTTTAAAATTAACATTTTAAAAAATACTATAGCTACAAATTTTAAATGGAATATAATTAAATTTGAAGGAGAAACAAAAAAAAAAAAAAAGAAGAACAAGGAAGTTGGGAACAACTACTACTATTTAGTTATTATTAGTAATTCATTAAGTAGAGGCATAAACTAAAATATTTTTCATTAACCATGATATAATTTATTTTATTTGGATTTTTTTTTTCAAAAGCAATCGATATATTAAAATAGGGTGGTTTTGATAGGGGTTTCCGTGGACCGCTACTTCCCTTGTGGCAAAGGAAAAGAAAACACAAGAAATACTAATGTAACCTCCTTTTATTTAATTCATGGTGGTTTTCCCACGGCAACAACTAATCCTTCATTCACAATTAAAAAAATAATAATAATAATAAACGAAATTTCTTTCACTTTATTTACAAATTTTATAAAAACATACGGTCAAAGACAATTAAAAAAATGTTTAGATATAATTAAATTGATTGTCCATCTCCACCACAATATGGAAATGACTTTTATCATATACAGAAAGCAAAATGATAATGGATGAATTCATGAATTTTTCAACATTTTAAAATTTTACTATTTTCTTACTAATTCGGCCTCTCATATGCCAAAATATTTCTAAAATTTTAATATTTGACAAACTTTGCAAAATTTATAGTATGGGTTTTGATGTACAACATAGGTATTATCTTTTATATTATAATAAATAATCACAAATTGATAAAAATTTAAATTTTTATAGTTATAAATAAATATAAAAATATTAAAATAAATGAACAATCAAGCATAATTTTTAAATATACATATTACCTTGATTTTTAGGATTATTGATATACAAACATTATAAGGTAGTTTTATGTTTTTTTATTAAATATACATATAATATGTTTTTAGTACCTATTATAATTTTATATTCAATTAAATATTAAGATAAAAATAATTATATTTTTATTAATTATTTTTTGTTATAATATCAATTAACAAATAATTATATTTTATTTATTTAAAAGATTGATATTTTTATTAATTATTTTTTATTATAACTTGAATTAATAAATAATTTTATTTTAATATCTTATTTTACTATTTAAAAAAATATTGCGACATCACTTTTACTTTTTATATTTAAAAATAATAACAAAATTTTAAAAAAATTAGAGCGTTTTGAGCGTGTGACAGTTGAAAACTTGAATATGGATCGTAGCGGCAATTCAAATGGACCGTCGCCCTATGGGGTTCAAGGTAAACGTTTAGATCCCCGCAGCTCATAGTCATGGGCCCATGGCCAGCGACACCCTCGCTGGTGGCAAGTGTCTTGCACGCACTGTTGTGGGGATATTCCTTCCTTCGAACTCTAAATACATGTAATCATTGTTGCTGTCTTTCAATTTGTCCATCTATATGTCCCCTTAGTTGTCCACTTGTCCATTTTCAACAACTGTCTGTTCCGGCGAAAGCTATGCTAGTTCTAGTTCAGAGTTTTGTGTTTCGATTCCATATACGCCAGAGATTGAGCTGATGCCACGTGGCATTCGAGGTCTTCCACTTGCCATGAGCTACTAGACGACAAGCAACCCATTACAAAGAGATGAGAATACAGAATATACTATCCCAAATCTTATGAAAATAAAAGACTAAGAAGTGAAAGAGATAATTGTCTGTCAACTGGAATGGGTGTTCCTCTGTTCCTGCCTCTGTCTGTTTCCAGATTGGCATGTAACTGTTCATGCAAATGTACCGGCCTGTTCCTTCGAGCTTAAACAAAATCAATGTCTTGACTTGAGGATTCCCTTTGTCGACACCGTTACATGAGAACTCTACAAACATTTAACAGTATTTTCTATTCTATGTAGCCTTAAATTTTTTTTCTTTAATTGCTCGGCCCATAACAGGCCATTTAAGAATTTCAACTCTTTATTCAAGTTCATTATCAAACGGTAAGAGAATTGGGTGACCAAAAAAAAAAAAAAGGTAAATTTTCAGCTTTGCTTGTTTGGTTTTAGTTTTCTTTTCTTCAATGGAATCTTCAAAGTCTTGTCCTATTGAATTCTTAATTTTGATTGTAGGAAGTTGATTGTCATAAAAACCGGAAAACAAAATGGTTTAGCTGCCTGTCGGGAAGCTGTTGTTTTGGGATTTTGCAACATCTTACGTCCTAATGTTGATTTCCTTTATATGATTGGGATTGTACTTCAGAAATGGCTTTTAGATTGTGATTAATTAAAGTTTGGGCTAGGTCCAACATTGGTTAGGGCGTTAAGCCGGTCCAAACAACACTTCTTACATGATCTTATATGTTCTATGAACAACTTGACATACAACTTGGTCCATATTTCTAAACGTCCTCGTTTCATGAAAAAAGAAATGCCTTGGTTCACATACTAACGACCATTGAAGCCCGTAATTAAGTTAACTATAGAAAATTATTATACATTTTTTATTTAAAAATGAACGTACTAATAGCCTAAATGAATAAAGCCCTTGGCAAATACATTCGTACAATAATAGAACTGGTGGGGAAGTTAGTGTTCATTGCCAGCTGGAACGTTCCACGTGTTGCTGTCCAATCAACTTTTTTTGTCTTTTTCCTTTCATTTGTCCAAGCCAACCACCGCTCAGATCTTCCATTTTGAAAATGTAAAAAAAATGTGGGAGTAAGGGCTGAGTAAGAGAGAAGGAATAGATAATTATTATTATTATTGAAATTGATTGTACAAATTTGCATTACATACAATTTTTTATGTTCCCAAATAAATTAAGTTCAATAATAGCTTTTTATTGTAACTTTTTTATAACTTAATCATCAATCAACCATAAACAATAAATTTATTATAAAACTTATATTATTATATGAGATTAAGTGTTAGATCCCTAAAAAATAATATGAAAAAAAGTGTAATTGAAATTAAAATATTTAAATAGATAAAATAAAAAAAAAAAATTTTAAAAAAGAAGAATAATTTGAATTGAAAAAAAATGAAAAATAACTTTTTGAGATAATTTAGAGATGTGAAAAAGAGAGTTATATATGCATATATTAAGAGAAATGAACTTTTGAATTTGAGAGAGATCAAATATTTTAGTAATAGATCATGAAAGATATATATGCAAGTAATAAAAAATAATATAAAAATTAAATAAATAGTTGAAAAAAATTATTTTTATATTAAATATAAAATACAAAGAAAAATAAACTAAATTAAAAATAAATACAAAATACTCTTTTCGTCTCAAAATATTTATCATTTATTAATTTTCATGAATTTTAAGAAAAGAAGTTTGATTTTAATGTATTTAATATTAAAATTTTAATTTTTTATAAAATTAAAATTTTATGATTTTTAATGTCAAAAAGTAAAGTTATATCAAAAAATAAAATTTTAAAATATAAAAAGTAAGAGTTTTAAATATTAAAAAAATAAAAAATATTTTTGGGATATAAAAAAAAGACAAAAAAATGAAAAGTCAAAACTTCAAAAAAAAAAGTTTTTAGATCGTAGGGATATTTTAGGAACAAAAAATGAATAGCATGATAGTTTGAAGATGTATATATTATTTTATTACACCGCTTAGGATTATTAAAACAAATTTTAGAGCTTAACGACGCAAAGACAACCAACCATGTCGGATTAACACGTTTATCAATACATTTAATTATTTATAAAAATGTTTGAAAAATAAACCCTTCCCCAAATAAAACGGGATAATATTGTAATATATGTAGTAAATATGTAATATGTTGACATAAGACGGTTTCTTTTGTTTAAAAAAATAGAGTTGACGTTTTCAATTCTTTTCTCAAGCTGATTTTTTTTCCCTTGGGTAAATTTGATTAAAAAAGCCATGTCATCATGTGCGGGAACAAAAGCGAATCCAAGTTGTTTGATACGAGATAAAATGTCGCGTGAACCTAACGCCATTGAAGTGTTCCGCTAAATCTGACCATCCAATTGGTCATTACGCCCTTTTCCCTTTTCATTACTCCCTCATTCCAGGAAGTGACAACACGCAACAAAAAGCAAACACTCTTTCAACGTTTACGGCATCATTTTTGTTTCTTTAATGTTATTTATAAAAGCTTTGTTTTTGTGCTATATAAAGTCGTCCCTCTCTAGGCAGCTGCTTTTGAAATCCCAACGACTCAGCCCGAGTCACAAACTCAGATATTGAATTCACTCACAGAGAAAAGAGAGTCAATTGTCTAACGCACATACACACACGCAAAAGAGAAAAACTCTAAATTTTCTGCGATAATCCAGCGTTTCTCTTTCAGCTCTCTCTGCAACTGCAATCATGAGCTCACTTGTGCAAGTAAAAATTTTAGTAACTCAACTTAAAGACCCGATTAAGGCTTTCTTTTTTATTCTGATTTCGTTTTGATTTGCGTTTTTAATCATCACTTTTTCTTTTAAAGGGCTTTTCCAAGTCTCTAGCCATGACTGTGCTATCGGAGGTTGGCGACAAGACGTTCTTTACTGCCGCGGTTCGTCAAAGCTTATATTTTGATATTTGTTTTTGGTTGGTTAAACTATATTTATTAGACTGGAGGTTCACTTGACTCGATATTGATTTGAAAAGGGCTTGACAGTTGAAACTTTGATTGAAATGTATATGGTGTCAATAATGAATGCTCATTATCCTACTTTTACAGCAATTGAGCTTGTTTAAAAACCTTCTTTGTTTTGGTGTGTTTGTAAAAGAAAGCAAGAGATTAAAACATCTGCTTATCACACATTTTACTTGTTTCAAGATCTTGGCAATGCGCCATCCAAGGAGATTTGTCTTGTCAGGGTGCCTGGCAGCTACAGTTGTAAGTGTTTTTCCTTTTTTCTTCTTTTTGTCCCACATCCGTTTCATTCAGGTTCACCTTGTCAACTTCTTGAGCCTCACAATTATTTGGAATATTTCTTCTCTAGGCGATGACTATTCTTTCTGCTGCTGTTGGCTGGGCTGCTCCAAATCTTGTAAGTGGTCTGATTGCTGTTTGAGAAAGGCTTCTTCAGCTTGTGGATCAATTTTAATTTCTTTTAAAGGACCTGAACAATCATAATCAAAGGACTGTTTTGGATAATTCCAAGCAATATATAGTGAACTAAGTTATTCTTGGTCATTTTTTCCTTGAAAAAATTTTCAACGAGGATGAAAGGAGGTTAGCTGTCTGTTAGGGTAAGGGCTGAATTTAAGTCAACTTGATTGATCCCTATTCTGTAAAGCTACATGTTATGAAATGCACAGGAGATGCTTCAGTGTGGAATTAGTTTTGCCCACTTATAACTATATAAAATGCATTAAAATTGGTGCTGCTGCTCTCTGTACTAGAATAGTTTCCTCCTGGCATCCATAATTTTATCAACATCCTGTGGCATTTTCTCATCATCAGGTTCATACTGTTGGCAGTTAAAATCTTTATATAGTTTAAGGAGCATGATTTTTAGTGGTGTAAAGATGGCACGTTTGCTATGAGAACTTTTCCAATAATCTAGAAGATTCTCATGGCTATATGCATGGCATTAGGATGGTTCCAAGTATTAGGCTTTAAGGTTATATCTGATATTTTGTGTCTCTACTAGGTTTTTAGTGTTTAGTTAATTATAAATGCTTTTGTAATTCAGTTGCTAGGAGGCTTTGGTCTAATGAGATATGGACATTTGGATATTTAAGATATTGATCATTGAGAATTTGGATAACTTTCGTTGGATTTTCAGCTTCTAGCTTGAGTATTACTGTGTGAGAAATTGAGAATACTCGTTTTAGTTTTCGTATCCGTCAACTTTGTGAAAGTTTAGAACTATACTATTGGGTTGGTAGGAATGACTGCCTGACCTGTACATGTTCCATCACCAGAATTAGTTAAAGTCAATCGTAAATCTCTCATAGAACTTGAACCTTAGAGCATTCTTTCCAAATGTGGATTAAATATCTGTTCAGATGTAATCATGGTATGGATAGTTGGACACTAGGTGAAACCTATAATAGCCATTCTAGTGCATGCTTCTTTCAGTAACTGTGACTTTGTTAACCTCTAGTGTGCAAAAATGTGAAGACTTTCGTTCAACATATATATATATATATATATTATGTATGTATCAAAGTTCGGTCTGCATGGATGATTCATTTAGTCTAATTTAATTAGTACCAGTACCACACGCTTATGTACATGAACTATTTTAAACTTGTATGAAACATGCTCTCATTCTCTTCTTGCATGATTTTACATTATGCAGATTTCTAGGAAATGGACTCATCACATAACGACAGTGCTGTTCTTTGCATTTGGTCTGTGGTCTTTATGGGAGGGATTTATGGAGAATGAGTAATGCTTTTTATTATCTCTTTAGCCATTTCCGTCACTCTTGTATCTTTTGCGTGGGCGTGACTTCTATTTCTCATGCTTAGGTAAGGTACGCTTTCGTTTTGCTGTAAATTGATCATGTTGTGATCTAACCATGCATGTTTCCACTTCAGGGAGGACGAAGAATTGGCTGAAGTTGAAGCAAAACTGGTAGGTTTTTTTAATGAATTTCCTGATGTTTAAGTTGAAATTTCATTTTGATTAAAAAGAAAAACTTGACATCATTTAAACGTTGCTTTGTTGGTGTGATTAGGATGCTGACTGGAAGGCTAGCACAGGAACAGTCAAGGTAGGCAAAAAGGTAGAGCAACAACGGCATATTTCAGGAAATGGGATAGCGTTGTCTCAATAGACGTGTTTTCTTTCAATATTCAACTTATTGGATTAAAATATCAAAACATATTTGATTTACTATAGGACATATATAAATTTGTCACTATATTCCTTTGGGCCTGAGGGTTTTATTTTTATTTAAATATATATTTTTTTCTTTTTATTTTTATTGAAATATTTATTCCTATTTTAAACTTAAACTTTTTAATGATAAATATACTATAAATTACTATATAAATTACCTAAACTCAAATTAAATTTAATATGTAGTGACATGAAGCAATATAGTTAATTTTAAACCCCAAATCACCGGAATCCAAAATTTCATGACCATGGTAAAAGTCAATATTATGCTAATATGCTCAATCCGCTAGTTTTATTTGTCATGCGCTTCTGAATTCATGGCCTGCGCATTATATTTTATGTTTTCAAGTTATAGTTTTCATGAATAACACTTTTAAGATACTGAAGACATTCTGTTTCATATGTTCCCAGACTGATGATGAATTGAAAAAGGAGAAGCGGCCATTTCTCACACAGTTCTTCTCTCCCATATTTCTGAAGGTTATAACCTCTATAACCTATTAATTTGAACCTTGATAAGCCCTAGATTTACTCTAACAATTTGACGGTGCCTATATTTTGCAGGCATTTTCAATCATATTTTTCGGTGAATGGGGTGACAGAAGTCAGGTAAAATTTAATCACATGAATTGCATATTTTTGTCTCTTTTGTAACAAGTCACTATTGCGTTTTCATTATTTTAGACTAAGTATTTTACTTTCTTTTCAGATTGCTACAATTGGTTTGGCTGCAGATGACAACCCATTTGGTGTAGTTCTTGGTGGCATTGTGTAAGTTTTACCTTTTAATATCTCCATGTATTTGCTGAAGCAATGCTGTTTCCTTCCTATGTTGAAACTATTCTGTATGTTCATAAAAATCATACCTTTTCTATTGTTTCCTTTTTTTTTAGAGGACAAGCATTGTGCACCACTGCTGCTGTCCTTGGAGGAAAGAGCTTGGCATCTCAGATATCTGAGAAAATTGTAATCCAGATCCACACTTGTCTTTGTACCCTTCTGCAACGGTTTGCTTATTAATTTCTTGAGCAACTTGTAAAACCCAGTTTTTATCATTTTGATACAGGTTACACTCTCGAGTGGAGTTCTTTTCATTGCTTTTGGAATCCAATCCTTCCTCTCAACAGTAGAGTCTTGATGGCTTGCTAATGGTTTGTGCCTATTTTCATGTCTAGAAAACTGTTTGTTATGGGGAGGGTTCTTTTCCGTTTTGGGCATGGGGAAGGCTTCCTATGAATGCTTCTGCTTTTGATGCTTTTGATGAAACCTTTGTGATGTTGGCAGCGACTTTGGCATGGCCAGCGTTCTATTTTATTTTCTCTCTACTCCTGTTGCTGTATTCTTGTTTTTGTTTTTCGATATTTGGACATATTAAAGCAAATGGGAATTTTTTTTTTTCCATTTCATACTTAATTTACCGTCTTTTTTTCCCTAACAGAAGTGCTTTATTTAGTTTACCGTGAGTTAATTAGTTATGAACTTATGATCACTAACCATGCTGACCTTCATGCCATTCACTGCCATCCCCATTATATTTCTTGTTAAGTTGGGTACATAGTCCTTCCTCTCATTTGCATTTGATGGCAGTATTATGTAAAAACAAAGTTTCCTCGTTGATTAGGTTCAGATCTTTTGAAGATTGAACTGTTATGTTCGATTACATCTCCAGGTGTTTCGAACAAGGTAAAACAAATTAATCGATTGAATTCTGACACGTTTTGCTCCATAAATACATATAGCTTGTTACACAATCTTGTGTTTAGGTGGGTTCAGCAGCTCATCCATGCCACTTCTTCCCCAATCTGCAATAACGCAGATAAACTTCATGCACCTGGGAAATTGAAACTCATTGACGTACAAGAACGACCCGACTCAACTTGTCCTTGGTTGATTAAATTTGTAAAAGCAAAAATTGAAATAATACTATGACTTCTGGTTCCCTGCTTGGGTTGGAAATAATCTGAGACGTGTCCTATTCCTGGTCTGTTCATTTCGCCCTATCCACAATTTTGTTCTTTTTCTTGATTTTTTAAGTTGTCAACTCATCCCAAATCGACTAGTCCAAACATAAGCAAAGCCTCGGGTAGAAAACGATAGAACAACCTTGCTTTTGTGCTGATAGAGAAACATTTATTCATAATCAGTATCATCCTCTTATCTTTAATTTGACCATAGGGGATGTCCAGGGATCATCAGATAAGAGCACTACTGAGATATACACCATCTAACACTCTAAAAAGGGTATATTTAACAGTGATATAACCAAATGGTTTATTAGGTTGTCTCTGTCTTTAGCAACCTCCACTTGCTGGTTCAATTGAACTCAGAAGCCCGTTCCCCCTTAGCTGCATGCAGTGTTCTTCTGCATCTGCCTGAGCACAAATAATCACCACTGCCAAGCCATTGTAATGTGCTTCTTGCATGATATTAACAGCATTGTCAAGTGTCATTCCAGGGATAACTTTCAACAGTACTTGGACAACATATCTCCGTTTGTTATAGTTGTCATTGTGCAGTATGACTCGATAAGGTGGAGCTATTTTTCTCGATTTCCTGAGCATGGCATAACCACAAAAATGTTAAAAAAAAAAAAAGATCTATGGAGAAAGAAATGTTTAGATAACAGATAAAGCAAGTGCTGATTATGCCAATGCATTTTAGAAGAAATGTAAGTTTATTCATCACTCTAGCAAAATAAACCTGATGAAAAGGAAAGCTTTGTAAATAGTTGAAGAACACCAATTTAATGTCACACTAGACTAAAATAGACACAGGGCATGAAAAAAGGAAATCTCCTCAGTTTGCAATTAGTTTCTGGATTTCAAATGTTCCAGTGAGGATGCACCCATTACTTTTGTACGACCAACCAAAAAAAAGGGTATGCAAATAGATGCTTTAAAAGATGGTCTGCAAAACAGCATACAAGCCAACAAATTTATGAAAAGAATGCTCTTAAAACAATACTAACGCTTAATATTTCACATCAACATATTAAAAGGTACAACAGGAACATCGAATTTGGGCATGCACCTCAGATCAAACTCAGATTCACGACCAGGAGTAGTTCTCTCTATAACTGGCTTCTCCAAAATTCCTGCTCCTTTACCTAGTCCTGTGGTTGATATACCCATGAGAACACCACGATTGGCGAATGGTCCTTTGCTCAGAGACTGTTTCTCCCCTGTTTCACATAGAATCAATTTAACACCATTAATGAAAAACATGCAACCATCAGTATAAGCACTCTAGTGATACCGATCTAGGTTTAACCATCAGTATGAGGATGAAAGTTTTTGGAAATTGAAACAGAATAGAAAAGAACATCATAACTATAGCTTTTGCTCTGTTTGACATCTAATATTTCTTTCTCCATAGATTTTTTTTTCTTGAAAAATAGTAAGTATTATTCTTTTGAGTATCTCGATAAATCAGAGGCAAGTAGGTTCAGTTTATCCAGTAAAAAAAAAAAAACAATTTGGAAATTAAAAGAATATATTACTATCTTTAGGCAAATAAATGAGAATAATGAACAACACAAGATTAACATCGCAAATGTTCAGTTTTCTGATTATCAATAAGGAAAATGTATATTCTCATGTGGTCAATTTATTTTGAAATAGCAACTAAGATTCAAGAGACCATTCCAAATATTCAGAGACAGAGAACTCATTAGGTCTAAGATGACATGCTTTCTCCAATTTTCTTTTCTCTCTCTTTCTTGTATGAAGAAGTAAATACTTCTAATGGGATCCAATCATATACAACCAAATTTATTGATGTCAAAACTATAGAACAAATACATGGGACAGGAAATCTCTGGCTAGGGATCAATGAACTAAAGCCTCGTTAGACTAAATATTCCTATTTCTTAAAGAGTATATAACTCTTTCCCACCAACAAACAACAACAAACTAAGCTGCCATATGGACCATTTTGTGCTACTGTCATCCTTTTTAAGACCATATCTTCAGCAACTTCAATAAAGGTGAATTCTTTTATAATAGTTTCCATCCATGTCCACTTTGTTCTTTCCTAAACCAGCAATTTTTGCTTTGGACTCTCATGCAAACGCTTAAATTCCCCCTCCAAAAAGTGGTAAACATAGCACGGCAACTTGAAACCATGCCCCTGGCAATCATCAATCTATAAGACCTCTAAAAATTACAAGGTTAAAGCTCAAAGATTTTCAAAAAATCCCATCTAAGAAGCTTCTAATTATATATATAAAAACAAAAGCTGCATTGTCTCCAAATTCCTAAGCATTCTTCATAAACCACACTACCAATATAATAACAAATTGTCTTCAATAACACCCATCTCAGCAAATGAATCCGCAGAAAGCTAAAGCTGGCACGCCAACTACACCCTTTTAAATCCGAATTGTTAACAAAGCAGAATTATTGGAGAAATTAAACAGAATATCTACGATAATCGTCAACTAAGCGAAGTTACTACGATACCCAGATGAGTTTATGATCGTTTTATTAGAATATTCATTAATCAATCAAGAAAAGTTACAAACCTTCCTATAACCCAAAATTAGAAACCAAAAAAACAAGGGGAAGATAAAGAAGAACCTGGTTTAGGATAAAAGACAGTGTTTGGTAAAAGAGTTAATATCCCACTTATCGCAGTCTCCATGACTCTGTCTCTATCTCTCTACACAAACACACACTCTCTTCCGTTCTGTCTCTCTAATGAAAAATGTTTCTCGACCACTATTTTTATTAAAAATATATGGGAAAATGATCTTTTTGATTTTTTTTTTTTTGGGTCAAGGGGAAGTGAAAAAAATAAAATTTGAACTAGTGGCTTTATATGGCCTTGCGATTGTAGCATGCTTGTAGCCAGACAATTCCTATGAACGAAATTTAAAAAAAAAAAAAAGAAACTTGTTTTTTCATCGTTTCAACCTTTTCGAGATTGCCAGAACACCAAGTTTTTTAATTTATTTTTTTGTACGTGAGATTGTTAAAATTTAAATCATGCTTATTAAGATAAAAAATTTAATATTTTATTAATAAATACGTAATTGTTTGATTAAATTTCATTTTTTCCTTCTTTCATAAAACAAAATGCAAAATTTACTATTGTAAAATCGTAGCAACTAAGCCAATGAAATTTTAGTTTAATAACTAGAAAAAAACTTGAGGATTGAGGTTGAAATCGCTGATTCACTTGTAATTATCAAATATAAATTTTTTTATTTAATTCTATATTACACATTCAAAAGAAATGAGAGGGAATTGTAGAAATATTAGGTAAATTGACATTTGGATTGTTCCATTTTTATGCTATTGTCGATCTTACAACATAATTAATACAAAAGCCTTCATTTGCTAATTAACTATGTATCCATCTTAAACAACAAATATTTTCACAATTCATTCATGTATAAAAACTGTATGTTGAAGCATCAGTGACGATATTCCTTAAGCCACCAATTGTTGATGCCAACATAATGAACACTCCTATGAATATGCAGCCCTGAGACATAGAAAAGCAGAAATTATCGGCAAATTTCACTTTATTGTAGCAGTTTGTATAATATATATAATTATCTTGATTACCCAATTGGTGAACCATTTGAGGCTGAATCTTTTTGGTTTCTTGATGACCAACCACATTATACTGGGAAGCTGCAACAATTTTCATGATATATAGTTGCAGTCAGCAAGGAGATTATCAGAAAATTGAATAGCAGTGAGCGGAAGGCTTACAAAATATGAAGTGGGAGCAAAACCAAATCCACCAAAGAAACCCAGAAGATCACCAAAGAAAGGGAAAGTGACTCCTACGAACAGGGTAAATGCTGCAAAGTTCCAGTATCCACAACAGACAATACCCAAAGTTGTTATCTAAATCTTTTTTCCTTTTCAGAATCAAGGTCATGATACTTCAATTTGGAGACTGCTTCATTTATACTAAAGAGTTTTATTATCGTTCCGTTTTCCAAGGATATATAAGAATATAGGAGAGGAAACCTCACCTACATAAGCAGATCGAGTTATGAGTCTCAGAGCAATTCCTGGTGGGAAGTTCAGCCTTTTCACCATAATCCTCTCAAGCAAGTCAAACACAGGCATAGCATAAACCTGCAAATATTTCCTTGTTACATATATATATTTATATTAAGTTTTGGGCCAAAATAGGATCAGGACAGCCTTAATTTCTCATCTAGCAGGTTGAACCTGATACTTTTAAGTTGACAGTCCTAGGATGATGAAACCGCTCTATTTGTTATCCGCTGCGACAACATATGTACTCTAACTTTCATGTATATGAGTACCTGGTAGCTTCCAATGACGTGAACAACCACCATCAAGTTTGCGGAGGCAATGAGCCATGCAGGTCTCTTGAGTGCCATGAGTACATTATCATCAACATCTTGCCCGAATGCCCAGTAACCTATCATGGCTACAGGGAAATAGCAAATAGCATTTATGAAATAGGCTCCAAGTGCACCTTTCCACATAGGTATTTTTGAAGGCCTTTCCGGAGTGGATGGAATTGTGGCCTGAATTTCAAGGGCAACTGCATGACCGGCAAAAGCAAATGAAATCTGACCCAGTGCATTGAAGACTCGAAACATGTAATCTGTTGGACTAGTGTTCTTATACTCATAGCTCACATTATCAATCCGACCATGACTCAAGCAACCTGCCCAAGCTATGGTTGAGTAACTGCAATAAGAAGAGACATTATTTACAAATCAATTTTAATTAATCCCATATTGTTTTGCTGGATTTCACATGCATGGTTGTATTTTTCTGTTAAATCATTATCCGAAGATTAAATAGATATAAAGCATGGAAAGACAGAAATTAAACTATTACTTCATGTAACTCTAGAGGTTCTTTTTCACTCCTTTTTCCTTGAACTTCAACCACACGTTTTGTCTTCAGCTGCTATATGTTTCTCCAAAATGCTATAGAACACATAAAAGCCTCTCTTATGTATGTGACCCTCCCTTACTTTATTACCATCAGTACAAATAGGTGCTATCCTATATGTCAGCCAAGAAGTGATTATTATACGCTACTCACTCAAAGTTCACGAACAAAATTCAAACGTAACTAAAGTACTAGGGCAGTGGGCTGGTTGGGCAGGTGACTGCCTTTCATCAAGATTTACCAAGCTGTTCTCTGTGGCTAGCTTTGATATACTTTTTCTCAAGTCGAGAAAACAAAAAAATTACTATAAATTGTCTCTTAAAAGAATATCAACACAAAAAAACCTGTCTTACTTTCTAGCTCCCTGGATGAGAAAATCTAGTCTGTAATAAACATGTCGTGGAAACCTATGAACATATTTCTTTTTACCTGCATCATCTTATCTATGCAGAAGCTTTATTAGTAAGGGTAAAAGATTAGGTTGATTAGTCACGACCTTAGAGACATTATTGCTGCAGCTAATGAAACACCAGCAACTGAATTGAAATTGGGAAGCTGAGACAGGAAGAAATGGACGCCACCAAAAATCAAGATCCAGTAAGACTGCCTGAGCTGTTTGCAGCTGGCACATGCTATCTCCATGAACTTTTTCAGGCACTTCCCTCCAGTAACCATGTACACAATGTCACATCCAACTTGAACAATTAGCTGCTGAGGCAGCACAATCCATCCACCAAGTTTTGGTCCAAAAGCATATCGGCCAAGGTCAATGTATCGATCAAATCGAGTTCCTGGGACACACTCATGGAGTTGTATCATCTGCCACATTGTATTCAAGGTCATGCACCAAGATAACACCATAACCATTGTTCCTGGACCCCTAGGACAAAAAGAGAACGTTAATGTTTCCGAAGTTCTTGGACATAGCTTAAAGGCCAACGCATTTGAGATTTAAGGCTTTTGTTGAACTGAGTTGAGTTCCTAGCTACATACCATCCTAGGTAGGCCATGGCATAGGGCAAGCTGAGGACTCCTGCACCTATCATGGCCGTGACAGTGTGAAAAGTTGAGTACCACCATTTGGCACGGCGAGTTGGATCTCCTTCTGCCCATTTTCTGTTGGATTGAACTTCCTGTTAGTTAGATTCAAAATGGCAAGAGGCTTTAGGTAAAAAGTAATTAATTAGTGCTTTAGGCTAGGTGATACTATCTAAGCTAGAATGATATATTCATTCTCTCACCTTTGGAGAAGTTGAAACCATAGTTTTGCAAAGAAATTAAGATAAAGGTATCCCCTGGATGTAGGGGTTCATTTACTATCATCATGTGTTTAAGTAGTGGAGTAGTGGTTGATGATTGCGTTGCTTGAAGGAATAAAGGTAAGAAAATTACATCCCATTTACTTTGGTTACCCCTTTTCTCTTTTTGAAATTTCTTCTACCATTTCCCCAAAACCTTTATCCTACATATGATCTAATGGGAAATAAGGCAGTTGTTTACTTTGTTTAACCCTTTTTCATTTTTTAAACAAATTTCTTTTTCCATCTCCCAACACCAAGAGTAACTCCCACGTTTCCAAAAAGCTCCTAATTAATAAAGAATTAGGGTTAAAAGATTGTTAGCTTAACAAAAAATAATTAGTTGGAAAAATCTCAATTGAAAATTAATAATTAAAATAAAACAATTTCATTCATGTGCAAATTGGCAGGTAACAAAAAAAAGGCTAGTTTGATAATAAGCAAACGGCTATAGCCTTTTGTTATTCCTAAAAACTTTCCAATTTCTAATTCTAAAGAATATAAAAATTATTACTTTTGTTTTCAAAATGATATATTTTGCAATTTTACCTCTTGAAAAAAAAAAAAGACCAAAATTTCAAAGGAATGAGACAGCTTTGGACTTATGACAACGGCGACTGTGATATGGTCTTACCCTTTCACCATCTTCAAGTTAAGGAATCAAAGAACTTTTTATGCCTGGCAACACGAAGCTCAACTAGAAACTTCCTACTTGAGCAAAAGGACATTGTTGGCATTTCTGCTTTAATTTCTAAGCTTTGGACCCCAAGCCAATGAAGGGAAGTTTTGTTGGTTGGTGAGTTGGATCAATCCTAAAATCATTATACTTTTCCTTTCTTTATAGAAAATTAAGGCCATAGTTTCTGAAATAATGATTAAAGTGAGGAGACTGCTTGTTTATGGAAAGTTGGTGCGGGTCATCGTCTTTATTTTGAGGTGTCCCCATTGGCTTTCGAGGCCAGAAGCCGACTGCAAACCACAAAATTAATTATAATGGTTTCACTAATCTTCCATTATCATTATCCTAATATTTACATCACAGTGATCATGGATTCCTGAATCAATGAATCTGGACCTATGGCTCTTCTAATTGTTCAATCTATAGAGAAATAAAAATGGGTTTTGCTAACTCAAAACCATATATTTTTGTTCATCTAGCTGGCCCCAACTTTGCAACAGCTTTGGCAAGCTTTCTGCTATATATCATATTCAGTGTCTACATCAATGGGACAAGACCTTTTTTTTTTCCTCTTCGGAAGGGGTTCGATTAAATAGAGGGGCGATAAAGACGTTTCAATTCTGTTCTTTTCTTCGAAGAGGATTGGATAAGCTTTCAGAGCGGATCTGTTGTGATTTCAAATTCTTGAATGCTTTGGTTTTTTACCACTTCCTGTTCTCTTCTTCGAAGGTGTCAGAAAAAGGTTGATGCTTTTTTTTTGGTACTAAAATGGTTAATGCATTTACTTTAGCTGCAAACATCAATCACTCTTTCCGGACTTAAGCATGGATCGATGCTAGGCACTTCTATAATCCATGAAACCTTGTAAGACATTAATCCCAAAATCCCATATCAGCAAGTAACATATAAATCAATTATCCCATATCAGCAAATTCCTATAAGTACATGTCGTTTTCATCACCAAACCTTTGTACAATTCACAAAGGATACGCCATCTCTTAACGATCTGCCTGAACAGTTCTCGTAATTTCCAGTGTAGAGTAATATATCACAATCCTCCTTGTAAACATCATTGCATTTTACACAATTTGAAAGCATCATATATTTTGTTGCAGGTAAGTATTGCATATGCTTTTTGGGTTCGAAAAGGATGGTTCAGACTGCAAACCATGCTAAATAGATCCGACATTTTCAACAGATCACCAACCCAACCACTATGCCGAACTAGGCCCTACTTAAGTAAGTTTAGTAAGGGCATCAACAAAGCACTTGTCTCCCCTGTAGGGAGCCAAACTCACATTTCCACCTCCTGTATTGACTGATCTTATGTCCATCTTCATTGCTGCCTTGAATATTGCAGCACTCCTAAACATCATGAACATATTTGAATCTCATGAAATGCTAGAGTTTTGAGGAGAAGTGGGAAAGTGATCTAAACTTTGGAATAAGTCTGATTTGTGGTGTTCATCTGCGTGACTTATTCTGACTGTTCTGCTTACATAGTACATATTCATCGAGTGCCTGATAGATTGAATTTTCCTTTCAAATACAGGAGCCTTTGTCGAAGGAACTACCAGATGCACAGGCATTAGAACCCACCCCTGGTGTACCATTACAAATTCCTTCCCTTAAAATCACTCATAATTAAAGCTTCACATTTTGTACAATTAGTTAGTGAAACTGTGTAAATCAGACAGTTCATATATTCGAACCCGGCCTGCATGAACTCCCCTTATTAGCTAGTATTAGGGAAAGAAACCCAAATCTTGTCGAGAGCAAATGAAAGGTTGAAGCCGGCAAGGGCCAAGAAAGAATCTGAGCCTGCCAAATAGCCCGTTTGTGGAACTTTGGGGCCTGGGCTATAATAAATATGGAATGGATTTAACCCAAATGGGATACATGAGGGGATCCTCTCAGTACCTGTTAATTAACCTCTTAAATTCATAAACAATTGGTGATCATTTCATCCACTACTCACAAGAATTCGACAAATCCATTAGCCATACCCCCAGAAAAGGCAACTGCTTTATGTACTATTCCAACAGGATATCTTCCTGTGGGCGCGTCAACAAAGTCTAACTCTTTTAAAAACTCTGTTGACTTTCTCACTGAATTTTGCTGTAATGCCAATGTTAGACCCCGTTGTCAAACATATTTTTAACGTAAGTTAGCCAGTTGATCTTAATTAGGGTCTTGAGTTTTTTAAACATTTGATCAATCAAATCTCTTACACACCTTCGAGGCTCTTGCCGAAAATTAATATATGGAGTAGTTTATATTATGCGATTCCACGCTCAAATACTTTTTTTTTTTTTTCTATAATCATATTTGTAAACTAAAAAGAAAATTGGTGCTGAAAACTAATCCATAGTCAACACTGGGTTTGGTATCAATTCTTCTTTATGGTTATACCAAACCCACAAAATGGCAGCGATACAAAAATTATTATTTTTTAAAGTAGTGAATTACAGTCGACTAGAATTCAATTGAAATATCCAAGTTGACTTTTGTGTAATCTTGTTGCTTGTTGCTTGTTGCTTGTTGCTTGTTGCTTGTTGCTTGCTTATTAGTATTATTATTTATATGTTGTAAGTCGTTTTATTGGATGCGGAAGAGTCATCTGGCCTTTAGATTCAATGAAGGGACGCATTTCGCCAATTACCCCAGGCCCAGCCCTCCTGGAAAAGAACCAAATCCCTAATCCAACTCCACGTTCCATGGATCCATGTCTATCTCCACACGGCCTTCATTTTAAATTCATTTAACAATTAATATTGTTTTTACCCACCATCCCAGTTAATAGTCATTACCCTCCAATTATTATTATTATTTTTTTGTGATTGTCAATCTTCATATTCATTGAACATAATCTAACATGTATTATTTACTTGATATACTTGAAGAGAAGAGAAGAGAAGATAAGATAAGATAAGAGTTGGCATTTTTTATTATTTCAAAACATTATTTGATAGAAAAATTGTATTGTATGTTTTGAATAAAAGCTTAATTTTCATTATTTCAAGCACAAATAAATTTCATTTGAATTTGCATTTAACAAAAACATATGTCTTTTCTCCATTTTTTTGGTTTGGAAGACCCATATGCACCGAATACCTACTGATTTGATTAATTAAAATAATGTGAAATTAATATGGAATCTTGGACGGACAAGGTTAGATTTTTAGGAACAGTATATCATTCTTTTATGTTCCTCACCCAGAAGATAAGTTAAATAAATATAGAATATTCTTTGGACAATAAGATGATAACATATCCAATTGCATTGAAAACGTGAACAATAAATTATGCATCAATTTCACTTGAAAAAACACACAAAAATATTCTTCAAGAAACCGGAATATTACTTTGATTTTCTCTCTCTCTTTCTGATCACAACCATCAGGAAATGGGCAGAGAACAACCCTCGTCCAAATGTGGGTTGAAGTAATATTCCTTGGAGCCTATGAGCCTCGTTGGAGTTAGATCCTTCCCATAGGGGACACGTTTGTAAACAGGCAGTAGATCATCGCCATGCAAACATGGCAGCTTGTTGTTTGTGGCCTGTCATAATTAGGATAGTAATACTATCAGTACATACCAGATGTTCTTCTAGTTGTCATACAATATCAAAATTATGCACGAATGAAAGCCGAGTGATCCACAAGGATAGTTCATAACTTATTAAACAACCAAACTCCAAACCTGGTTAAACCATGGTTGACCTACCATTAATTTCGCAATAATATTGGAGGCTTTTTTGTTTTTTTGTTTTGGTTGAAAGCTTCCGCTGTACCTTAAACCTACTTGACCTTCCAATAACTATTGACTTCCAAATTAAGCTAATTTTCATCATATTTTACTTTGGGGTAGGAAAGGACAGGGAAGAATCGTACGTTTTCAAAAGTCATGGTGGCAGAAAAAGTGGCTTCTACGCACCCATAGTTTCTAGACATGTGTTGCGTGACAGAAATTATTTGAATTCTGATAGCCTTGAATAACAAGATTGCTCACTTAGTCAAGATTCCTGATTATATTTTCATTTCAACATTGTTGACGTTTTCTACTGCTGCAGAAAACAATAAAAACCATCATTCTGTTTCTATCTATTAACAGTCTTTAAATTTCTTCGAGAAGCTAGTAATAAGATTCTCATATATCTTATTTATAAAGTTAAGGTGGCGCCCACAACATATTGTATTTCAACTACGAATTCACCTTCTATTCCTACTAACCAGATCCAATGTAGGTTGTCTGCAGGAACATTTACGTAAGATCACTTGGGGCAAATAAATCTGCACTGGAATTTGGGTTACTACTGGAAAATCAGATAATAATATTACAGCATTTAGGTACCTTAACAAAGTTCATTGATAAGTATTCATTGCATCAAAATAGAAATGATTTGATGGGGTATTAGACCGTGTGCATCGAACATGGCTATTTGTTAGATTCCAATATATATATATATATATATATATATATACACACATATGATTAGATGCAACTGTTCTGTTAGCTAATGTTTCCAAAACAAAGATTCCAATTTATTCGTTTAAATTCCAGTTTCTGGAATCAGAATGGTACGGTGAACCACAACGATATGCTTTTATTCAAGGCTGGCTGTCACCATCCATGTTTACACTCAATAACAACAGCAACAGGTTATGGGGGGCAAAAATTTAAGGGGAAAAAAAAGTCAGAGAGATGTTCCTATATCATATAGAACTTTCTACTGAGGTTTTCTTACGAAAATTGTACACCATTCTCATTCATTAGAACTAAAACACAGGAGAATCTGTACTGGTAGGAGTAGAGGAAGATGTTGATGGTGAATTTGAATGAACTCTCCCTTCACTATAGCTGCCCCTTTCTTCATCAGATTGTGATTGCTGTGGTCTTTGCACTATTGCTCCTGATGATTGAGGAAATGCAGGCAATGGGGCAGGCACCGGAGTGTAGATTCCACTGGCATTTTCCCCTGACGCTGTTGTTGCATTCATTGAGGCATATTCTAGGGGAGGTACCCATAGGCCTCCAACCACCACAAATTGAGTTGCTTGTGGGTTGGCATTGTTGTGGACAGTTGGGCTTGGTCTCCTTGCGTGCAATCTATATTTCTGAAACAGATCAAACACATGAAAGATTTAGGCCACGCTAGACCTTAATGTACAATACTGTAGATAGATATTAGGGATTATTTAATGCATTTTTGGACCACAATTTCTTCAAAATTAATTTACATGCTAAGATATTGTGATAACTAGATTACCATCTTAAAAATTGATTTCTCAGACTCACAACTGAGGCCAAATCTACATCTAAATCTATTAAACCTGCTAACATCTCAAAATATCATAGAACACATTACTCTAATTGCAGTAATTTCTCAAAAAGCATATTAATTTACCAAAACAGAAAGCCTATATATCCCTAATATACCAACCATCAAATTAAATCCAACAGCATGTTAAGAAAGATTACCAAAGAGGAGATGATAAACCAGCACTCTCAATATCCTTTTAATTTACTGCAAACAGTAATTAATGATTTTAAAAGATTAACAATTAATCAGTACTACAAACCTGTAAATGGCTTTTAACTTCATCATTTGTTAGTCCATCAACCTTCATCAGCTCCCTAATTTGTTTTGGCGTTGCTACTGCAAAAGAATTCCAATTACTATCCTTGCATCAATAAACAACACGACTGAAACAACTTCCAATTGGAAAATAATTTGACAAACAACTCACTATGTGAACCACCGAGTTGCTGGAGAGCATGCAAGAAGCGCCTATGCAACTCTGGTGACCAACACAGCCTTTGCTTTCTCTGAGTCTGCCCTTCCTTTTCTTCCTTTTTAATACTGTTTCCATTATTGGCTTCCTCTCCTCTACTCCCACTTTCCGTTGTAGAAGTACTTGTAGCTGAGGCATTGGCTTTTCCTAATGATTGAACACTCTTCTCTCTGTGGAACGGCTTAAATGCTCCCCCATATCTCTTCCCTTCCACCGCACTTCCACTTTTACCCGCAATCTACAATTTTAAAAAATCCCAGAAATTCTTAACTTTTTTTTTTCTTTTCTTGTTTGGAAATTATAAATGAAACATAAGAAAAAAGGTTACCTCTTTCAAGGGTGGATCTGAGGATTGATTATTATTCCACAACTGAACAGATCTAAGCCAATCAGATTTCTTTTTATCAGCAGCAGCAGCAGGATTCTTTTCTTTGAAGTTGCTATCCAGGTCTTTGGATTTATGCGATTCTTGTTTATCATCTCCCTCGGAACAATTAGAGCTTCTTTTTATTGGAATAAATTCTTCCAAAACAGGTCCATCACTCGATGTTTGCTCCAAACACTCCGATTGCCCTTGCATGTAATCCGTCGTCGTTGAACCCCCCGATATCTCTTTCTTGCATGCCTCAATCGCTATTAAAACAAAAAAGTTGAGAAATTTTAGCACCCAACAAAACAAAAAGAGGAAAGAAAAGGGTGGTGCAAAACAAAGCAATTAAGGCAAACCTTGGGTAACAAGCTCCAAACACAAAGGAAGTTCGCGTTGAAAGACTTGAATTTTACGTCCTTCTTCTTCCAAAGCTTCCACATATTCATGGCATCTGCGCATTCTTCGAGCGTAATCCATGTTTGTCATAGCCTTTCTGATTCAGGAAAATTCTTCACTTCAACTTTTTTCTTCTCCCTGTTTTTTCCACGGAGATTATAGAGATAGTGGAGGATAATTATACGGGGAAAGGTGTTGGTTTTCAGACCAAACAGCATAGATAGATCCGAACAAGATGAGAAAGGCACGGGGAGGTATTAAAAAACAAAAAGAATAAAAGGATCTAAACAGAATCATGAAGAGAATAAACTTGGGTACCAAAAAAATTAACAAAGGATTGAATTTTGAAGAGAGAGAAGGAAAAAGGAAAAGGTTTATATCTAAGGTTAGGAAGAGAAAGAATTAGAAGGGAAATTAAGATAGAAAATGGAAAAGAAAAAAAAATCCAATCGGGGCGTCGCGTAAAAAAACGAATCTTTGGTGTTTTATGAGAGAGAGAGAGGGTTGAATATTCCAAGAAGTGATTCGCTTTTCTTCGGTTCTGGGTGGGCTGTCAATGACGCCACTATCGCCCTTTCCCGCATTTTGATTCGTTTTCGGATAAGATCAATTACTTTCCTTTTTTCTCATTTTTTATTTTATGGGAGACAGGGTAAGAGCGTTCCTATTATTGTTTTGTGTACCCTTGATGTTTCTACCGATTATTGCATGCCTGCCACGTAATAAATTTGCAGTTTGATGACACGTCATGTTTGTCCTACTATTATTCCAAGTTACTTGTTACGAGATCCTCTCAAGTCTTCCGAGGGAATTTTTTTTATGCGATTTCACTTTCTTCCCTTGCGGAAAATGTAGGCTACTCTGGATATGATCAACTTGGTTGCGAGGTGGAATTGACTGGACAACATGTTCAGCTGCATCCTTCATGTCCATTGCTGATATTTGGTCTGACGCCGAGTTGGGTTGTTTTTGGTGAACTCTTATCAATGACTAATGAGTCTTTGGTCTGTGTGATGGGGCAAGATGAAGTTCATCCAAATCTGTCGGAATCTGCCAAAGCTACAAGAACAGCGCCAACAAAAGTGACTCAATTAAGGCATCACTTTCTGTTTACTGAATCTGTATAAACGACTTAATCCCTACCTTTGGCTTCCCACACAAAACATACTAAACAGACCCATATTCTGCAATCATCAATGCCCATTATCAACAAATCATAAGAATTAATCATAAGTTCCTCAAAATCTCTCATTCCCACCAACTGGACATTCATTTTATTTCAACTTAAAACTTTTTTCTTTGCAGCATTTAATCAAGCACTAAATCAACAATGTCTATTTCTTCACAAAATTCATCCAAATTAATTTACTCTTTAAAGCCCAAGTTCCTGCAAAAGCCATGCATAATTTCACCCTTTTAATAGCAAACAAAGCCAGACTTTTTCTTTTTTTTTTTATTTGGGTAGGGGAAACCACAAATATTTTTAAGTCAAAGAACAAGTGAAACTATCAATGATAGTTCACAAAAACAATAAAAAAAAAATGGATTTCATCCTATGAAGAGTTTGTAGTTGTTTTTTCTTCTACGAACAGATTAGATAAAAATTGTTAATAGAAGTGTTGGAAGAAAAAGAAAAGAAAAAAAATTAAAATTAAAATCAATTTAACTGCCACATAAGTAATTTTGTCATTTAAATAATTATATAAAATTGATATGATTTAAAATATATATTTAAGTAAAAATTTAAAAATAATTTTATTTGAGAATAAAGATTTTTATGTACTCGTTACTGTGAGGGACGGTTAATCGTGTGAGCGTGCCTCACACTCTCCCACGCCGCGTATCCATTCAACAATCTTCCTCTCTATCCCCACCTGGCCTTCTTCTTATTTTTCTCTGCCTTCTCATTCTCTGAAATCGTCATTTTTCCTCTCGTTGTTAACCAACATTCTTCTTCGCGAGTTTTGTTCAATTTCCCACTCGCGGTTTGATGCGCATAGTCCGACGGCCCAATGACAGCTTGGCAGCTGGGCCCTTCTAGTACGCCACTTTCCGTGTCATGCCAACTAGCGGATTATGATAGTAGATTTAGGATAGAGCTGTCATCATTTTCAACTGTGGACATTAGGGTAACTTTACTCACCGTGGTTGACTCCTGGTAGGGACTAAATGATTGATATGATTTATATGAATAGTGTGTAAATAAGTTTTGTTTTTATTTATTTATAGATGCTTATTAAATTTAATAAATCATTATAATAATATTTTAAAATTCATTAATTAAATGAATAAATTATAAACATAATAAAATTTTTTTATGTTTAATTTGTTCATAATTAAAATATTTTACGAATAATTCATAAATCATCTTAATTTTTATTTATCTATTTATTAGATTCAAAAAATTACCATGAATGGTATTTTAGAATTAATTAATTAAATAAATCAATTATGAATATAATAAGATTGTTTATATTCAATTCTTTAGGTTCCTTACTTATAAGATAAAAAAATTATATTTTAAATAAAATTATGTAGAGGTAAAAGGGATAGAGATTTTTTTTTATTAAGGAAGCAAAATTCTCAATTAAATAGTTGATGATATATAAATGAATTAATTCTTTTAATAAATTCTACCTATTTAAGGGACCACTAATTCACTCACCTATATATCAATAATATGATTTTTTTTCTTTGAAATATCAATAATATAATTGTCATTTCCAAATTTAACAAAAAAATATTTTTTTTGATTTTCTAAATTAAAAATCTCATTATTTTATTTATATAACTACATTTTTATTTAATAAAATAAGAAATTTATTAATAAAAAATAATACATAATATCAAAATAAATGAGTAAATAATCTATTGGGTGGACTGTAATAGATCTGATTTGGGCTTAAGGCAGATACAGCCCACCTCTTTTCTTCCTTTTTTAATTTTTCCTTTTTCCTCCATCCTCAACTACACGTAGTTTTGAGCAACCCTATAAATAAATAGAACTAAAAATCCCATTTTTTTTCTCTCTCTTCCTCTAATTGGCCTCTCCTCCTTTTCCCTCTTTCCTTCTCTCTAGAAAAACCAGATCTTTACTCAGAACAAAAAGTAATATTATTTACCGTTGAGTCATTTGGTCGCTAGATAGTATAGAATAAAATGTAGAGAGTTATTTCTGTAGCCTGTTGCTTTTGTTTGATTTCTCGTTTCCCCTGCTGTCATACAAAGGTCAAAGACTAATCTTTTGAATTGGATACAGGTAGTAAGGGAAAAGACAAAAGTGAATTATAAAGTAGATTATGAGTTATGGTTTTAAGTGGCAGCGGCAGATGGAGAAGTACACTGTGACACATGAAGAGGACAGCCATGAAAACCTCAATCCATGCATGCATTACAATTACTCCTTGTTAACTTTTTTCCAAGTTTCCTTTCTCATACAAACTAAGAATTGGTAGTCTTTACTTTATCTTTCTCCTCATTCACGTCAGTAATGTACTAATATTACAAAGCAAAGCCACGCGTGAGCTACAGTACTTCTGTTTTGTACTTTATATAATTTCTATCTTGGCTCCTGTCATTCAAACAAAATTCCAGTCCAATAAGCAAAGTGAGAAGAGAAGTGAAGATGGAGATCTCTCTACGTAGTTTAGTGAGCACTGGATAAGAATAGATTTGATAAAAGTATTAATAAGAAGGGTGAAGTGTTTGTCCGTTTTGTATTAATTATTTAGTAAACGTGGGGATTTTAAGCTCGATTAATGAAGAATAGTATTACAATATAATTCAGAGTTTGCATAGCTAGATTCCCTCAACCAAAGGGCAAGGAATCTATATATATGGATCCCTGCAATTGAAAGGGACCGGCCAAGTGTAGCTTGTTTCTCTGTCAGTATTTGCTGTGGTACTTTCTTAGATCATTTGGAGGCCAAAACTAATTAATGGCCTGCCTACCTCTCACCTAGAATTATGTTCTAAACGCTGGGTTTCAGCTAGCTTTTCACATGGAGATTACGATTATCAAAAAAACGACGGGTCCTTTCCATACAAAATTCTCATCTTCATGCATGATTAACCAACCTTTTTCTTTTTCATCCAAGAGGTTATCACCATTCTTTTATGAAGAATAGGTCAACCGAGATTCCTTTATCTAATTAAGCAACTTCAGACAGGAGCAACTGAGCAATCAGATGGGGTTGGAGTAAAGCCATCCGAACCCTAGGCTAAAATCTAGTACGTTTGATCTTTTAGCGAAACTTTTTTCCTGAACTACGGTGATCCAAGCCAGTAAGAATTTTGCTTAAGTGGCATGTATTATGTATACATATATATATATCTATTACATTACATTATATTACAACAGTATATAAAAGGAAGGTTTAAGGGGTGTTGATTGACATTTAGCAGTCCATTTGGTTGCTGTTTGTGGACCAACACCCCCCCAAACCTTCTTTTAAGGGGAAAAAAAAAACAAGATAAGGAAGAAAAAGAAAAAAAAAATGAAATAAAAGTAAAATAAAAATATGACATAAAATTTTATACGTAATTATTATGTACATGACAAAATCATATGTAGATTTTATTTTAAAACATATCAATCAACTATTAATTTCATGAAATGGTGATAAACAACAATAATATATAACTAATATTAATTAATTATAATGTGATTAAACTGAAGAAAAAAATAAAATATTTATGATTTATATTATTTACTAATACAAAAATGTTGTAAATGGTTTTAGGGTATATTATTATTAACATATAATAAGCTAAGTTATGTAAAAAATATATAAATAATTTTAAAAATGAAAAATCATTCAAATAAAATTTTTGTTTTTATGAGAAATATTAACCAATGGCAATAGACATTAATTTAAGTGATATATAAGAAAAAAAAAACATGAAATTAAAGTAATATCTGTTTCCGAATTTAGTAAAAATAGTATATTGAATGCAAATTTTTTAAAATAATATTTTAATTACTTTTAATTAATTTTTTTTTCAAACAAAGGTATGGCCCACAAACATTTGGAAAATTCAATGTTAAATGCCAGGGCTGAATCATGAAAAAACAACAGTCTCTCTCATTGAATTGGAATAGGTGAAGACAGAATCATCAAAATTTTCCTCACTTTTTTTTCCTCTACAGTGAAGAATCTTCACATTTCTATGCCATGATAGACATATATGCATGGATTGAAAGAATATAAATCTCGAAAAGCACTTGAACGCTCTCTGTTGTGGTTTTTGTCCAAATTGATCATTGTGAAGAAATGTTACGTACCCTTTTTAAAGGACATTTTCTGATAAGTGTGGGAACCAACTCTTTCTTATAACACTATGGTTTTAGCAAATTTGCCTTTGAAAGCAATGCAAATGCCAAAGGGCTAAATTAGCAAGGCTTGACACTTGATCAGTAGGCTCGTCTCAGACTTGTAAATATTCATTGATTGCTTTCTGCAAAGTAGTAGTCCTGATCTCTCTTTCCTGTATGAATTACCTCTACATGGCAGAAACACCTATATATATTCGCCTTTATCACTATCAGTACTATCTCTTTAAGTAACAAAGGTGCATGGGAGATGCACTCACGCCTTCTATTTCTACAGTTAAAATTGCTTCATTTCATATCTGCTACATCATGTACACTCTATCACTCTCTCACTTTTTAGCTGAGAAAGATCAGTAAATGTGGGCTTAAAAGAGGAATGGATTAGGAGGAGCTCGATAATCGAGCATTTGAGCAAGCTGCGGTGTGTGACTGTTGGTACGCTCTTCTATGCATCTTTAATTTCTCCACCTCTCCTTCTTTACCGGTTCCTTGTCTCCTCCATTCCCCAAACACGCCAAAACCAATATATCAGTTTCCTTCCCTCTACCTGCCTACTTGATTGATCGATAGTCGATATTCTCACTTTCTAATCCATTCAGGAAAAAGGCGTTTTTAGCTACTTAATGAAGGTTTCTATTATTTTAACTTAAATTTATGATGAAATTTAATAATTTTAAATTAAATATAAAAATTAATTAAAAATAAAGATAATTTAAACAACTATTTATCATAAATTTAAATATTGGAAACACATTTATCATCGAATAAAAACTTTTATTACTTAAAAAATAGTGGAGAGGATAATTTCCCTTCATTTATAACTTCAAGTTCCCATAAAATGAACTCGATTAATGATTTGAGAGCTTGTAGTGAACGTGATTCTAGAGAGTATTTATAGCAGCTTAAGCTTTTCCTTGATACATACTGTATTCTAAATATGCACAATAGAAAATCCAAATACCCTTTCATAATAATGCTTTTATTTATAAGCTTTTCGTCCCCACTAATCTTTTTCTTCTCCAAAAAGCCGAAATCCTTCTCTTGCTATCTCTTTCTCATGTAGTAGTAGTAATTAAAAATCATCATCATGCAATCTCCTTCCTTCACCTACAATAATATATCCCCTAGGGAAAGTGCCTGCTATGAAGCTGATGATGTTGAAGATGAAGATTCCATAATCTTATCTCTTGGTCCTCCTGGACAACCCCAACGCATTTCCAAATACCCTTTATCATATCCTCCCTCAATCAATACCCCCAACTATCCAAACCCTAGCAGCGCTGAAAGTGGTGTAACAGTTGCCCTCCGCATTGGTCCACCACCAATTAAAACCAGCTCTAGCAATTCTAATGACACTGGTAATAGTCTTGTTGAAGGACAGTACTGGATTCCTTCACCCAAGCAGATCCTCGTTGGTCCCACTCAGTTCTCTTGCACTGTCTGCAACAAAACCTTCAATAGATACAACAACATGCAGGTTCCTAACAGAGTGCTACTAATAATTATTATATGCAAATCACAATCATTGATAATTAGATTATTCTACAACGTCAAGGAATTTCTTTGATTCCTTCTTTATTTAATTATCCTTGTTTCCAATGCATATACATGTATAATTAAGAATGTCGTGTAATTTTAATTTGTCTCATTTGTTTCTTCTTAACTTCATACTTAGATGCATATGTGGGGGCATGGGTCACAGTATCGAAAAGGCCCAGAATCCTTGAGAGGGACGAAACCGGCTTCTTCTATGCTGAGACTTCCTTGTTACTGCTGTGCTGAGGGTTGCAAGAGCAATATAGAGCACCCCAGGTCTAGGCCATTGAAGGATTTCAGAACTTTGCAGACGCATTACAAGCGAAAGCACGGAGCCAAGCCGTTTGGGTGCCGAAAATGCGGTAAGCCTTTTGCAGTTGGAGGGGATTGGAAGACTCACGAGAAAAACTGCGGGAAGCTCTGGTTTTGCATTTGTGGGTCTGATTTCAAGCACAAAAGGTCCCTCAAAGACCACGTTCGAGCCTTCGGGGATGGCCACGCCCCACATACAATGGGATTCTGTGAGGTTGAAGAAGAAGAAGATGATGATGATGATGATGATGATGATGATAATGATAATGTTGAAGACAATGATGATGGGAGTAATGGTCCTCTTTTCTTCTAATTGATTCTAGGAGATCAGTTTAAGTAGTCAAGTTTTGACAGTGACTAATTATTAAGGTTTAAGAATGCTTTAGCATGCTTAATTAGTAAATGTTCTTATATATCTATAGAGAAGGATGATAAAAACGGATTAATATAGTGAAAGTCAAAGCTTATGTTTTCTATGCATTAAATATTCGAAGTCGTGGTTCAATTATGTAATATTTTTCCAACTATTTATCTTTTAATTTCTCTTTGTTTTTAAGGTTATACCTTCTTGTTTTGGCCAACAGGTTGTATTTGATTATTTAATGAACAATCACCCTATAGTTTATACACTACCCCAACTCAGTAAATAATTATAACATGACAATTTTTTATTAATAAATATTAATTTTATTGAGATGACAAATAATAGTATTGGGATCTAATAAATACATACAATTATATATACCAACAATGACTAAGTTTGTATAAATCGTATTTAATTATATAATTAAAAACACCATAAAATGAATAAGTTTGTATTATAATGAATTATGATATGGCATAGACTCCTTTATAGATAGTAAACCAAGAAATTTATTACTATAATTTGAAAAATATAAATATAAAATTGGAAAAGGCGAAACCTTACATCCACAAGCTTGGAATAAATGTTTATATATTAATTGTATTCGCACCAGTACGTTCACGTATTCAACATATAGGAGTATATTTTATTTTGAAAGGTGATGAAGTAAATTCAGAAGTAAGTGCAGAAAAGAGACAAGTAGCTGTGGAGTCACAGAATCTACTGTTGATGGCGTCTGCATTGCAAAAATCAAAATTGCCTTAGAAATCGCGGACTCACCTCTTTAGTCTTCTTTTTTATGTTTAACTCTGACTCAGTGACAATCTCTCTCATATAAAAGAGACAGTGAGAGTGAGTGAGTCTTTGTTTTTATCATTATCTCTACTTAGGCTTCGACTACCATTACTAACACTTTGATCCAACTCCTTTTGCCAGTCAGTCTCAGCAATATAATTAGATCCAGCAGCAGGACCACTGATTTTTACTGTTTTTGGGGTTTCACCCAAAATCTTGCTTTTTCCTTTGCCCTTGTCAGGCTCCTTTCTTCTTGAATTAACCCTACCTTGCTTATACTAATATTTCATATATTATTAATTCTAATCATATAAAAGTGTGCATGACCATGGGCTTAATTTGCTTTCCTCTATATAAATATATAGAGATCTCTATCAGCAATCAACATCGCTTTTTCATATGGCCAAGCATGTAGACAGGCATGCATGGATTATACAGTATTGACCATCATGATATCATATACTATATTATATTGTTATTGCGTTTTTCTTCCATTCTTTTCAAGTGCTGCAATCCCGATGGTATTAATATGTATATTTATATGTAGTCCTATGCACTGCATGTGTATATCTGTATCTTTGTTTTTTAACTGATTTCCTCACAAGAATGATATTTATGATATGAAATGTGCAGTAGTAAGAAACTTTAATTAACGGTCTTTGCCGTACATTTGCTTCTATATTGTTTTGGTGGAGACCCAGGCCCTCAAACGTTTTAATTAACGGCTCAAACTAGATTGTAATTTGTAATGGAGCAGATGGTATTTATATTTGTTTTAGTTGGAAAAAAAATTATTAATAAATGTTCAGAGGCAACATTGACTGATATACAGCAAATCTTTTGGGCATTGGGAATTCAGGCTGCTCGATCTTTAACACTAAACAAATGTGCCCTCTTAGTGAGCTGAAATTGACATTTATTATAAGATCACAAAGTACTTTAGTTATTGGAAAATTGGACACCGCTTTTGGAATTTCATACATGCTCACTTGAACAATGATCTGGAGGACAGGTTAAGTCTCCTACACTACTGAAAATGAATGACAACAAAAGACGGGTAATTTCTCTTATACACTGAAAAAGAAGGAAAAATTATATATTTATTTATATAATTAAAAGGATCTTCTAAACGCAGATAATAGACTTGCGATATAATTCTATCAGTTGGTGAAGTTAGGAATAGTCCCATCAGGCTCGGTAGCTTTAGCAGCCGAACAGGGCTCGACGGCAGGACATGGTGCCACCGGCTTCCCTAGAAGCTCAGCCGGCAAATCAGGTATCCCTTTCAAGTAGAAACTGTAAAACAGCTTGAACGGAGAAACTATCTGCTGCAACTTGACCTGTCCGTACGCTTCCTCAAAAATCCTAGAACCTTCCGTCACAGCCAAGTAGGTATCCTGATCATACGTTAAATATGATCCCTGGACAGATAAATGGCCATAGTCACCAAATTAGAAGCTGTAACTGGCTTCATACCTGTTACCTTTTTTCTCTGAAACGTGATGGACTAGCACACATAGTCCAGCTGTGATGCCTATCCTTTTCTGTAGGTCTCCAGAATAGAGCTTGTTGGTGAAAGAAACCAGATCACCAAGAGAGTTAACAGGTTTTTGGCTTAGCTTTAAAACTGCAGTGCTGTTGATCGTTGATTTCATAAACGTATAGTTCTTGAAGTTTTGTTGAAACCAAAGGTTGAAAATATTAATTCGTCTCAGTGAAATCTTAATAAAACTACTCCACAAAATTAGTACTTATATTAAAATTTTGAGGACAAAAGCGACCATTAAAAGAGAATTAAGGTAAAATTTGTCGTTTCATTGTCTGAAGTACTTACTGGGCTTGGAAGTATCCGGTGCGCACTCCTTTGACTTGTTGAAAAAGAAGGCTGTGATAGTGAAAGGCTTGGAGGTAAGTGAATATGAGACGTAAATGTTGGGTTCACGGGAGGGAAAAGGCTGTGAATATGAGAGATTGGAACCTAAAATTCTGTGAGATTGGGACGGAGAGATTCGTTGCAGAGAGGTGGTAAATGCCTTTGATTTTGCTGGTAAGTTGGAGAAGACAGAAGCCGATGGATCGATAACACCGGTTATTAAAATAAAAGTGAAGGATTAATTATAAAAAAAAAATTATAGATCATAAATAAGAATAGCAATGTAAGAGTCACACACACACATATATATTTGCAAATTCTTCTCTATTTATAATAGATCAATTAAATCTATCACTAACCAAAGTCTTTAATAAATTCTAGAAAACCTCAATAAATCTTTCACAATCTTCGCAGATTTTTTAAAGGAAAATCTTTTGAGATACATCCTCTACGTAGAGTACATGGGATGGATTCTGCAAACTGAGCAAATTAGGGCCATTGCATTTGCATATGCACATATTCTTTTCCACACAAAAGCAGCCACACAGTGTACCAGTCTTTCTTCACACCAAGCTATACATGTTAAATCAGTGATATATCATGCTCAGGCAACAATTGTTGCTTTAATGGACAATGTTAGACACTTCGCATCTGAATTGCCTTGGGCTAAAATACCATTTCCACCAACCTTATGTGACTTTACAGGAACCTTATGAAGGAAGCCAATTTTCACCTTTGACTATATAGGCATATAATAAGGAAAAAGCATGTGTCAAAAAAATATATAATCAATTAACCGATTCATGTCTCAACATTTTGTCAAAATTTCTGCGCCAGTTCTAGTGATTAAAATGGTATGTTCAAACTGTGCAGCAGGGATGCCATCAGCAGTCAAAGTTGTCCAGTTGTCAGGCCATGTGATACACTCGATGCCTCCCAGTGTAAGAATTGGTTCTGCAGTAAAAATGTGGGATGTGTATAAATATACATACAGGAACTTCTTATAAAAGAAAGATATTCTATGATACAATCAGTTAAGAAAAGCCAAAACTCCTATTCAGCGTCTAAATGTTAAGGAAGAATATCGGAAGTGAATTTAAAGAGCCATGAAGCAAGATGTAATCTAAACGTCACAAGTAAAATAGTTAACTTTAGACTTCACCCTGATAACTTTGTTACTAATTACTCGCTTTATTGAACAACATGCCAACCACACTGTCTTGCAGACTGCAGCTATTAATGGAAAAGCGAATAGAAGTCTTAATTTTAAGCATCTTGTACTTTATAGAAGTTGCCACAAATAGCTTTAAAATTTGTAGTATGTGCTTCAGGGTGGCACCCTCACATAAGTAACCAAAATTAACCAAAAAGTTCAGATGCATTTCCACATCAACTGATCCAAATATCTACTACACATATTTTGAATTAGAACTATTGATTATATAACACACAAGATGGAAAAAAATTTGGAATCATGCTCACCAATGGTAAACGTTTGACCTTCAACCATGACACCAGGACTTTCATTGCCTGTCAAATAATTAGTAATTAAATTTAGAAGAGTTTTAGACTAAAAGAATCAGATATTATACAAATGCCAACCCTCACACCCCAGAGAGAGAGAGAGAGAGAGAGAAGTCCAAAACCTACATGCATAAGTTGTCAATCTCAACGAAAAGAATAAAAAAAATCAATGTAATGTATATGAAGAAGTGAGAAGCAATGCTGTCACAAAGAAATATAGCAGAATATTTCCTTAGAAGTTGCGTAATAGCCAAAAGGACTCATGCTGTCTCAAGTCTATATGTATACATTTAATACAAGTCTTGAAGAAGTTTTGGCTTTTCTTTTTACCCATAGCAATGCCAAGTTTGGTGGTACTTCAGAAAAGAAAAAAAAAAAAAAATCCTTACACATCTTAAGAATACTTACGGTGATGCAATATAATTGGTTCAGAATGAAAAACAGTCCCAACGCCATGCCCAACAAAACGCTCCACCACTCCATAACCATATTTTTCAGCATGCTCACTGAGAAGATGGTAAGAATATATGGTTAAAATGGAGAGCAAGGTTAAGGAAACCATTCAACATGTCATGTATGATCAGAGAACGAGGTTAATGACATGTTCACACTAGCATGCCACTTTGTACAAAGCATTAGGCAAAAGCATGCCTAAGCTATATTAGAGTAAGCTTGTTCTTTATGGTGTATAATAATAAAGATAGGGGACAAAAAGACTAAATATCCAACAATTATCATTACTAAATGCCAATTATTTGAAAATTTTTTCTTCAATTATGTTACTTAAAACTAGTAAGTTATAATGAGTTTGCATTTTCCATGTAGTTGAATAAGTTGTAAAACAAACAAATGACTCTGAAACAGTTCTCATAGTTTAACCAGCATCTGTGCATCGGCAATTTTCCAGGCAAGATTATCATATAATTTTATACACAGAAATCATTATTCCTTCCTAGTCTAAAGCAATAAAGAGAGAAGGTAGAGAGAGGAAACCTTATTCTTTTTCCAATTTTCTTGAAACTAGCACCATCTTTGCATAAAGCTATGCCTCTCTCCATGCACTCCTCAGTTACCTTTGAAAAAATGTAAGAACGAACACAACTAGTCAATTACAACAATACCATTGTTAATCAGCTATAGTTTAAAATTAATCATATTTGACAGATAGATGGTCAATTCTTAAAAGTCCAAAAATAGCAAAGCAGGATTTCCACGCACAAGTGCAAATAGATGTTACAAGCTCTTCACATAATGGTAAAGGTAGTGGCAATAGAATTCTTGATGTCCTTACATATCATAGTAAAACTTACCTTTACAAGACGCTTAATGGCACCATGAACATCTCCACAGAGAAATGTCTTTGATGTGTCTCCATGATAACCCTAAGAACCAAAGATATGTCATGCATGAAAGAGTGCAGCTCAACTAAAGGTGAGAAATTCTGTCTCAGACTCTCAGTCAAGGGTCAACCATAATTATGGTACCGCAGCAAGCAAATCAAGGTTTAAAGAGCAATTATTAGCAAACAAAATGGATGGTGCCCCAAATTGGATATCTTTTATAGTTCCGAACAGTCTCAATCTTTTTTCCCTTTTTCTCTTACTTGTTTGTCTAATCCTATGATCAGCCAATTTTCCTGTCATGTTCAATTTGTAAATGAACCATACAAGTCTGCCATGCTAGCAATGGGTTCTATTAGACAAATGAACAGCTGGCTTAAAAGTAAATCTTCCCCTCAAGAAAAAGAACAAACAAGTACACATTTAGTCACAAAACCTAGAAAACTATCTTATTTTGTGCAAGGAGGTATTTATCCTATAATAATGTATTTAACAATTAAAAGTTAATGGGACAAGGTTATTCATTTGTGGAGAACCTCACATTCTTCACTAAACACTGACCATTCCACCTACAGTCGAAAACCATAGATGCTTCCAGACAACCTTCTATATCATAGTTAACAAGCCTCTTACTGCTGCCAAGGAAAGAGTAAAGATGACAATTTTGTCTTATGAAAGCAAGATATTATTTTCCCCTCTACATTTTCAAGAAATCTTGAATAGTCTTAGGATGGGTTCAGAAACACACTGTTCACATGCAACTGATAAGATAGCTTCATTCAGACACTACTTGATAAAATTAACATGTGATACACTCTTAACTGTGCTGATTTTGTATTTGATCTCCTCTCTCTTCTCTTCTGTTCTCTCTCTCTCTTTTCTAAAATAAAAACCTTTTCCTATAGTTGGGACAGATAAAAGGTCAAAATATCTGGACTCATGTTCCTTTCCTGATTTGTTCCCAACTCATCATACTTTAAACTGTTTTAGATTATGGAACATTGGCACTATGACGAGAATGATCTGGGAACTGGAACAAACAAATGATGAGATTGATTCCTGAGAGCATCAATGATACGTTTTAAATTAGGGAAATACATTCAGATACACGGTCACGTCAATGTTTATTATGTCTCCATTCTGCACCAAAGAGTAAAACACAAGCATTAGTGATAAAATATATTAACAGCACGTACAAACATGAATGCCAACACACCAAACCTGCAGCTGGCGAGAATCAGGTATTCCGTGGCACATGCACTCATTAACTGAAGTACATATGCTCTTAGGAAACCCACCATAGCCAAGAGGTGAAGGATAAGCACCCGCCTCAATTATCATCTGGTGCACAGCTTTGTCAATTTGATCTGTTGTCACTGATGGCTGATAAGATTTTAAAAAAATGGTGATGAGTGCTTGTACTTGAATAGTGATGGCAGTTAAAATTATTTTAAAGAATATGAAGTTCTTAAAAGAGATGAAACACAACGAAAAATTAGTATATTCATTAATAAGAAAAATCTAATACCAAAAATAATCAAGAAAAAAGAAAAAGAATGTTAAGAACTTCAGATAAACATGAAAATTTGACAAGGCGATAATTCTTCTGTTGTTAAAAAAATGAGCGGGTTGGTGTAGAACAAAAGCAAAAAAATTTTAATTTCTTACCCTAACTAATGTCCCTGCATGCTCTAAGACACGAGCAGCAAGCTCACATGCAGCCTTCATTTGAGCAATGCCTTCAGCATCATGAATCTGATGCTCGCTAGAAATTTCAGGCAATATATTTGAACTTAAATAAGGAGGCTTTGGTATGTGATCAGGCACAGGAAGAGGTGGCGACACCTTCCCACGCCTCAGAGGTGGCGTTCTTCCAAACTTTTTTGTACTCTGAAGTTCACGCTGTCTGCATAAGATCAAACAATCTCATTGTCAATTCAGTAAGCAAAATGAATCCACTTCAAACTTATATACTAAGAATCATAATAGCATGAAGCAATTCAAGTTTCCCACAAGAAGAAATAAAAGTACTAATTTTTATATTATTGAAGAAAATAATTTACTCCTTACCTTATTCTTAATTAGAGAGTGAACCAGAGTGAAGAAGGGGGCAACGGAAGCTATATTTCTGGCTTTAACCTTAGAGCGCCCTGACAATCAACTTTAATACACTATGGTGACATATAGGATGGACATCTAAGGTCCCTAAATTTTTATTTATACTGTTTATGAAACAATAATATTTGAGAATTTCAAAAAGTAAAAAGCTTCATACACCATGCAAATAACTGTCTTTAGGAAGTGTCAGCAAGATGACACTTGCTTTACAGCAGTTTCCTTTCTCGTTTTGATGTAACTAAAACACCCAAATTATACAAATAATTTCAACAAGCCCTCAAATAACCCTCAGCACAGGATTTTCCCCGAAAACCAAGCGGCTCAATCTCCAGGTTTAAGCTGCCTTGGAGGCAGCAGATCGTCAAATTGAAATGATTAAACAAAAACTTCTGAAAGTTACAGTATGTTATAGCAAATGCATTATATTTTATAACCTGTATCTACCATTCAACAACTCCACATTAAAGTAAATCATTTTATATCCAGTATAACCAATTTAACATAGTTCATAGTATAAAAAGATACGACCAGAAGAGAAAGAGAAACTTGTATACCAAAATAAATAACTTTATAGTGCGTTAGAATAAGAATACCAAACCTCCTTATTCTCATGGCCTCTTCCAAAGCCGATACCCTCTTGGAATAAACAACCAGCTTATGCTGAGAACAATACTGTTTCCCTGAATGGTTAAAACAATAAGATGTTGCAGAAATAAGAATAGAACACCATCATTTTTATGTAAATGAATTAAGTAATAGAGACTGAGGAGAGGCAAACCATAGAGAGTAGAAGCAGAGAAATTGAGAGGGAAACCCATAAATGAGGTTGATTTTGATGATGATGATGATGATGATAAGCGTTGACCATGTAATGAAGATGAGAGTTGTGAAGAGAGCCCATGGGAGACCGAAACAGAGAAACCCATTGCCAGAATAGGTTTTTCAAGATATTGCTCCACATTCACTCATAAAGTCACAATGGATTATGGGTTTTTCTATTTATATTTTTCCATCTTAAAAGAAATAATAAAAATTCGAATGCAAACGCAAACTGGGATTTATTTGGTTAATGGGCTGGGGCAACATGGAATGGGAAGAAGGCCTCTGTTATCATGGACTGATCGATGTAGCAACTAGCAAACACAAGAAGAGTTATGGGCTGAATCCAAGGCCTGTCTGCTTCTGTTCTCTATCAACCGTTTGCTCTCTTCGTTGGCAGCATCCCTTTTGTAGTCGTCAAGCAAGATTTTTAAATTGAATATAGAAAATTGATAGTGAGAGAGAGAGAGAGAGAGAGAAGTCAAATTGGATAAAAACTGGATAAGATTTTGAACTTGTAACTTATGAATTGAATTATAAAATTGTAATTTGAGAGACTCTGGTTGGGCTAATTAATAAGACACTAATTATTGGAGCATATATTCTGGTAGGGCTAATAAGACACTTGATATGCAAAAGTGAGCTATAGTGCCTTTGGTTGCCAAATCTAGGACAAGTCGTGGCCACAACAGCCAATTAGAGGGCAGATTTTACAACCTTACCGATGGGGATTCATTCTGAGTCACATGTACAATAATTTTCTATTGTGAACCTTCAGGGAAAATTAAAGGAAGAAGCTAGGGCCGGAATAATATTATATTCATAATTTATATATATATATATATATATATATATATATATACATATATATTTGCTGGGAAATGACAGTATTTATTAATGGTTATTGGACACAAAACCCTTCAATCTGGAAACGGGGCTTTTCCCATTAGAGATTGAGATCTCAGTCAGCAGACATTAAATCCAAAATATACAGAGAAACTTGAAGCATTGTCAGAATCACCACCACGCTTCAAATTGATTCGTTCTATTCACTCCTGACTTGGCAAAGTGACATGCCAGACCATTCTTTTCTCCCAAGAAATTTTCAAATGAGACCTCTCCTATTTCCTGTAGCATACCTTCGATTTCACTAAAAATCTTCCAAAAGCACCAAGGTCTCTCCAACTCTTTCTTGATCCATTTTACTGCTATAGTCGAGTCTGATTCCACAACAAGCCGAGCTTTACTTACCCACATGGTTTTCATGAATACCTTCAATGCCACTTTGATACTCAATGGCTCAGTAACATTACTTTCCTGTGTGGTTAGAATAGCACCTGGTGAATCGCTTAAAACTCCCCCACATCCTGCTGGTCCTGGATTACCTTTGGCAGCCCCATCCACATTGAAATTTAAAACACTAGCCGTGGGAGGTTCCCAATCAATCGTTTCTCTCGGATCTTTTCTGTCGGGAGATGATGAAGCACACTCGGTTGGGTTTTTCCACCAATCTAACTTATTCACTATGGTTCTTTTTGAGAAGCATTGATCCAACACATCGAACTTATTTTTACTAAAAAGTAGACCTTCACACATTTTGTTAAGGGCATTTGTTGGTCAAAAAGTTATAATAATTTATTTTTCTTTCAAAATTTTTAGCAAATAATTAAAGGTATCTTTATCATTTGTGCTAACTTAACATATTAGGTCAACTTGTGTCTCCTCAGCTCGATCTTATCTTAACTTTCTCCTTATGGTCCCTTTTAGCTTACCTATAAATATGAAGACTTAAGCACTATGAAGGCAGATTTATCTCATTCTTTTCTCTCTCTCATTCTTACTTTCTTGTCGACCTGATCTTTACTAACTTGCACGTCAGAGTGGAAACGTAAGTAACACCCTATTCTTTTGCCTTTAACTATCATTCTCTTTTACTTTCACAGGAATACCCTTAGGTTAGAGCTTGGCACCAACATTTGATGTGCTAGGTAGAGGTCATCTCGTATTAGCCAAACACAAAACAAAGCCACCAAGAAAAAGAATCCAAGAGGAAGGAGAGGCAACCGCCCCAATTGGAACAAAAACTCACCTTAGCCAGTATTCTGTCCGCCTAACTCTACCACAGGTGAAACCGACCATGGAATAATTTCAAACCTTAATAGAACAAATACAAACTATTAAGTAGATGCTACAAACTATAATCCCATCATAAATTTTAAAAGTATCGAACTTAATCATACCTGATCGAAAAGTCGTTGTTGGCCAACCGAGCTACAAAGAAGTAGAGGCTTCTTCAGCCTCTAGAGAAGAAAAACAAATAAACCCAACTCATCACCATCATAGCCATAATTTCACACATGCCACAACCCAAAAATCTAAACAAACAGACCATGAATTTCAATCGAACAGAGATTTGGAAGCTCAGATACAAGCCATGAAAAAAAAACTAAAAATGAAGGTAATGGCATTTGAGGATAAGCTCAAGTTCTTGGAGACTTTAACCTTTACTAAAGAAATTGATAGAGCCATGCCTTCCAAAGTATTCAAAATGCCAACCTTGGATATATATGACGGTACTTCTGACCTCTTTGATCATTTGGAACTTTATAAAATTAACATGATAATACGGGAGGCAGATGGGGCTCTAATGTGCAAAAGTCTAGCCATTATGTTAAAAGGTGTAGCTCGATCTTGGTACAATAATTTGAAGCTAAGGTCAATCATTACATTTAAGAAGCTCAACCACTTGTTCCTATCTAAATTTGTGAGTAACCGAAAAGCAAAGAAAATGACCATAAGCTTGATGTCAATTCACCAAGGCGAAATGAAACTTTAAAAAGTTATATCATGCATTTTAACACTCAAGCTCTACAGATCAAAGACTTATAATAGATGGTCATTGTTGCTACATTGACAAGTGGACTTAACGATAAAGAGTACCATTTAAAGCTGACATTGTCGTTAGAATTGCCCAAAACTTTGGTTGACGTCTTGCTAGTAGCAAAAAAATACATTAATGCTGAAGCTACAATGAAAACTAATCGAGATAAGAGAGGCTCATTCTCTTTTCTCGACAACTGAGGTGAAAGAGGCTTATTCTCTCTCTTTGGTCATAAAAAAGGTAAAGATTTCTACGATTCTCCCCTAAAAGGGAGACAACATAGGGCTAGAAGTCTTAATGGAAAAAGAACCTACACTGCACTAAATACTTTTTGTGAGAGGATTCTAATGCAAATCGACAGAAATCCTGATCTCAAATGGCCTAAGCCACTAAGATAGAACACAAAGAGAGATTCGATAAAAAAAAGTGCCTTTCACAAGAACATCCCCCCATAATACTAAAGATTGTATCGTCCTAAAAGATGAGATTGAAGCTTTGATAAGATGAGGTCAATTGAAGAGATCTATGGGACAAAAAAAATAAGACCAACTTAGAATAGACTACAAATAAGATCACAGAGCACCCGCTTGGGGTAAAGAAGAAAGTGCAGAGCAAAAAAGAAGAGATGCTTGAGAAGAAAAGTTGAATCAAGAAAAGGGTCGAGCTGACAATAATAGGTCAATTACTGGGGTGATTAATGTGATCACAGAAGGTAGCTCCATCTCACCTTACCAAAAATGAAGTTTAACATGGGTGTGGTAATGGCAATAGGCACCATAGCCAAAAAAGAAAAAGACTAGAATGACGAGCCAATCTTATTTAGCTCAAAAGATTTGGAGAGAATCCAACACCCATATGACGATGCCATAGTGATCACAGTCTTGATGTATAACTATGTGGTCAAAATAATCCTATCTGATAATAGGAGTTCGAATCAACGTCATGTACTATAACTGTTTGAAGAAAATAGCGATTAACAAAGATCAGTTGAAATCGATCACTACCACATTAGAAGGGTTTGAGAATGAGCAGGTATGCGTAAGAGGAACTATCAAGCTCTCAATCTCTTTAGAGACTGAACTAAAGATAATTACCTTAGTCGTAGAATTCATGATAATGGATATCCCATCTACTTATAATATGATATTAGGTCGATCTAACCGGTTTGTTATACGGCTTATAGGCTCAGCTCCCTATTTGAAAGTAAAATTTGTAACACCTCGAAAGGTTGAAAAAGTTCAGAAAGACCAGTCTATGGCACGATAATATTACATCACAATAATGAAGGGTAGAATTGGGAAGTAGACAAGCAATTTTTTCGATATCGAGGTTAAAAGCATAGAAAAACCAACATAGAGAACCAATAAGAAGTAAAAAATCACCAATAAAAGTACAAAATGTAAGACTGACCTGGAGAAGTGCGCTCTTAAGCCCCTATGAGCTCTTAAGCTCTGAAAAACTTTAATTTTGTTCCATTTCTTGAATTTTTTGAAACAACATTAAAAACGACCAAGTTCTTAAGCTGATACAAATAATTTGATGTTACTTGGACTAAGCTAACACGCCGACCAAAACATAACATGAAATGGAGAATATACTTCACTTTCACTAATACGTTCAACAAGGTTTTTAATATACTAATTAGCATGTCGGGATCTATTTTCACAGGAAATGATCCTGATTTAATTGAATAAAAATAGATAATTGATTAAAGATCATACTCGGATGCAAACTGATTCGAGCTAGCTGAAGACTTCATGACAATCTCATTTTAGAATAATGTTCCTAAAAAATACATACAGATCGGAGTCAAGCCCTAACATAAAGACCAACTAATTCAACTCATAAAAAATAATACTGACCTATTTACTTAAACACCATTTAACATGCCCGAAATTGATACTGAAATGATGGTCCATAAATTACACACTAATCCTGAGGTAAACTAGTTTGACAAAAAAAAAAAACTTTTGCTCCTGAAAGACAATAGAACATTAAGGAAAAAGTTGACAAATTATTACAAATTGGCTTTATCAAAGAGGTTTACTATCCTGAGTGGATAGCCAATGTGATCATAGTTAAATAGCACAGTGAAAAATGGAAAATATGTGTAGACTTTACCAACTTGAATAAATTTTGCCTGAAGACAATTTTTTTCTCCTTAGCATAGATCGCCAATAGATGATAGTGCTAAGCATAGCCTTCTTAGATTCATGGATGCCTATTTTGGCTACAATCAGATCAAAATATTAAAAGAGGATGAGGATAAAAAGCCTTTATGACTGAGAAAAGTTTTTACTGTTAGAAGATCATGCCCTTCAGATTGAAAAATGTAGGGATGACCTATCAAAAATTGATGAACAAGGTATTTAAAGACTAGATCAATTGTAATATAGAGGTGTATGTAGACAACATGATAGTCAAGAGTAAGAGTTTGATCGAGCATCTGAAAAACTTTAGAGAAACTTTTAACACTTTGAGAAAGTATAATATGAGACTTAACGTAAGTAAATAAGCTTTTGGGATTACATCAGATAAGTTTTTCGGTTATATGATCAACTAAAAAGGAATAAAAGTGAATCTTACAAAAGTTTAGGCAATCCAAGAAATGAAGACATTAACTTCAGTAAAGAAAATAAAGAGGTTAACTAGCAGAATAGCTACGCTTAATCAATTTATGTCTAAGTTGACAAAATGATGTCTACCATTCTTCAAAATTCTCAAAAATGTCTTTAACTTCAGGTGGACTCTTTACTGTCAAAAAGCTTTTAATGAACTCAAAGAGTTTTTATCCTACATGCCTATCATGTCTAAATTAACGATTGATGAAACACTATACTTATACTTAGCTAGCACAGATCAGGTTGTTAGCTCGATCTTAGTCCAAGAAGAAGAAAAAAAATAACGATCGATCTATTTTGTAAACAAAGTATTAACATGGCCTAAAGTTAATTATAACGGTATAGAAATATTAGGTTACGCCATTGTCACCTCGGCTAGAAAACTCAAGTTATACTTCCAAGCCTGCACAATCCATATCTTGACTGATCAACTATTAAGGTAAGTTTTACAAAAGCCTGAAATATTGGGAAGGCTAATCAACAAATTTGATCTACACAATTCACCTAAATCGATATTAAAATCACAAGTGTTGGCAAACTTCATCGTAAAGCACACCTCAGTACAACTAGAAAGATAATCTAAAAAAAAAAAAAAACCCTAAATAAGGATGATTGAAAATTCTATGTTGATGAATTAGCTATAAGCTATGACGAAAAAGTCGACCTCATTCTAATAAGCTTAGATGGCTATAGTATCCATACACTTTGAGATTCAAGTTCAAGATATCTAACAATAAAGCAGAATATAAGGCATTGATAGGTAGCCAAAGGTTGGCAACTAAGCTGAATGTTCAACACATAATCGCTTATAGCGACTCCAAACTGGTGGTTGATCAGATAAATGGAGAGTTTAAAGCTTAAAAAGATGAAATTTGAAAGTATCTTGACAAAATGCTAACCTTGATAGTTAGCTTTAAGAAAGTTGAGATAAAAAAGATAACGAGCTCAATAAATTTAATAGTAGACTCCCTATCTAAGTTGGCTTCAGAAGCAATAATAGGAAGTCTAAATTAAGTTCTAGTAGAACTAGCATACAGATGCATTGATGATAGGTTAATGGGACAGGTCACAGAAAAAAAATCTTAGATGATGCT